TCTAACAATTGATCGGTCCACATTTTATACCTTAAGACCTCATTTTGGTATCATAACTTGAACGGCATGAGCCAAGAGTGTTCGTATTAAATCTAAGAATCACTTTTGAGCTGGAATCTTTGTGTTAAAATCTTGATAAGGTTTTAAAATGAAGCAAGGAGAATACTTAGTCTAGAAACGTTACTTCCATATGGCAGAAATGGTCTGCGTAGATATATTTTTCTCACTATCTCCAAGATATCAATGTAGAGGCTCAACAATTGAATATATGACTCAGGACAAGAAATGCCTTATTTTAATGAATGTTTGGGGATCATCCCTGAGCTCAAAAGATTTAAACCTAACACAAGTCCTTTTGGCTCATGCCGTTCAAGTTACGATACCAGAATAGGGTCGTAAGGTAAAAAATGTGAACCGATCAATTGCTATAAAGCTGGGCCAGACCTGAAATTTTGTGGGCTTGTTCGACTAAGGGTAGGTGAGCTCTGAAACAAGTATCACCAATATGGAAGGATTACCTATTTTAGAAAGCTCTATTTTTGTGAAGTTTTTATCATTTTTTAAAAAATATTTCCAAGTTTTTCATCTTTTTTCTAATTTTATTGCTTATATGGATACAATAGTTTGTAGGTAAGCCAATGAAACCTGGCTGGTCCCTTTCTCATTACAAATGACAAGTAGCCAAGGAATGCGACATTCAAAGTTGACAAAAGTTTCAAATCGCTATAGAATCTGAACGGTTTGGAGTTGCTAAAAAAAAATTGCAGAGCCACTCAGGGGGTCATCCTGAGTGGATTGACACCTATTTTGATCAATTCCATCAGGGCAGGTTGCGGGAGGGGGGCGGGGTAGGGCGAGGGACAGTACGGGTACAGCTAGACATCCCAAGAGAGACGGAAAGACTGCTCGCCGGATTGGCTGCCTACCTTCACGGGGCGTCTCAGCCGATTCGCGCGCACAGGTTCAGTAAAATTGAGAATTCTTGTGTTTAGAGGCCGAAACCCAACTTTTTCTATATACCAATCGAAAGCTTATGAAATTTCGAGTAAGTGAGTACACATTTGACAAGTTAAAATGCTGCCGTTTACTTATTTTCTTAATTGGAAAAACTTGTATTGCAAATTTTGAGTTTTAGCGGCATTTTTGCGAAGTTTGGCATCCACTTACCCGATCGGGCTCATATTGATACCGTTGGATTCGTCTTACAATTCCCTTTCGAATGGTATAAGCGGCATGCGTGTAGCTCATCACCCTGAGCTATGAAGCTCAAAAATGTGTATTTTGCTTAGCTAAAATTTGAGTGCAGAGTTGTTTATTGCGGCCTACAGCTCCTAAGGGAGGGCCACACCCACTATTTTTGAATACAGATATATAAAGCCCACAAACTGAACTACAATTTAGCTCGGTCGGAAGTGCAGATTTGGATTTTCTACTAGGGTACGCAGGCTCGTGAAATATGGCTTCATTTTCATGTTTTTCGCAATTTACTCCACTGGTAATCACGCTAGACCAAATCTGAGGGCAGATTCGGATTCCTCATCGCATTTTACGTTAGAATAGTTTTACCGCATGAAAATCGGACAAAAAATAGCCTTGTTGAGCCATTTTGAAGAAATAACAAGATTTTTAAGAGTAAAAAATTAAAATGCCGATTCTGACGAAACCACTTGAGATATCGACCTAAAAATTTGTGGGCATGTTCCTGACCACTAGGGCTACCTTCGTGCCAAATTTGGTCGAAATCGTCAAAGGTCACCCAGATCCGTGTAAATCTTATATGGGACGTTCCACCACCAAGTACTCACTGTGTCGGATACGTTGTTGTCCAGTCGGGGGCCGAGACACATCTGCCTGTCGCGCTCGCGCGGCCCTTCAAGCTGGCCGGCGGCGCGACTTCTGATGCAGCGCGTCGCTGGTTCGACTTTCCGGCCCGCGCCTTTCAAATTTCGGCGCTTCCCCGACAAGAGTTCAGAAACGTATTGAAACTTGAATGGTCGCACACATGGCCAAATTATGGCGCGACATCAAAAATTTGGCGTGACAGGAAATTCGAGCCGAAAACTGGCATCGGCATGACAAGTGCGTCACGCCGTCATCTGGCGTCAATACCATGTGGATTGGTGCGTACAATGTGTTTTATGCTCTGCAAACGCCCCACACTTTAAAATGTATGCCTCCATGCACACTGTTTTAAAGTGTGTGCCTGCATGCACACTGTTTTGAACGGTGTGCCTGGAGGCACAAAGTTTCGAACTGTGTGTCGAGGACCCATGCAGTATCGGTCAGGCACGCTGTTCTAAAGTGTGCGCCTGGCAAGCACACTGTTTAAAACAGTGTGCCTGCAGGCATTCATTTTAAAGCGTGTTACATGCACACACTTGAGTGTGCAGAGTGGGTCTGCATAGGATGTTACTCCTCAACCCCCCCAACCCAGCACATCCAGTCAAGATATGTCCCAATATTAGTTTCTTTTTGGTAATATTTCATTTTCTTATCATAAAATCTGGTAAGGTAAAAAATCAATTGTGGGTCACGAATCAAATTTATCGGCTATTATTTTTACGAGTCACGAAAAATCCTTGAATAAGCAAATCAATTTTAAATTCGATATGGGTCTTCCCTCAACTTTCCTTTATGCCACCTGAAACAGCGCGGATGTCTGCACTCTTAAAACCTTACGATCTATTTTGAGCATACGTATAACAAACTAAAATACTTTGTTATACGAAGAAATAGTTCGTAAATTACGAAGTATTTTCTTTGTAAGCTTACGTATGCTCAAAATACTTTTTTATACAAACTACTTTTCTTTGAAAGGCCCAAAATAGTTTGTAAGGTTTCCTCAGTGTGAACAACGACTATATACAACGCGTATACAACGCGAGGGGGGAACGACTTCGGGAATCCGGCTGACAGATAATTCGTAATCCGGATAACCGAACGACCGAAACTTGCCTAATTTCGGCATTCAAAACAGCTTGCCAAATATGTGGTAAGCAAACTTAGCACTGGCTTTGCAGTGTTTCATGAGATTTGTGCTTCTGGATTAAGGGGAGGTTCTGGTGAAAATGCTATTTTCTCCAAAATAGGTCCCACTGTGAAAATTTGTTTAAAATTTGATGTCTTATCAAGTATTTATTAAAAATTTTCATTGGGGAGGCACATTCTATGCCCTGAACCCAGTCGCAGAGCCTTTTTCTCCCATTTAGGCTATAACTTTAAAAATCTTCTTGCGCATACTATTTTGTCGTAAAAGGTTGGCTTAGACATTTTTCACTTCTTCGATTCATTTTCTGAAAATGCCGGCATGCACATCTCAAAATGTCACTTGCATTTTTATTCGCAAGCGTTCTAACCAAGCATTTCACCATAATTGATCAAAAATGTACAAAATAGACAAATTTTAGGGACTTTTCAGCTTTAAAAGCTAATAACTAATAATATAATGGAAGTTTTGAGCTCTGCATGCCGGAATCTTTTGAAAATGAGTCGAAGAAGTGAAAAATGTCAAGGTCAACCTTTTACGACAAAATAGTATGCGCAAGGAGATTTCTTAAGATACAGCCAAAATAGGCTCAAAAAGACTCTTCGACTGGGTTTACAGCGTGGCATGTGCCTTCAGAAGTCAAATTTTAGTCTCCTCAATGAAAATTTTTATATTCCGAACAAATTATGACTGTAGGATCCATTTGGAAAATGGCAAGATTTTCACCAGAACCTCCCCTTAAGGGGGTAGTACACTACGCAAGGTCAAAAAATACTGTGTTGGGCCAAAATTCCTGTGGACGCATGACATACAGGACATAAAAACTGATCATGGGATCTTTTCATACTGTGACTAACAATCAAAATCACAAATTTTGATAGGTGTCTTGAGCAGCTATTGCGAGTTCGTCGAATTTCGCTTAACCACTGCATAAAATACACAGGTCGTTGGTTTGCGCGATTTGGACCAAACGGTGGGACCTTAAGGGTCCAAATTTGGTGTGGACCATCTAAATACATGTCATTCTGGTGTGAACTAGAGAAAAATTTTTGGAATAATTATTAGTACCTCAAACAACACGGCAAAATGACAAATTCTGAAAACAGCATTTTTCTAGCCCATTTTCTTCCAAAAAACTTCAGTTCAAATATAGTAAAACAAAATTGATCGCAATTATCCTAGTTCACACCAGAATGACGGGTCTCAAGATTGTCTGTGCGAAATCTCGTCCAAATCGGATGAAAATTGCGGTTCGGACCAAATGAAAGTTTAATAAGGTCCCATAGTCAGTTTTGACGTTCCTCACCTCCTCTACCCGCAAATAATTTTCCTAAAAACACAATTTTTTAAACCTTGCGAAGTGTACTACCCCCTTAATGGTGAGAAAAACTGCACAGCTACACTGCAAAAAATCAGTGTCTGATACGGAGCATGCCACGGCGTTCCGTATTCCCCCTGAAATGGTGATACGGACATCTGCCGTACCACTCCTCCCATAAGAGCCTGTGCTTTATAAAGCGTGGTACGGAAATTTAACGGAAAATGTACCGCTAATTTTAGACCGGAGGTTGCCGTTTCGGTTTTCCGTTTGTGGAAAAGTCGAAAATGCTCCACGGACAGTGAAGAACGGACGCTCCGTAACGCAAAGTTCTCTGACGAAACGTATGAAACGGTCACTCCGTAGGGATACGGACTGGCCGTTACACGTAATCCGTTACAGAAATTTGAGTTGCGGAGCGTCCGTTCCTCACTGTCCGTAGAGCATTTTGGACTTTTTCACAAACGGAAAACCGAAACGGCAACCTCCGGTCTAAAATTAGCGGTACATTTTCCGTTAAATTTCCGTACCACGCTTTATAAAGCACAGGCTCTTATGGGAGGAGTGGTACGGCAGATGTCCGTATCACCATTTCAGGGGGTATACGGAACGCCGTGGCATGCTCCGTATCAGACACTAATATTTTGCAGTGTAGTGAATGATCAGGGATGCATCATGCCAACTGTTTCTGCCAGGGAACGCCGCCCTCCTGCTCAAGACATTGTAGAAGAAATTCGGGACTTTTACCAGCTACATGATTTTAGTAGCAGGCCTCATGCCACGTATGAAAGATTATGTCAGTGTGAAAAAGGATGAAGTCCGATATCATGAGCAGAAAAGGCTTGTACTATTGTGCACTTTGAAGGAGCTATGCCTTATGTTCAAGGGAAGTAGCCACACGCTAAATGTCTTATGTACTTTAATGTCCATAGCTATGGCCGTTTTTGTACATACAGAACTTATGCACAAATTTGTACATAAATTAGGAACAATATTTCCATATTGTGCTTAAGTATGTAAAACATTGTACCTAATTTATTTTAATTATTTAATTTCCACAACTTTGGCGGAATCTCCAGTAAAATTCCTGAAATCTTGCAGTCTTGTGTACGCCGGAAGTGAGTGGCGGCCCTCTCGGCGGCGGGGTTACCTTGCATATATTTATCTTTTTCTTTCACCTGATCAATCTTATGTACAAGCAGGACTTTCGGAGTGCTTTCTTTAAACCTTACGAAGTATCTTGAGCATACATATAACAAACTAATATACTTTGTTAAACGAAAAATAGTTGGTAAATGATCCAGGAAGCGGAAGAAGGGAATAACTTGACTTATCCCCAAATTGAGTTTGTATTTTAATATTGTGCCTTAGAATGGTTTCCATCACTACACCAAATTATTTGACTGAATTCCAAGCAGTTTAGGAGAAAATCCACATGGAAAAAGGGTATAACTCAACTTAACCCCTTTTACGGTCTAAATTTCATTGGAAAATGGAGATAACTCAACGGAAGTCCACATGAGTCCGTTTGACAAATTGGCAAAAGGATATAACTCAACTTGTATTTTTATGAATCTTGTGTAAAAAGAATCAACTCAACTTAGCCCCCCATTAATTTTAAATTTCAATTTGGAAAAAAGAGCTAAGTCCAAAAAATACACCAGAGTAACATACACTTTATGCAGACTATTGTTCCACTTGACTTGTCTCCAAATTCCTCTTTGTTTAGGAAATATAAGGTGAGCTGACTCTGTTTTCCATTTCAACGGAAAGCGATAAGTCGCAGAAATCCTCTACGGAGTGACCTTACACTTTTTATTTTTTTTTCAAAATTTTACTAATGCTTTTTGAAATTATTAACATCTGCAACATTCATTTGTTTTGTTTTAGTTTTCCCTCCTAACAGTTTTTGGTTTCTCCTGGAAAATGGCCAAAATTGAGTTATCCCCTTCTTCCGCTTCCTGGATCAAATTATGGAGTATTTTCTATGTAAGCTTATGTATGCTCAAAATACTTTTCTTCGTAAGGCCCAAAATAGTTTGTAAGGTTTTCTCAGTGCATGTCCGGAAATATCAGCTTCTAACCCTCTGTTCTAATCGTCTTTTATAGGTTCGTCGCGAAAGTGACGTTAGTGGAATTCTTAACCAGCCGCTGTGGTCAAATATGGACGTTGAACGCCGTCAAGATTTGATTGCACAGTCTCACGATGAAATGGCATTTTGGGTAAGTTTTCTTCCGAGGCGACCATATTCAATGGGACATTTTAGCAAAATGTGTAGATAGGCTCTTCGGGCAGAGCTTGAAAGGTGGAACGTGAACAGTAACCTTAAAGGGCCTTCCTTAAGCTTTGGACGGGTCGTTATCACATTCAATCGTTCAATTATGCTTTCCTTAAATTTTTAATTGGAACTGAACAACTGAACACATCAACGAGTAACCGACTTGGTGATCATCACTTCACTGAGATTCCAAACGCTTAGAATATAGCACGTTTGGTGCAGTTAACTGAGATATCGCACCATACGTGCAATGCTTCAGCCATATTGCACCTTACGTGCAATGCGTCCCGAAAATGCCCTATGCATAGGAATGAGAAGACGTTGCACTTCATGTGCATCTGCAATGCTTTGCATTGCACCAATAGCGTTTGGATTCTCTGTTTCCTCCGATCTATGTTCATCTTCACTATTGACACTGCTAGAAATGTCTATGACGCAGATGTAGCCAGGATCCCGATGACTTAATTTAGGTACGCACTTGAGCATAATACGAAGGTGGTTTTTCTTCGTATAACGACGGATTTTCATGGTATGTTTCAATGTAAAAGCCGAAAAGATTCGTATGGAAAAGAAATATTGCTTCGTATTATGCTTGCTCCAAATTCACTGTGACATACGAATAACATAGGTCAAATTTCGTTGTAAGACATTTAGCGTGTTGTGTGTTAGTAAGTGCAGACAGGTTGGTAATGTAGTTTTAAGTGGAGTAGCAATGTCTTTTTTGGAGGAAGGTTTGAAAATTTTATAGTTCCAGAAGATGTCATTTCTTTTAGTTCATTGTTCTAAAATTTAACTCTGTTTTCGCTTAAAATCATGTCAACGATATCAAGGCTTAAAATTACCGTAAGCCGGGGCAATATGAGACAATTTCGGGGTAATATGAGACGCATGATTTTTATCGTTAGAATTATTATGCTCGTGGCATTTGACGACTCATCCATCCCTGTCAAACTTCACAGCGAAAAATGGTATCATCTAGAGTAATTAATTGTTTACAGCAGTGGCCTGTAGTACAAGGAGGTGCCAGTGTCAAGTTACGCCACTCAACTTCCGTCAAATTCAATGAAATTTGGTGTCTCAAGTTACCCCGCACAGTTACCATTTTCTATAAAAGTCAGTATAACCCGATGAATGATGGGTTTCCCTCAAAACCAATGCCGCATTTAGAATGTTGAAATAATAGGGTTGAAAGATACAACAATCATTTGGGTCTCAGCAAGACGTGTTTCGAGTACCAAGGGAGACTTGTAACAATTCTCTAAAATTGTTAAATTTACTAAAATTGAAAAATCGTTATAGATCTGACCAGCTTGGTCCTAACCCACCGTTCACACGCTTAATCGTCTTTCCAAACAAGTGTGAAAAAAAGTGCTAGGGCAGTTTTGACCCCCGAATGTGCCGAGCCAGATGGCAGCTCCAAAAAGGTGGAAAAGCAGAAGTGTCTCAAGTTACCCTTGCTGTCTTAAGTTACCCCGGTTTACGGTAGCCTACGAAGAACTTCTTCGCAGCCGTCGAAGGATTTTTTAGCAGATGATACCTTTACTTAAAAACATACCTAAAACTACAACTACAAGACACATAAAGGTGTCAGCTAGCTTTTACTCGAGAGTCCAAAAACCTAACAATATAATGGGGGCTGGCTGCCGGGGCGGGATGGTGCGCCTGGCTGGCTGTCTGTGCCTGCGGCGCAGCCCGCGCGGAATTCGACAATGGCACCCCCTCCTCGCGCGCGACGGCCTGCGCGCAACATTGACAATCCCTCCCCGCTACAGCGGGGATGCATATTTTGTATATGCATGAACTGATACTATCTTTACCAATGAGCCCATACTACCCCGTAGAAGAAAACAAAACAAGTATCATCTGCTTTCATTAACGTTCGTTGAATGAGATTTTTTTCTTAGCATTACAAACAAAATCGTGCGTATAACGAACGAGCAGTTTTTTGGTAGGAATTTATCTGTGTTCACTTTGCAGAGCATTAAGGCAAAAGGCAAAATGTGTGGCTAATGCAGGAAACGAATGTTGCGTATTCCCACAATCCGGAGCACGCAAATTTTAGGGTCGTACACCTCTTGCTCGAATTTGTTCGTCAATGCCACTGTCAGAAAACTCCGTAAAAATACGGAAATTTAACGGAGACTTCCTTTTTTTTAACGGAGATCTCCGTTCTTTTGAATTATGGATTTTCTCCGTAAAAATATGGAAGTTATGTATATAAATGAAATAGAAGCCTTACTTATCAAAAAGAACAGACTAATTCACGTTATCGATGGGTTGGGTGACCAACTGATTAGGTGTTCCAAGAGTACGCCTTCCCTAAAGCGACCTCGCCTTTGGGTTTGCGTCCATTTATCCGATCCTAATGGCATGTGGTCAAGTGGGATCTTCAAACAGTTTTGGAGAATATCACTTTCGTCTAAAAGGACACAGTTTGCATTAACATCGAAGGTGGAAGGAGGGAAGTAAACCGTTAAAATGCGTTTATTTCTGCAAAAATGCGGTTCTTCTCAGTAAAAATACGGAAAATTTCCGTAAAAATATGGAAAATCTCCGTAAAATTATGGAAAATCTCCGTAAAAATATGGAAAATTTACGGAGCCTCCATTCCCAAAATAAGAGTAACTTTCTCCGTAAATTTACGGACTTTTTTTCTGACAGTGTGTGACCCGAGATAATTATGTCTTTTCTAAAATTGTGATATGTTTTGTTGTGTCTACAGACTTTACCAGACGACTTTCTACTAGCTGTGCTTGGTCACCTGCCCACGAGAGAACTCTTCACGGCCCGCTTGGTGTGTCGCCGTTTCCGAGATCTCTGCCTGCACCGGCAGTTGTGGAAAACCCGCAGTTTGGCGAATGATTTGTTTGGCTCGGTCAGTGTTGACTTCGGCTTGAGGCGAGCTGTGCTCAGTCTTGCCCCGTGCCTCCGACGACTGAGTCTTTCTCCCGGCCATTGTATCAGGCTGGCTCCTTTTGTTCCTTCGGTTTCTCAGCTTAACATTGATTTGGCATTCTATGGAGAGGGACAGGAAATAACATGTGACAATGCACAGGACTTCATCAACTTAGTTCAGAGACTTTCATCTCTTGGTGGCTTGACGGAGTTGGGCTTCTGTCTTGCGCTTGAAAATCCCAATTCGCTATTAGTGCAAGCTCTTCTGAAGACAATCTACACCATCAGTGGTCTTCAGAGTCTATTCATCGGTGGTGAAATCCCACTTGCAGCGGACATATCTGTCGACGTGAAAGTCGAGCCTTCTTTGAAAAAAATAAATTATAGGTCGTTGGGCGATGACGCCTGTGAGAGGGTACCTTTCATCGGGTCGCTGCTGAAGGCCCACGCGTCCACTCTGGAGGAAGTGATTGTTGAGCTGCATGATGTTCCCCTGTCTCCACTGCAAGGGAGCAAAAAGCTGCGGTCCTTGACCATCTTCCCACATGAAGAACTGCCATTGCTCGTGGATTGCCCCAACCTCTCCACCATTGAGATCGTGTATTCAGACAGGTGGGTCTATCCTGCAGGAACGATCGAGTTCTTCCGACGGGCCGTCAGTCTCCGGTCAGTGACCTTTACTTGCCCGGTAAGGGATTCTTTGGCCCCACTTGTGGCGCTGGCTGGGTCCAAGGCAGCTAAGCGAGTTTGGATGCTTGATATCTTCGCTACTTCGCCTGATGTCATCACACTGCTGGGGATCAGCCTCTACAAGTTCCCTTCCCTGCGGAGACTCACCTTCCAAGGCAAAGTGACAGACGACTTCCTTCGCGCAGTGGACCCCGCAGCGACGCCCAACCTCACTTCGCTGGCGCTCGACGTGTGCCACGACGGGTCGCCGTGCGCGCACTCCTGGCTGCACGGGCCCGCCATCCAGGACCTCTTCGCCAGGAACCCGCGCCTGGGACTGCACATTGAAAATTGGTATGGGAAGTATGGTCGTGACTGTTCCTGCAGGTGGTGCTCTTGGGGCTGCCACAGTAAGCTCGTTGAACCCAAGGGAGGGTTCTCTGCAGATTACATATGAATTGCTGTTGGATGATGAACACCAGCGTTCCATGTGACATGCCTGTTAGATGCGAAACTACTGCTTTCTGGTGCTTATTTAGCCAAGAAATTTACTTTTTCTTATTTGTCCATAAGAAAGTGGATTAAAATTTGCTTATTAGTTTTTACAGACTAAGTTTTTTTTGTTTCTTTACAAAGCAGCATTGCAACTATTTATTTGTAATTTGTTTACTCTTGTTGTGAAACGCTTCGAGATAGCTGTACCCTCGCCATTAAGGATCGTTGGAAGGACGCAATCTAATTATTATGTAAATAGACTGGTGTCAGTTACTTCGCTGTTTATTTTTCTACCATAAGGTAAAAAATCAATTGTGGGTCACATTTTTGAAAATTCCAAATTAAGGCCTTTAATTTTGACCTGGTGACAAAAGTGCACGTGCGGCCTTTAACTATGGTCCTTGGACTGAGTTTTGCAGCATAGTTGCCCCGTCTATCATCCTTATTTACTAAGCTGTGGCTGTTTTAAAAATAGTCTGTTTTGGCCCACAATTGATTTTTGGAACCAGTTGTGGGTCAGCATTGTAGAAAGCTCAAATTTGGATATGGTTTGCTTAAATGCGGAAGGAATTCACCTTTGAATTTATTTTTTGGAATCGTAAAAACTGCAGGATCTGTAGCACAATGAATCAATTGTGGGTCATATCAATTGTGGGCCATTTCGTCTTTTTGCTTGTAAATTGACCACTTTTGTAAGATATTTTCTTATTTTCATTAATAAAAGGTCCCTGGTTCTCAATAAACCAAGCAGGCACGTTTTTCACTCAAAGAGGAAAAATACATAAACAGGCTTATTTCACTGTGAGACAGATGTGAGTTAAACGTCCTGGATTAGAGACGAGACTTTTATAGTGCATACTCTAGGGCCGCCTGTGTGGTAGACAATCCAACACCACCCCCTTTCATCCTGAGGTATTGCTACAGTTTATAATCTGTTTCAGTCAGAATATTTAGTCTGTAGGGATTGATTTGACTCTTTTTTAACAGGGCTGGACTGGCCTCGGGTGCCTAGCCTGAAGTTAGAGACTTTCCCCCTTCCGGGCGCTATGTAAGCCCCGCAACCCCCCCCCCCTTTTCCCCCCCCAACAAAAAAAAGCCTTATGGCGGACTGGAAGAAGTGCTAGCGCTGTCATTCGGGGCTGTACCCCAAAGCTTAACAACCTTCGTATCGTAGTACTAAATGTGACAGAGCAAAAAAATGGAGTTTACTGTGATACATCACCCCTTCAGAAGCGCAGAAAACAAAAAATATAAGAAAAACTACCGTAAAATTCGTCTAAAATTATGGGTCGGACATGGTAGCGAACGCTACTTTGCTATCACCCGCGCACCATAGCATCGAATGATTGTGGGTGTACTATGGTAAATTTATGTTCCCTGACCTATTATGAAACCCAAATCAGCAAGGGCGTCCCGTTTTAAACCCCGTAAAAGCTTCACAGTGGCAATTTGAAAAACACACGATTTTTCGCCTCGTTGGATGGGCGCTTTTTTCACGACTTTTTGAAAGGGGCCCTTTCCCTTTTAAGCCTGATAGGAGCTGTCACGTCGTCGCTCGGACAAAAACGCTATTTGGGAAGACAAAGAAAGGGTTGGGGGAAGGTCTACCGCGAATTCAAAAAGATTCAATATCCGTCGGGTCTGCGGTGACCCGTCGAAAAAAAAGACCCACAATTGGGTTCGTGACCCACAATTGATTTTTTACCTTCATGCAGTGAAGGTTTTTTTTGCTAGTTTTTTCCCCCTGTTTGAATTGAACAAAAAAGGTTTTTGTTTTAGAAAGTGATGGGAGTGTACTTCCTGTCAGTTTCTTAAAAAATAAATTGAAGGTAAAGATAGTCTCACCAGATTTTCATTCCCACTATATATAAATCCCACACCGAGTCCGCACCTAGCACTGCTTTCCACCCGCGTCGTACTGCCTTCATCTCCAACATTGAGGGGTGAATAAATAGCCTATTCATGTGTACAGTTTGGCTCGTACTATAGTATATACTCACACGTATTTAGATTTTGGCCTCATTTGTCGTCTAAAACGCTAATCAAAATTGCTTTCGGATAATTTGGCCTTGTTTGTCGTCTAAAACGCTAATAAAAGCCGAAAATTGCGTATGTGTGTGAAATCGGGGGGTTTTTGAAATGTCACACCCGTACGTCTGCCTCAAAACGCTCACCCCTCGTCCAACATACAATCTTTGCGGAAAATGTAACGTTTGCGACTCACACAGTTGTAATCCTAAAAAAAAAAAAAATCCGAAAATACGGGCTTCAGGAGGCTTTTGCTTCCTCAAACTCTGAAGTGCATCTATTCGCCGCTCCAAATGAATGCACCGCCAAGATCTGCAATCTTAAACACAATGAAAGAGAACACCCTTTTGTGGTGGTTTAAAAACAAAACATATTAAAGTGAACGAAAATATTTTTTATTGCACCAGTTCGTTAAACATAAAACAATATAAAAATAGCACGTACAAAGGGGAAACCCAGCAAAATTATTTTTTTTGCAGTCTCTCATGCTAGGAATTAATTATTAGGAAAAAACGATGCCGATTTAACAAGCAGAAAATGAATTGCATCGAAGAACTAACACACTAGGCTCAGGATGTACGTGCTCTACAAATCGAAGAGTGTACATGGTATGCTCTAACTGGAGCATGCCTGCAGGCACGCTCTAGCTAGCGCATGCCTGCCAAGCATGCACTTACTAGCGCATACATGCCATGTACACGCTTCCTGATGCAGACAACTCCCTACCCTTTAATGCCTGGATGCATGCTTCAGTTAGCGTGTACATGGCATGTATGCACTAGTTAGTGCATGCCTGGCAGGCATGCGCTAGCTAGAGCGTGCTTGCAGGCATGCTCCAGTGAGAGCATACCATGTACACTCTTCGATTTGTTGAAGAAAGTAAACAAAGAACACGAAAAAACCTCAACACGGTGCAATTCCTGCATGTAAATATCAGAACGGATAGCTTGGCACGAACAATTACATATCAACAAAGCTTTTCAAAAAAAAAAAAAGGAGAAAGGCAACGTGTTCGGGTGAACAGGCACCTGAAAGCAGGTGGCCGCGGACTCGAGCAGCCATTTCATTTCAAAACGATTTAGCAGAGAACCCTTGCTTTGGCTCATCGAGATTACTGTGGCAGCCCCAGGAGCACCACCTGCAGGAACAGCCAGGGAGGTTCCCCTCCCAGTCGTGGATGAAGAGTCCCAGGCGCGGGTTCCTGGCGAAGAGGTCCTGGATGGCGGGCCCGTGCAGCCAGGAGTGCGCGCACGGCGACCCGTCGTGGCGCTCTTCGACCGTCAGCCAAGCGAGGTTGGGCGTCACTGCGGGGTCCACTGCGCGCAGGAAGTCGTCTGTCACTTTGCCTTGGAAGGTGAGTCTCCGCAGGGAAGGGAATTTGTGGAGGCTGATCCCCAGCAGAGTGATGACGTCAGGCGAAGTAGCCCAGACATCGAGAACCTCAACCCCTCGTGCCGCCTTGGAACCAGCCAGCGCCAGGAGTGGGGCCGTGGCATCATTCTCCGGACAAGAAAACGTCACTGACCGGAGACTGACGGCCCGTCGGAAGAACTCGATCGTTCCTGCAGGGTAGTCCCAGCTGTCCGCATACACGATCTCAATGGTGGAGAGGTTGGGGCAATCCACGAGCAGTGGCAGTTCTTCATGTGGGAAGATGGTCAAGGACCGCAGCTTTTTGCTCCCTTGCAGTGGAGACAGGGGAACATCAACCAGCTCAACAATCACTTCCTCCAGAGTAGACGCGTGGGCCTTCAGCAGCGACCCGATGAAGGGGACCTTCTCATAAGTGTCAACGCCCCACGATCTGTAGTTGATTTTTTTCAATGAAGGTTTGACTTCCAAACCGACAGGTATGTCAGCTGTAAGTTGACTTTCACCGCTGATGAAAAGGGTCTGGAGACCGTCGATGGTGTAGATTGCCTTCAGGAGAGCTTCCACTAATGGCGATGAGGCTCCACCAAGCGCAAGAGAGAGGCCCAGCTCCGTCAAGCCACCCAGAGAAGAAAGTCCCTGCACAATGGCGATGAAGCCCTGTACATTGTCGCGCGTTACTGCGTCTCCCTCTCCACCGAACACTGAGTTGATGTCGAGCGCAGAGACCGAGCACGAGATGCCGGGCACCACAGGGGCCAGCCTAGTACACTGCTCGGGGGAGAGAGTCAGTTGGTGAAGGCACGGGGCGAGACACAGCACAGCTCGCAGCAAGCCAAAACGGGCCGTGCCAAAATCATCGGTGTGCAGACTCCGGGTTTTCCACAACTGCCGGTGCAGGCAGAGGTCCCGGAAACGGCGACACACCACGCGGGCAGTGAAGAGTTCCCTCGTGGGCAGGTGACCCAGCACAGCCAGTAGAGCGTCGTCTGGTAAAGTCTGTTGGGACGAAGGAACATTACGAAACATTACAATAGACATGGCGGTAGGATTGACGAAGAAACGGCCGTGTAGACTATGTGGACCGGCAGTGAAAGGACAAGGAATCATAGCGCTTCTAAGCATTTGCGGACGTTCGTCCTACTTCTCAAAGTCAGCGTCTGCGCTGAGACGGTTTTAGTTCTTCTTCTTGTCTTTGACTCCCAGTCTGATGGAGTCTTTGAAATAGCCTTATCAAGCAAGAGCTCATCTTAAAGACCAAAATGAACAGCAACTTTGGCTAATAATCCGCCGCATCTCCGGGAAATTCCGAAGAAACCTATGACGACCGATATTGGTCCAGAAGAGAACATTCATGAATTAGGTAAGACCCATTTTGGCCCGTCTTGCGGTATTTAATTAACACATGTGTAAATAAACGACTAGCTCTTTGATTTAACTGTATTTTCGCGTTAAATATGTCAAATCTAACACTGAAGTTGATCGTGACAAGCGGGTGCCTGGGGCGCTCTACAAACTGAAGTGTGTACTTAGTATGCATCTACAGATGCATACTTGCAAGTACACACCTACAGATGCATACCTAGCTGAGTACACATCTACACTGTTAAAAAATGGTTGTACAGAAACAATCAGATGAGTGAAAATTTAGTCGTTCTAAAACATAGAATTTCATCATGAACCAAAGCGAAACAAATGCCATTGAGTCTAGAAAGCGACATTTTGTCGTTGAAGAAGAAAATTCTTGTTATCACTCTTTACGATACAATTTGAGTGGAAACAACTTCTTTTGCAATTATTTACTCAACTAAAGCATAAAATGAATAATCATCTATTTTGTTCTTCTAAGTCATATGGAAATTACTATTGTTAAAAAACCATGCAAAATAAATTTAGCGACAATTTAGCGACAAAAGTACACTATGAATATTGTCGCTGACATTACAAAATTTGTTTTGGACTTTCACTACTTGTCGTTGATGTATTATTGTTGGTGCGTAATTATCAGTTAGTCGTTGTGAAATTATCCCTTAGTTCCATCACGACAATGGTTTAACAAGCTATTCGTCCCACAACAAATCTTGCAGCTAAAAAAGTTAGCGATAAATGTGTCGCTAAGTTACGACAAAATTTTTATCAGTGTACAGATGCATACTTGGCTGAGTACACATCTACAGATGCATACTTGACAGGTATGCATCTGTAGATGTGTACTTGATACTGGGCATTTATATGGTGACAAGTACACACCTACTAATGCATACTTGCCAAGTATGCACCTACAGATGCATACTTAACAGGTATGCATCTGTAGATGTGTACTCAGCTAGGTATGCATCTGCAGGTGTGTACTTATAAGTATGCATCTGTAGATGCATACTGAGTACACACCTCAGTTTGTAGAGCAGTCAGCAGTCATCCAATGTTCATAAACTTTGACACAAAAAATTTCCCCAGCATAGCCCTATGCTTTAGATTATCAGTGATTTTACAATAACTGAATTATCAATAACTGCCCCACCCTCCATTACAGTAGAAACGTAATCTCATGGAACCTGAGAATTTTAAAACGAAAGTTAGAAATGACAGTTTCGGTGTAGGCGCGTTCCGCGTCAAACCATCATGGTCCAAAACGTACTTGCTCAGATCCGGCCCCCCAAATTTTTTTTCTGGTAGTGTACCACCCAAAGACCACTCTCATAAATTTTTTTTAAAAAAAATTCAGAACTTTGGCCGCAGTAATTTTTTGAAACTTCCAAAAAAAAAATATATTTTTTTTTTTAGTTTTTTTTAAATTGTGTATCTAGGTGCTCAAATGGGTTGAAAACAGTAAAGGGCAACATAAAATAGTGGGAAAAAAAATTGGGACCCCCAGCCCTTACCAGAAACAAAGTTTACGATTTAAAAAAAACACGGTTTCTTAATTCCCAAAACACGCCGTCTCACTTTTGGACCATATTGGCATCAAAGGACCCCAATGGGGGACTCTAACTGTCACTAAAAAATTAGGGACGGCAATCCATAAACACCAGAGATATTGTCAAAAAACTCTAAAAGTTATCGAAGGTTATCGAAGCTTTTTCCCCCAAAATTGTCAAAATGGGACCTATATTGGTTCCGCTGAGGCACTGTGCATTGAAATACTATTCAATTGTCCGTCTTAACACCATGGAAGATGTGAGAGAGGTGAAGGTCAGCATTACAAGAGTTTTGGAATTATACGGCAATAAGTTTTTTTAATTATAATAACCAAATGCGACAAAATGCATTGTTTGGCAGTCGCCAACTGAAGCTCATTGATTGGTGGGGACTTCATCCGGGCCATCTTCACCTTGACCATGCAACTGCTGGAGACTTAAAGGAAGAAAATGAAGATGACCCCGGGTGAAGTCCCCAGCAATCAATGAGCTTCAGTTTGGCGACTGCCAAATAATGCATTTTGTCGCATTTGGTTATTATAATTAAAAAAACTTATTGCCGTATAATTCCAAAACTCTTGTAATGCTGACCTTCACCTCTCTCACATCTTCCATGGTGTTAAGACAGACAATTGAATAGTATTTCAATGCACAGTGCCTCAGCGGAACCAATATAGGTCCCATTTTGACAATTTTGAGGGAAAAAGCTTCGATAACCTTCGATAACTTTTAGAGTTTTTTTACAATATCTCTGGTGTTTATGGATTGCCGTCCCTAAATTTTTTTGTGACAGTTAGAGTACCCCATTGGGGTCCTTTGATGCCAATATGGTCCAAAAGTGAGACGGCGTATTTTTGGGGAAATTTAAGAAACCGTGTTTTTTTTTTTTCGTAAACTTTGTTTCTGGTAAGGGCTGGGGGTCCCAATTTTTTTTCCCCCTATTTTATGTTGCCCTTTACTGTTTTCAACCCATTTGAGCACCTAGATACACAATTTAAAAAAAAATGAAAAAAAAAATTTTTAAGTTTTTTTTGGAAGTTTCAAAAAATTACTGCGGCCAAAGTTCTGAATTTTTTTCAAAAAAATTTATGAGAGTGGTCTTTGGGTGGTACACTACCAGATAAAAAAATTTGGGGGGCCCGGGTCTGAGCAAGTACGTTTTTGGGCCATGATGGTTTGACGTGGAACCCCCCGTAAAATATACGCGGCGGATGAGCTCAGCCCTCAGCATAAAAACTGCCAATTCTGAATTCCACTGTTGTCGATCCTCCGGGCCAGAGCTCCTTTGAAGCACCCTACACAGTTAAAATATGGTTGTTGTGAAAAGTTAGTTGTTCCAAAACATAGAATTTCATCACGAACCAAAGCGAAACAAATGTCGTTGAATCTAGTAAGCGACAATTTGTTGTTGAAGAACAAAATTCTTGTTATCACCCACAACGATACAATTTGTGTGGAAACAACATCTATTGCAATTATCTGCTCAATTAAAGCATATAATGAATAATCATCCATTTTGTTCCTCTAAGTCATAGGGAAATTACTATTGTTAAAAAAGGAACCATGCAAAATAAACTTAGCGACAAAAGTACTCCATGACTACTTGTCGCAGACATTACAAAATCTTTTTCGACTAACAATACTCGTCGTTAACTAACAACATTTGTTGTTGGTCAACAACTTGTTTTTGAAGGTGGACTGTTGATGTGTTATTACAAGTCAGTTGTTGTGAAATTATCCTTTAGTTCCAGTACAACTATGGTTTAACAAGCTATTCCTTCCACAACAAATCTTGTCGCTAAAAATGTTAGCGATAAATGTGTGGCTACAACAAAATTTCTATCAGTGTAAACATGTTTATCGTAAATATTAACAACAAGCCAACTTTAAAGCCTTTCTGAGTCTCAACGAAAGGCCGTCATCGTCATTCCAAGGAGCGCAATTTCCACCACAGGGAGACCCAGCTGGTTGAGTTCCCTACATAAACATTTCTTTAAAAATTAGAAACGGTCAAAATGTTTGAACGCACAGAATAAAAGTGGGCAAAAGGCGAGGGGGAAACAGCTTCTCACATTCGTTGTACAAAAATTGACCACATTTCACATTCAGGGGGCAAAAACGCCTGTAAGTAGGCAACTTGTATGGCAAAAATTCCAGAAATCCTGCACATTCTTGCACATTCACACAATCATTGTACACAAAATTTTACAGTGGGTCACCTCTCGGCAAAAGGGAAGCGTGCGATCGAGATTTCAAGCGACTGACTCATTGACGATCGTTTTCTTTCAGATAGGTTTTAAGTAATCTTTTCGAGTGGAAGCGACCACACCGCTACCCGGGTATACTACTTACATCGTTCATGGTCGCATCGGACATGGTCACAGAACGGGGCGACGCTGACGAGCAGGGTGTGCGGCGCACGAAGTCTTGGCCGACGTCGAGATGTACAAGAAGTTGGGGAAGTTGACAGGCAGGGGCCAGCGACAGGTCCGCGGAGTCCTACAACGAGAAGCACAGAAGTTAGGCACACCGTAATGGATTGGCGATGCGATCACTCTTGAAGACTTTCAAAGAAAAGTAGTAGGGGAGGGTGGGCAGTTGCTGACTTGCTGACAAGGGGCACTTGCAAATTCTCATAGAAGATTCCGTCACGCCTCTGAGATATCCCGTTGCGTATAGTCAGTGCTCATCTAAATTGGATTGCAGAGAAGACTTAAGAGGTTTGAGAAAGACGTGCCATGTAATGATCATTATATCAAAGTTTCATAACCCCCCCAAAACGGCCTCATACCAAAATTTCATTTTAGACTTTATTGGCTGAGCGATAGCGAAGCCTGTTACTCCATTGGGGTGCGACAAAAGTACACTATGAATATTGTCGCTGACATTACAAAATTTGTTTTGGACTTTCACTACTTGTCGTTGATGTATTATTGTTGGTGCGTAATTATCAGTTAGTCGTTGTGAAATTATCCCTTAGTTCCATCACGACAATGGTTTAACAAGCTATTCGTCCCACAACAAATCTTGCAGCTAAAAAAGTTAGCGATAAATGTGTCGCTAAGTTACGACAAAATTTTTATCAGTGTACAGATGCATACTTGGCTGAGTACACATCTACAGATGCATACTTGACAGGTATGCATCTGTAGATGTGTACTTGATACTGGGCATTTATATGGTGACAAGTACACACCTACTAATGCATACTTGCCAAGTATGCACCTACAGATGCATACTTAACAGGTATGCATCTGTAGATGTGTACTCAGCTAGGTATGCATCTGCAGGTGTGTACTTATAAGTATGCATCTGTAGATGCATACTGAGTACACACCTCAGTTTGTAGAGCAGTCAGCAGTCATCCAATGTTCATAAACTTTGACACAAAAATTCCTCAGCATAGCCCTATGCTTTAGATTATCAGTGATTTTACAATAACTGAATTATCAATAACTGCCCCACCCTCCATTACAGTAGAAACGTAATCTCATGGAACCTGAGAATTTTAAAACGAAAGTTAGAAATGACAGTTTCGGTGTAGGCGCGTTCCGCGTCAAACCATCATGGTCCAAAACGTACTTGCTCAGATCCGGCCCCCAATTTTTTATCTGGTAGTGTACCACCCAAAGACCACTCTCATAAATTTTTTTGAAAAAAAAATTCAGAACTTTGGCCGCAGTAATTTTTTGAAACTTCCAAAAAAAAAATATAATTTTTTTTTTCAGTTTTTTTTAAATTGTGTATCTAGGTGCTCAAATGGGTTGAAAACAGTAAAGGGCAACATAAAATAGTGGGAAAAAAAATTGGGACCCCCAGCCCTTACCAGAAACAAAGTTTACGATTTAAAAAAAACACGGTTTCTTGAATTCCCAAAACACGCCGTCTCACTTTTGGACCATATTGGCATCAAAGGACCCCAATGGGGTACTCTAACTGTCACTAAAAAATTAGGGACGGCAATCCATAAACACCAGAGATATTGTCAAAAAACTCTAAAAGTTATCGAAGGTTATCGAAGCTTTTTCCCCCAAAATTGTCAAAATGGGACCTATATTGGTTCCGCTGAGGCACTGTGCATTGAAATACTATTCAATTGTCCGTCTTAACACCATGGAAGATGTGAGAGAGGTGAAGGTCAGCATTACAAGAGTTTTGGAATTATACGGCAATAAGTTTTTTTAATTATAATAACCAAATGCGACAAAATGCATTGTTTGGCAGTCGCCAACTGAAGCTCATTGATTGGTGGGGACTTCATCCGGGCCATCTTCACCTTGACCATGCAACTGCTGGAGACTTAAAGGAAGAAAATGAAGATGACCCGGATGAAGTCCCCAGCAATCAATGAGCTTCAGTTTGGCGACTGCCAAATAATGCATTTTGTCGCATTTGGTTATTATAATTAAAAAAACTTATTGCCGTATAATTCCAAAACTCTTGTAATGCTGACCTTCACCTCTCTCACATCTTCCATGGTGTTAAGACAGACAATTGAATAGTATTTCAATGCACAGTGCCTCAGCGGAACCAATATAGGTCCCATTTTGACAATTTTGAGGGAAAAAGCTTCGATAACCTTCGATAACTTTTAGAGTTTTTTGACAATATCTCTGGTGTTTATGGATTGCCGTCCCTAATTTTTTAGTGACAGTTAGAGTACCCCATTGGGGTCCTTTGATGCCAATATGGTCCAAAAGTGAGACGGCGTATTTTGGGAATTCAAGAAACCGTGTTTTTTTTTTATCGTAAACTTTGTTTCTGGTAAGGGCTGGGGGTCCCAATTTTTTTCCCACTATTTTATGTTGCCCTTTACTGTTTTCAACCCATTTGAGCACCTAGATACACAATTTAAAAAAAACTGAAAAAAAAATTTATAAGTTTTTTTTGGAAGTTTCAAAAAATTACTGCGGCCAAAGTTCTGAATTTTTTTCAAAAAGATTTATGAGAGTGGTCTTTGGGTGGTACACTACCAGATAAAAAATTGGGGGCCGGATCTGAGCAAGTACGTTTTGGACCATGATGGTTTGACGTGGAACGCCCCTGTAAAATATACGCGGCGGATGAGCTCAGCCCTCAGCATAAAAACTGCCAATTCTGAATTCCACTGTTGTCGATCCTCCGGGCCAGAGCTCCTTTGAAGCACCCTACACAGTTAAAATATGGTTGTTGTGAAAAGTTAGTTGTTCCAAAACATAGAATTTCATCACGAACCAAAGCGAAACAAATGTCGTTGAATCTAGTAAGCGACAATTTGTTGTTGAAGAACAAAATTCTTGTTATCACCCACAACGATACAATTTGTGTGGAAACAACATCTATTGCAATTATCTGCTCAATTAAAGCATATAATGAATAATCATCCATTTTGTTCCTCTAAGTCATAGGGAAATTACTATTGTTAAAAAAGGAACCATGCAAAATAAACTTAGCGACAAAAGTACTCCATGACTACTTGTCGCAGACATTACAAAATCTTTTTCGACTAACAATACTCGTCGTTAACTAACAACATTTGTTGTTGGTCAACAACTTGTTTTTGAAGGTGGACTGTTGATGTGTTATTACAAGTCAGTTGTTGTGAAATTATCCTTTAGTTCCAGTACAACTATGGTTTAACAAGCTATTCCTTCCACAACAAATCTTGTCGCTAAAAATGTTAGCGATAAATGTGTGGCTACAACAAAATTTCTATCAGTGTAAACATGTTTATCGTAAATATTAACAACAAGCCAACTTTAAAGCCTTTCTGAGTCTCAACGAAAGGCCGTCATCGTCATTCCAAGGAGCGCAATTTCCACCACAGGAGAGACCCAGCTGGTTGAGTTCCCTACATAAACATTTCTTTAAAAATTAGAAACGGTCAAAATGTTTGAACGCACAGAATAAAAGTGGGCAAAAGGCGAGGGGGAAACAGCTTCTCACATTCGTTGTACAAAAATTGACCACATTTCACATTCAGGGGGCAAAAACGCCTGTAAGTAGGCAACTTGTATGGCAAAAATTCCAGAAATCCTGCACATTCTTGCACATTCACACAATCATTGTACACAAAATTTTACAGTGGGTCACCTCTCGGCAAAAGGGTTAAGCGTGCGATCGAGATTTCAAGCGACTGACTCATTGACGATCGTTTTCTTTCAGATAGGTTTTAAGTAATCTTTTCGAGTGGAAGCGACCACACCGCTACCCGGGTATACTACTTACATCGTTCATGGTCGCATCGGACATGGTCACAGAACGGGGCGACGCTGACGAGCAGGGTGTGCGGCGCACGAAGTCTTGGCCGACGTCGAGATGTACAAGAAGTTGGGGAAGTTGACAGGCAGGGGCCAGCGACAGGTCCGCGGAGTCCTACAACGAGAAGCACAGAAGTTAGGCACACCGTAATGGATTGGCGATGCGATCACTCTTGAAGACTTTCAAAGAAAAGTAGTAGGGGAGGGTGGGCAGTTGCTGACTTGCTGACAAGGGGCACTTGCAAATTCTCATAGAAGATTCCGTCACGCCTCTGAGATATCCCGTTGCGTATAGTCAGTGCTCATCTAAATTGGATTGCAGAGAAGACTTAAGAGGTTTGAGAAAGACGTGCCATGTAATGATCATTATATCAAAGTTTCATAACCCCCCAAAGCGGCCTCATACCAAAATTTCATTTTAGACTTTATTGGCTGAGCGATAGCGAAGCCTGTTACTCCATTGGGGTTGAAAAGTTTTTTCTGTCTGTCTGTCTGTCTGTCTGTCTGTCCGTCTGTCTGTGTGTGTGTCCGCACTACTCCTCCTGAACGGCTCGGCCGATCTCGGTGAGATTTTGCACACTTCTTGGGTATGTCCTTGGCTCGGCACACGCGAAATTTCACTATCCTAACTCAACTGGTTCAGTTTTTATAGCCGAAAAACACCTAAAAAACGGCGAAAAATCGAGTTTTCTGCAGGCAGATCACTTCTGTCTTGAAGAAGGGGGGTCTAGGGGGCGGAGCCCCCCAGCTCCGACAAGTTAAAAAGTTACAAGGGATCTTGAATGAAGAGGGGTCTGGGGGCGGAGCCCCCCAGCATGCATCAAGTTAGAAGTAACCGACGATGGATAAGCCATTGCCTGCCGAAGGCAGGCTAGCGCCGCAGGCCAAGGTAGGTACGCCAGGCGCGGATTGGAGGAACAGGCAGCGAGACATCGCGAAGCCTGTTACGACAAGACGCGGTCTGGCGTAAACCTACCTTGTATATATAGAATATATTGTGCTATATATATAAGGTATATTAAGTGTTATTTCACCTTAAATTCGCGCTAGAACATTGCAGGAATATCAATTCTACTTTGCACTGTACTTGATCATGTTAAAAATGGTGCCTGAAGCACTGTTCACAAGACAATATTTCCGCCCCGAACATATAATTTGGTCAAATTGGAGCACTGAGAATGAAAGAGTCACCACCATTGCCCTTTCATTGGGTAACGCACGCACCGTTGCCCAAATTTGGGTGACGAGGCCGCGGTGACCAAATTTTGGGCAGTCATGAAATCGTCGCCCAAATTTGGGTAACGTCGTCGGTGACGCCGTAAGGTCCCCGATGACGCTCCTCCGGGGCCATCACGATGAACCAATGTGGCGTTGAAGCCTCCGGTCATCGTGGCCCCGGAAGGACGTCATCGGGAACCTCACGGCGTCGTCGGCGGACGGCGTTACCCAAATTTGGGCGACCAAACGCCTGTTACCAAATTTCGGGTGATGAATTTTTCATCACCAACTTTTGGGCAACGAAGTTGCATCACCCATTTAAAGGGTGATGGTGGTGACCAATTCATTCTCAGTGAGCTCTCACGTAAGTTTTCAACGAACAATAAACGATTAAACAAGCACAGCTAAGAACGGGGGCATGCAAATAGTTCAAAACCAGTAAATCTGAAAAACCGTTATTAACTTTCGGACCGAATAGCCAGGCCTCCGTAGAGTAGAAGGCTCAAACAAATTTTAGGGCTGAAAAGGGTTCCCGAAACTTAATTTTCAGGGGGGAGAGGGGGGCTGTTCTGCCGCGGGGGGTCCGAACTTGCGTAACGTTACGCTTTCTGGGGAGTTCTGACCCCCGTCCCCCTTGCGAATGCGAAGATTAAAGTGAAGGTACAGAAAGAAAATATTTTGAAACGCAACGATTGAATTCCTCGGGTACTTTCCGATGTGAACACGAATGTTATTGCCATATTTCAAGTAGAAGGCAGGACATCGAGAAACCTCAACTTCGGGTAAAAGATCCTTTCAGTCGCCGCCGAGAGCAGATCAAAAGTAATCAAAACTAGGAAACACTAGGAATCGTTCCTAATGGTTCCTGACATTTTGACTACTTTCGTTCGTCACTCGGCGGCGACTGAAAGGGTCTTAAAAGCGCATTGCACTTATTATACCTTTGCGTGCGTCGTCCGTTCGCGCTCACCTAGTCAGCAGGAACTTCAAGAGTATGACGATTTAACGACTCTTTCTTAAAATTCGGCGCTAGGGGGCTGGAGAATTCAGCCGGCGAAACGTTCCACTCGCACGGCTGTCAAGTTTGCCGCTACGACACAGACCTCAAACCAAATCTGTAGGTAGGTGCGGAGCGTCACTTTCGAGGAATGTCTGCTGCACCTGACCCACGCCTTAACCAGCGAGTCGTTGACAGAGGCGCAGCCAGCGACGCGCGAAGGTGAGGGAAGTTCCCTCAGGGAACCGTATCACTGTATCACACGCAACGCAGTGTCCCTGGATCAGATCAGAATTCAACTGAGGTCAACATTGGCGGTAAAATGAATGAGGAACCAGAGTAGACCACCGGCGCGTTTCTTATTCTTCTAACCGAACCGATATCTTTCTGAGACGTAGATTCCAACCGGAACCACATCAGGGAACAGTTCAGTCAATACAAGCAGTTGAGGTTGGTCGGAGAGCTGTTTGAGCGAAGAAAGCCCTCTCGCCAAGTTCGAGGAGAGAATTTCCCACAAACGCTCGTCGACCTACGGAGAGAGAACCCCGAGCACGGGAAGTGTGATCTTAAACGGAGGTCAAAGAAGACCCACGTTGATCTGATCACTCTGGTCGAGGCCGACCGAAGGAACCGAATAAGAATCGAAGTAACGTTCGTAACGGACATTTTAGGTGTACACACTAAACTTCTTACGGATACATCCTATCTGTATTACGGACATTTTTGTGCAATTGCAATTACGGATAGATTTTGCTTGTAATACGGATGAAATCATCCGTATTACAAAGAGTTTTACGTCCGTAACATACAGACGAAAATATCCGTACGCTACGGACGTAAAACTCTTTGTAATACGGATGATTTCATCCGTTACTCACCAGGTGACTCACCGTGCTTCGCCCCAACTTAGACCTGATGTACAAAAGTCTGTGGAATATGGCATTTTAACGAGTCCCTGGACGCATACCTGCATGTTGCTAAAGTTCCCTACCTTTTGAACGGAAAGCAGAGCACCAGAACTTTGCAAGCATGTTCCAAAAGTAGAGTGAAGCTCCCAGCTTTGCTCCAGGCGGAGTATACGCATGCTTCAAATTTGGGCGAGGAATCCTTCCTCACCCAAATTTGGGTACCAAAGAATTCCTCGCCCAAAATTTTAGCCATGATCATCACTCTTTTATTCTTTCAACGTCGTGCAGGAATTGGCGAGTGGTCTCCTCCAGTCCTCGCCGGTCCTGCCACCCCATCAGCATGGAGACGCCGAAGCTCGCCGACCTGGCGGTGGACACCGCGGAGGCGGCGCTGCGCGTCGCGCGCCTGCGACTGCAGTCCGCGGAGGTCGAAGCAGACGCCGCCAGGACGTCTGTGCAGCTGGCCGAGCTCAGCAGAGACCACGCCGTCAAGCGCAGGGAGCTGGGCACGCTGCGGCAGCAGGCGGACGCTAGCAGTGGGAATGGGGTAAGCTTCTTTGAGCACATGTGCACCACTAAACAACTGCCTACTTAGTTCTCACTTGCACAGTTCACAATTACTAATGCGCCTTTGACAAGTTCATATAGAAATGCATATTTGCAATTACACACCTACACGCTTGAAACCTTACGAACTATTTTGAGCATACACAATGCAAACTAGTTTGTATTGTTACACGAAAAAAATAGTCCGTAAATTACGAAGTTCTTTCTCTGTAAGCTGATGCATTCTCTAAATACTTTGTTATAAAAAACTGCTTTTCTTTGTAAAGCCTAACATAGTTTGTAAGGTTTTCACAGTACACGTACGCTCAATGTGAAGCCCAGCGTGATATGTTCACACCTGAGCATGTTTAGTAGGGCGTAAATGTTATGAATTTGTTTTACCCACGGTGTTCCAATGCTCTGCATTATCGCAGTAAGTTTCCTAAGGGACGGAAGCCCAAGACTGTTTCTCAACTGCTTGGACCACTGTGGAAAAGAATACGGAGAATTCAGTTATTTTTTTGCCAATACTCTCTGGGGCAACTCAATATTTTCCGTAGCCTCCAATCAATTTTCTCCGTAGGACTTGCAGTATTCTCCGCATGCCCGTTGCAAACCAATAAGGTGCTCAGAGAGGACTGTAACCCCTTATAGGAACAATGACAAGAAGGCTACGGAAACTGTTGGGTTCCAGGTACGGAGAATTGTCACAACACTCCAAAGCCAGTGGTAAGTTTGCTTGCCACAAATTTGGCAAGCCGTTTTGAATGCCAAAATTTGGCAAGCTTTAGTCGTGTCAATCTTCAAAAGCTTGCCAAATTTGGGCAAACTAGGGAGTATTTCCGGGCTAAGCTTGCCAAATTTTGGCAAGCTGGGGAGTATTTCCGGGCCATGCTTGTCAATTTTTGGCATTCAAAACGGCTTGCCAAATTTGTAGCAAGTAAACTTACCACCGGCATTGCAGTGAAGTTAGACTTCTCTGTAACTGCTTGCTGCAGGTGGCTGTAGTGATTTGCTGAAGTGGTGTTTATGATCCCAGGTCCCGGTCAACGCTCCCTCGCCGCCCACTTCCCCGGCAGCCAAGAGGGCGAAAACAGCAGCTTCTGACGCTCTAGTGGAGGCCGAGAGACGTTTGGCAGAGGTCCAGAGTCAGGAGCCGGAGGCCCAGAAGGCGGTGGAGGCGGCGAGGGGCCGCGCGGAGGACCTGAGGCGCCGCCTGGAGCAGTGCCAGCGAGAGATGCGCGAGACTCTGCGCCAGCTCGCCGACCTGCGCGCTGCACAGGGGCAGGTGGAGCAGCCAGGCGGAGCTCAAACTCACAAGGTGAGACTTCTAACCGACTCTCGGCGATGCGACAGGTATGGGGTCGTACCCATATTACGTGACCGGTTTAGGGGGGCGGGGGGGTTCTGCAAAGTATTATAGTCAATAGTCGGTCACGAGGGGGAGGGGAGAGGTCAAGGAAAAGTCACGTAGTTTTCGTGAAATGGGTATATATGGTCCCAGTATTCGCTACAAACAATGTTAATTATAATGTGAGCGGAAAAATTGATCCAAACTCTCTTTGAAAGAAAGAAAGACAGACTTTTTATACCCGAATTTTGCTACCACGAAATGCAATTAGGATCCAAGGAGTCAAAATGTGCAAATGTCTTCCGCGAACAGAATGTGGGAAGCAGAGCTTCAGCATCGTCATGAATCCTTGCTTGACAAATAAAAAGGGGAACGTCGAAACTTATTTTGTCAAATTGACACCCGAAAGTTAAATCCCACCGATCGCGTGCATCGGAAAACCGCGTCATGTCTGGCTGTACGTTTGGCTTACAATTCCTAATGTTCATCTTCTTTGGGATAACGCAAAAGTTTCATGTTCTTTGCTGGAATTTCATGCTTTCTATTTTTGTTTTCAAATGCTACATATATAGGCTGGAATATTTTTTTTCTGACATACCACGTGACTAGGGGAGAGGGGGGAAGGGGGTTTGAGCATATCCCACGATCGGTCACGAGAGGGGGGGAGGGGGTCAAAACGTGGCCCAAAATCGGTCACGTAACATGGGTACGACCCCTATTACCCAAGGAAGTTCATACTCAAAAGTACTGGAAAGCGATAGTCGGCGATAGTCTTATGTCCGGAACTTTCGTGACGCTTTCAAGTACACTGCTAACCCAAGTGTGAGACAGTGAGACAGTCTCACACTATTTAGTGCGAACCACGATGTCTCACGCTTACAAGTGTGAACCACGTGTGTCCCACGCTTGCACGTGTGAGACACGGTATGTCTCACACTTGCAAGCGTGAGACCCGGTTTGTCTCACACTTATCAGCGTGGGTCCTGTGGCATTAAACCACAGGGAACCATAGGCAGCAAGTGTAGGACAAACCGTGTCTCACACTTGGAAGTGTGAGACAAATGATGTCTCACACTTGCAACCGTGGGACAAACGTGGTTCCCACTTGTAAGCGTGAGACATCGTGGTTCGCATTAAATAGTGTGAGACTGTCTCACACTTGGATCGGCAGTGTTCATTTTATTTAGCGACACATTTGAGTATCGCCAACAAAGGGCCATTCACTTTTTTTCAAAGAGGCGGCAAACAAAAGTATCGCCAAATTTCTCAATACTTCGGATTGGTAATATTTGTTAACAAACTTCAAACAACTCAAGGGGACTGGTGCATTGTTCATTGCCAGATTTTGGTGATACTTAAGTGTATTGCCGTTCAGAAAGCAAGATTTTTCGGTAAGGCCATTTGTTTGCGATACTCAAATCGCATCGCCTTTGGATTTGCAGTGAATTTGGTCGTACATCAGCAAGACTGCCTACACTGTTGCAAAAGGTACGAAGTATTCCTTATTTGTTGTCTCAGAACTCAGCCTTTATCATTCTCGGTCTACAGTATTTAGTACCATGCACAGTATGTTTGAAGACGCACCGTTTTCCGGTCAGTTTTATTTGTCCCGCCCTGTAAAGGACGAGGTGCGTCACGAAAATACTTAAGCTTCGGACTTTCAGTCGAGCCACAAGCCTTATTTTCTAAGCTTTGCACAGTGAGATGCACTTGACGTAGAAGTAACGCCTGATCCAAGTGTCATGACAGTCATCACACTATTTTTCGACCTACATTTAGTCTCACCATTGACATATGTTGAGACCACGTATTCCTCAGGTTGCAAGTGTAGACATCATTTGCTTTCTACACACCTTCTTTCAAGTCCGTGAGACACGTTGTACACTGCCGATCCAGTTGGAAGTTCCACTATTTTTGCGAAGCCCAGCCCACGCTGTAAAGTTGAGCACGAACCGGTCCACGCTTGCAAGTGTGAGAAACTCACATGGCAGTGTGAGACAGTTTGAAACATGTGCCTAGTCTGTTGTAATCCACAGGACCACGCAAGTTAAGAAGGGGCTGCTTGCAAGAGAAATAGTGCAGTTGAAACAGGCGTAATCCTCTATTTGTCGATGAGTCAATCTATTCTGATTTGCGATCGACACGGTCGTCAACGGTGCACTTTAGTGGCCTTGAAAGAAAGGTGAAACTTCGGTAACATTGAAATTGGCCTAAACTTAAATTTCTAAGTCACAGGAGTTTCCGTCTGGGTTTCGCTAGTAAGCGATCATCTCCTCTCCCGCACACTTAATTCATCTTTTAGTACCATATTAGGCAAGCGTAACGCACCCTCGGACACTGACGTAGCCCCCACCAAGTCCGGCGGGGAGCAGCACAACTGGAATGGTGCCCTCTGGGGCAGTTTGAAACAGAAGTGGATGGGGCAGTTAGCAACTCAGCAATATCACTAGAAAAAACGTTTTATACTATGGAAAGCGAGCATAATGATGGAAGTTCGTAATTCCAGATCGCATCAATGGAGACGGTGTATGTTTGACCCGTGACTTGCATCAAAATGCAACATTTATAAACTGTTGCATGTTGAAAACTTTGCGGGCCGAACAAGGCCTTTATTTCAACTCAAAAACAGTAATGTGTATTAATAACTTTTGTTCGCCTCTCTGAGACAAATCCATTGCCGTACGCATTTTCAAAAAAATCGCGTTTTGAAAAATATGCGTTTTTGGCTTATAAATTATTATAAAAAATGTTGAAAAAATTCGTCAAAATGTCAGCACTTGCATGGCAACGTCTATTTGAGTCTATTTGAATCTATTTGAGTTGTGTACGCGGCTCTTCTTGGTCCGTGTACACTTCCATGCAGCTGTTTCAAACTGCCCCATCGCTGTTTCAAACTGCCCCGGCCTGGGGCAGTTTGAAACAGATGCAAGGGTCGGAGTTTCACCTAACGTTGAACGAACTTGTGAGCGTCTGCGGGCGTTTTCTAGTCTAGATAATGAGTCACTCTATTAATCTAGTGCAAACACGCAGCATATAGACTAACAGTACGATTATAATAACGAAATTCCAAATTCTGTTTCAAACTGCCCCACCCTCCCTTACCGTGGGACACACGTGGTTCACACTTGTAAGCGTGAGACATCGTGGTTCGCACTAAATAGTGCGAGACTGTCTCACACTTGGGCAGTGTAGAGTGCTACAGCGTGCTGGTGTTGCAGGTGGGGCTGGCCTCGCTGCCCGAGGACGAGTTGCTGCTGGTGCTGAGCCACCTCGAGCCCAGGGAGCTGTTCGCGTGCCGACGAGTCTGCCGCCGGTGGGCAAACGTGGCGATGCATCGGGACTTGTGGAGTAAGAGGAGCCTCAGGCTCAGGTTAGTGTACTCTGCAAACTCAACAACTGTGAACTGCTCTGCAAACTCAAGTGTGTGTCAGGCTGCCTGCCAGGCACACACTGCTTGGTGCATGCCTGGCAGGCACACACTTGCCGTCGCTTATGCATGCATACAAGCAAGTGTGTGGCTGCCAGGCATGCATGAAGAATTGTGTGGCTGCCAGGCATGCATCAAGAATTGTGTGCCTGCCAGGCATGCACCAAGAAGTGCATGCCTGGCACACACTTGAGTTTGCAGAGTGTGCACGTGCAGAATGGGCTTGCAAAATTGAGTTGTGTACACACTTGAAGGTACTGTCTTTAGTTAAAGTTGTTCTGAACCGGGGCCGTAGTTTCAGACTTGACGACGCTGGGCTGATCGCTGCAGTATTACGTCGAAGCCCTTGCCTGCGCAGCCTCACCTTGGATTGTAACGCTTTCGACCGTCTTGGCGCTCTGCTCGCGCTCTCGGGGTGCGCTGTGTCGGAACTTGACATCACAGTCAGAGCAGAGCACGCAGTCCTCTGGGCGATGCTGCTGAGGAAGTACGGACAACTTGCACACTGAAAACTGAAGTGTGTACTGAGTTCGGAGGGCGGCAATTGCCACGGAGACGTGAATCCATGCCAGCGCCTTCGGTACAGGCGTTACGCACTTCTGAGAGTATGAAAACTAGGCCTTTGTTATTAAAACGCCCTGCACATGTGGAAAGAGCTTGAAATGTAGGGTGCAACATGCAAAGTGTCCTTCTCTTTCTCTCTTTTACCCTTGAAAAATTAAAGGGTGTCCCGTAACAAAAATCTTAAAAAAAAAATACGATTTCAAGAAATCCTAGGAGTCACGAAGTCAATTTGATTTTTGTGTAAGAGTGTGGAGAAAGAAAAGAAGTGGTGTTGTGAAGTTGTGGCTCAGGGGACTACCAATGGCAGTGGTACCAATGTGGTCGATGTGCCATCCGTCGAAATTTAAACTTGACAATAAATAGAAATCAAAATGCTGGTAAATTCAAAAAATTCCAATGCTAATGTATTCCGCAGTGTTCTGACAATGGAACATTTTTGAAGTCCATCATGATTGAAATGTTCTTAGCAGAGAGAAGTCAGCAAATTAATTTTCTCGGGTTGGCAACTATTTTCTCGGCGTCTGCGCCCTTGCGAAAATCGCGAAGCTGAAAGCGCCAGCAGTCGCGCATTAAAACTGCCCCTCCATTGTTGTGGACGTTGAATTGTTTGGCTTGTTTCAAGGCTGTGGTCTCTAGCCGTTGGGCAACCCGTGGCGATGCTCGACTTGTATCAAGGACCTCAGGCTCAGGTTAGTGTACTCTGCAACTCAACACTGTGAACTGCTCTGCAAACTCGTGGTGTCAGCTCTGCCAGGCACACACTGCTTGTGCATGCTGGCGGGCACACACTTGCCGTCGCTTATGATGCATACAAGCAAGTGTGTGGCTCCAGATCAAAAACTGCGGCATGCCAAGAAGTTGCCTGCCAGGCATGCACAAAGAAGTGCATGCCTGCACACACTTGGTTTGCAGAGTGTGCACGTGCAGAATGGGCTTGCAAAATTGAGTTGTTACACCTTGAAGGTACTGTCTTAGTTAAAGTTTTTCTGAACGGGCCGTAGTTTCAGACTTGACGACGCTGGGCTGATCGCTGCAGTATACGTCGAAGCCCTTGCCTGCGCAGCCTCACTTGGATTAACGCTTTCGACCGTCTTGGCGCTCTGCTCGCGCTCTCGGGGTGCGCTGTGTCGGAACTTGACATCACAGTCAGAGCAGAGCACGCAGTCCTCTGGGCGATGCTGCTGAAGAAGTACGGACAACTTGCACACTGAAAACTGAAGTGTGTACTGAGTTCGGAGGGCGGCAATTGCCACGGAGACGTGAATCCATGCCAGCGCCTTCGGTACGGTACAGGCGTTACGCACTTCTGAGAGTATGAAAACTAGGCCTTTGTATTTAAACGCCTGCACAGTGGAAAGAGTTTTGAAATGTAGGGTGCAACATGCAAAGTGTCCTTCTCTTTCTCTCTTTTACCCTTGAAAAATTAAAGGGTGTCCCGTAACAAAAATCTTAAAAAAAAAACTCATGTAATGGCTTGGCCGCACCGTCCCCGGCCGTCTCGGTGTAGAGATTGCCCCTCGCCATAAATTTTGTAAACAAACTTGAGAAATAATGTAACAACCTTGAAATATTTGTAAGTCAGTCACTTCACTTAAGAGATTTGAATTTGGTGTGTGAAGAAGTCAAAGCTTCGAATAGATCAAAGTTTCCTGAGCCTTAAAGTTGGTGTCAGGTGCGAATGGACATGACGGAACTTTCTAAAACGACCCATTTGGCCTCCCTCGAGTCAAATATTTGCTTTGAAACTGCATACACAATGGGAATAAGGTAGTCCAGTGTCAAACAAGATTCTTGAACGTTAAAAATGGATTGCAATGGACCAAGTTCGCTCTGAGGAGGGCGTGGACAGGAAAACGCGTGGAATCACTCTACTAGTTTTTATCCTCTTGAAGAAGTGCGTAACTGCTGCAACGCGCTCCAGTAGCCGTTGCCACCCCCTGCACACTAAATGTTTTTGTACAAATTTTGTACGAGACATCACAGTTTTTTGTGCGCACGAACTTTTCGTACAAATTTGTAGGAGATTTTGCACAAAATGGGACACTTTGTGCAGTTTTCCATACAAAAATTGTTCGAAAAGTTCGTCTGCACTTAAATCTGTGGTGTCTCGTACTGAATTGTACATAGTGTGTGTGAGTACACGGTTTTCAGCGAGCCTCTGACTAGGTCAGGAGGCGCAGGGTGCATCACGTATATCTACCGTATTTGCAGGCAAGCTTCAATGGGGCGGCTCAAAAAGCTGAAGGTAGAGGTTGAAAGTTACAATGTCCTGAAAAGTCCATGTGCCGTACTCCGACACCTACTCCAAGAAGTTCTCTACACCCGGGGTAAGTCACCGCGTCATCACTTAACACCGATGGATTCGTCTCGACAAGACAAAGAAGGGAAAGTGGCTTCACCAATCGGTAACTTCGGCCCGTCCCATTTCCTAATTCGTGGGTTTTGTCTATTTCTAACTCAGACGGGATTTGATCTTCAGTGTAGGTCACAAAGGGTGTTATTTTGGTCATGAGCACCCTTTAAAACATACACTTATATACCCCACCGAGACTTGAGCCGGAGTCCAAACGTCTTCGATGTGATCGAAAGTTTACATCGGCGCCTCGGTTTTAAAAGTACCCCTCCATGCCCTTCTACCTGTAAACGTTGCCGAAATCGTCTTCGATCACACCGACCATTATGCACCTGCTGCATCGCCCGTGGGACTCGAATCTGATTTTCTTGCACCGAGCGGTTTTTGGGGTCACCGAAGGAGGCTATGTTTACCAATTTGGGCAAGGTCGGACCACGGGAAGTCCTAGGAATTTACGGCATTAGCGCTGATGATGAGTAAAACAATCCACGTAAATATTTTCCATCAGGTATGGACTTTGTTTTCAGGTCTAGAAACGATCAAGCTGGAATTATCAGCTGACTTCGGCAAAGCTGAGGATCTTCTCAAGGCAATGAAGTACGAGCACCGTCCTCCGCCGGCCCTGCGGAAGCTGGTGCACGATAACAAGTTCGCGGACCCGTACCTGCCCCTGCAACTGGAGTGGCACGCGGCCACGCTGGAGGTGAGTGCGCAAAAGTTTTGCTTCCTCAAGTCATCAGTTTTGATAAAATTTGTCTGGAGCAAATCTGGGCATATCCACGGGCGTTCGCGGGCACAGGGTACTACAGGGTGGGCAGGGCGCGGGGGGGCACGGGTGAATCCGAGGGCGGGTCGGCTGTCATACATGCACTTACGGGCCGTTCCCACACTACGTGACCATTTTTTTTGGAGGGGGGGAGTCGAGTCAAACACTACGCCCCATCTTAATTACATGGGAAGGTTAGGTTATCGTGGTCACTATGAGGGGGAAGGTGGTCAAAAAGTGGCCTAAAATGGGTCACGTAGAATGGGAATGACCCCTTGCGGGTGGGTGCGGGCAGTAGCCGGCAGGCTTCCTACTCGCGTTTCGCTTGTCCGCGCTCGGCCCCGACAGGGGGAACAATCTTGTATATTTTGCCTGCGTGCGTGCAGGGGCATGCGATGCTGTTTTCCTACCATCAGGCGTTTTGGGGATCTCACAGGGGGGTGGCGATTCCCCCCTAATCTACAAACTGAAGTGTGTATTCAGTATGCATCTACAGATGCATACTTATAAGTATACACCTACAGATGCATACCTAGCTGAGTACACATCTACAGATGCATACCTAGCTGAGTACACATCTACAGATGCATACCTGTTAAGTATTATGCATCTGAAGGTGCATACTTGGCAAGTATGCATTAGCAGGTGTGTAAGGGAGTATGGGGCGATTTGTAACAGATTTCGGAATTCTCTTTACCAAATAAAGAACATTCTGCATATCGGTGTCAAACTTGTGCCAGTTGAGCAGTCTGGCCCTTCATCTAGACTGTGCAGATCCATTGGATCAATCTGGAGTCCGTAATCTTTGAAATCTAAGACGCTTTCCAAACCCTTGCATGCTGTTACGAATCGCCCCAGCATGGGGTGATTTGTAACAGCAATGGGGCTTTTCATAACATTAACATCCTACACATTAAATGAAACATCGTCGGGAATGTTATGTCCTCCAGCAGTTGTTCTTCGGATGTCCTACAGACGCCTTAAAATCTACATTACAAGCTGCCGTTGACCGCCTCAGTATTAACTGACCGGCTATGTCAACCCTAACCTCCCTTTTTTCAATTTTGGAGGAAAGAATAGAATAACTCGCTTTAAAATGCATTTTGAGCTGTGTAAATGTATTGGAATTAGGCAGCAGATGATTCGAGAAATAATTCAAGCATTTAATTGCAAAAACTACTAAAATTCTTGTTTTTATACGGGTCTGTTACGAATCACCCCAAATGCCTGTTACGCAAGAAATCCGTCCCTAACTATCACTGGACAAAGTAAAAGCAACTTATGCCACGTGGTTACATTGTAAAGGGGTCACGCTTCAAGGCCCCAACGGTACTTCGATGGTGATTCATACCTGGGGAGCCTCAGACAGAAACTTCCTAGAACTCAAAATAAAAGATTTGCCTGTTTTCGGTGTACCCTATATTTCAGACGCCCTCCAAAACTATACCTGAGCACCGATCACATCCGCTTACATTGTTCAAGGACGCTCTACTTGAAGTGAAAGAGGGGCCATACTCAGATTTTCCTCTGCTCCCTTCACTTAAATTAATATACGCATTTGTTACGAATCGCCCCTGTTACAAATCGCCCCATACTCCCTTACTTGTCACCATATAAATGCCCAGTATCAAGTACACATCTACGATGCATACTGGGCTGAATATGCATCTGTAGTTGTGTACTCAGCTAGGTATGCATCTGTAGATGTGTACTCAGCTAGGTATGCATCTGTAGGAGTGTACTTATAAGTATGCATCTGTAGATGCATACTGAGTACTCACTTCAGTTGCAGAGTTTGTTTTCAATGAGAATGTGACATATCGTACTCACGGACAGAACACGATTCGATTCGCATTCAACATCACGTGACACCCAGATTCTCGCTGTAAACTTCGTTCTTTCCGTTCCGGACAGGTCGTGAGATTCCAAAGTGCGTTCGACGGCGCCGCTTCTCACCTCAGCGCGCTGCCCCGCCTGCGGGAGTTGCGTTGCCCCCCGCTGTTCGACATGGAGGACCTGCACTGCCCGGCGCTCAGGGCACTCCACCTGCGGCTCGACGTGAGCGACGCCAAGCGGCCGTGTCTGCCCGGGGCGGGAGCGTTCCTTCGCGACGCCGTGGCCCACCTGGAGGAGCTGACCCTGGAGTACGCCCAGGACGAGGAGAGCGCCGCCGCCGTCAACCTGGTGCTGAGCCTGGCGGGCCGCGGCAGCGCCACACCGGCACTGCGTCGCCTCGCGTTCTACTACAGAGACTTCGTGGGCATGGTTCAAGAAGTGACGCGCCCCCTGACCGCCGTCCTTCACCGCCTGCAACGCCTCGTGTCGCTCGACATTTGTGGGCCACTTCCACAGGTAGGTAGGGACGGGCGACTTTGCGATACCGTAAACCGGGGTAACTTGAAACAATATTTCACGTTTTTTGGACCATGTGTCCACAACATGTTGTGCACTTCTCTCACCAACCCGAATCCTAAGTATATTTATTTTCACATGATTACAATCGGTTTGGGACCCATATATTTTTGGGGTCACCTTAAATGAGAGTCATGGGCCTCTAAAGTTACCTCAAGTTACCCCAAATGACGGGGTAACTTGAGACACACCCATTTTTTACTTTATTTTTTAACGGAAGTGGCGCTTTTGCCGGTCCATACTAATTTTCTTAGGCATTTATCTTATTTCCAATGAAAAGTACTTCTTGTGGAATATATTGGAAGAATTTTGAAACTAATATTGAGATTTTTTGAACAAAGTTACCTGTAGTGGTTAACGGCTCTTGCACAAATCCATTCCTGCAAAGGTATAAAGTCTTTAGGTTAGGTAGTGCATTTTTCTCTTGAAAGTCGCTATGCGATATTGTATTTTGGACCGCCGCGGTCTATCGCAAAATGTTTAATGGATAAAACTTGCTCCGAGCATGAAGCCATTGTGTCCTCGGCATCTCTTGGACAATCACACCGAGGAACTGATCTTCTTGGCCAACAGTCGCTGAATGAAATTCATCAATTTTCGAAATTACTTTCATTGTGGAGCGTAATTATTACATTTTGATGTTTGAGCTGCGTTTCTAAATGCCAAAATGAACTAATGGCCAGTTATTTTCCTTTCCGGCCACCTTTCATGTTAAAATTTTATGCTGTTTTTTAAATTTCTTGCACCCTCAAAACCTCAAAATCTTATGAAGCATCGCGCACATGTGGGATGCAAACTCATTTTAACACAAGGTAGGTGTACGGCAGGCCGTGTCTTGTCGTAACAGGCTTCGCGATGCTGCGCCAGTTACGACAATCCACGCCTGGCGTTACACCTACCTTGGCCTGCGGCGCTTGCCTGCCTTCGGCAGGCTAGGTTTCTTTTCCAGGCATCCGCACACCAATTTGCGTGATTGAAGGTCTAAACAGCATTTGATTTCGTGCCTAAGGCTGCATTGGCCTGACTTTTTAACTTGTCGAGGCTGGGGGGCCCCGCCCCGCCCCGCCCCCCAGACCCCCCTTTCTTCAAGACAGAAGTGATCTGCCTGCAGAAAACTCGATTTTTCGCCGTTTTTTAGGTGTTTTTCGGCTATAAAAACCGAACCAGTTGAGCTAGGATAGTGAAATTTCGCGTGTGCTGAGCCAAGGACATACCCAAAAAGTGTGCAAAATCTCACCGAGATCAGCCGAGCCGTTCAGGAGGAGTAGCGCGGACACACACACACACACACACACACACGCACGCAGACAGGAAAAATTTTTCAACCCCACCTGAGTAACAGGCTTCGCTATCGCTCAGCCAAAAATGGTACGAAGAAGAACTCTGTACACTACGAAGTATTTTCTTGGTAAGCGTATGTATTCTCAAAATACTTTATCGATAACAAGCTACTTTGCTTTGTGTGGCTGTAAGGTTTGAAAGGTTTTGAGAGTGTGTGATTTGCAGCAATACACTAATTTGCCGGAAAAGAAAAATTGCAATGGATGAGAAATTGCGGTGCTACAATTTTGATGTCGCCCACTCTACAAACTGAAGTGTGTACTCAGTATGCATCTACAGATGCATACTCATAAGTACACATCTTCAGATGCATACCTAGCTGAGTACACATCTACAGATGCATACCTGTTAAGTATGCATCTGTAGGTGCATACTTGGCAAGCATGCACTAGTAGGTGTGTACTTGTCACCATATAAATGCCCTGTATCAAGTACACATCTTCAGATGCATACTTGGCTGAGTACACATCTACAGATGCATACACTGAGAAAACAAATGCGGAGGATTCCGCACAATCTGATGCGGTGTAATTTTCTATCAATTTGACCGCACTAACTGATGCGGAGAAGATTGACTTCATTTACTCCTGCGGTGTGTGCCAAACTGATGCGGTCTCAGTTTTGACCGCATTAGTTGAGGTAGATTTGAAGATCCCACGATATTTACAGCAGTGGCAACTTCCCTTCCCAGTCCATCCTCAAAGTGGTTACGTTTACTTGGCCATCTCATTTACTTCTTAAACAATATTATTTGGGAAACCAGTACATACCTGTCATGTAGATGTTTGTAACGCTGAGATGAGCGTAAAGTTAACAGCGATATCAGCCTCATTAAGTAGTTTTTTTAAAAATAAAATCCAATGATTGAAACTGCATTTTTTTAGAGATGAATTGTCACACAATTTGAAAACACAATTCAAAATTCTTTTTATCTTTCAAGTCCTCGGCAGTCTTCGGTGAGAACAGCACTGAGGTTTCCAATGTTGTCCAGCCCAGGGCAAGGTTGAGGTTAAGTGACCGGGTTGCTTTGGCACAAATATTTTCAATACTGCAATATAGAAGCATGTCAACACATGCGAAGCACTACAGTACAACTGTATTTTAGTAATATTCATAGTTTTATGCTTTAAAACATCCACAACTATTGAAAAATCGTTTTTTCACACAAAGAAAGTTCAAGACACACACTCTCATAGAGAACAACAAAACAAGCCTAACAACAAGAAGATGGTAGTGCCAACCTAAGATCTTGGGAACGTGCTAGCGTTAAAGTAAAACCAACTTTGGATGTATTTTAGGGATTTTTAAGGGAATGGTTTGTTTCTTAAAGCTTAAAATTTGATGAACGACTCACACAAAAGAACAACTTTATAGTTAACTTTCTGACTCATAAGATGTTATTTTCTTATGTTGGCACTCCTTTGTTTTTGTTTAGCTTATTTATTTTGTTGTTGATTTGTGTGATAGTGTCAGAGATTTGAAAGATTATTCCTTTAGAAAACGTTCTTGCAATGGTTTGGAATGATTCAGACCCTGACATTATGAAATAACCTCAATCAAAGAAATGCTGTAGTGCGTCGTGTGCGTTGACTTGTTCAAATACAGCAGCACAGACAATTCTTCAGTCAAGCAGCCGGCGGGTTTAACCTTACCAGCATGCAGCATAGCCTGGCTCATGGAAACTAGTATCACCAAGAAGTTTGAGGCTAAAAATAATTTAAAGTGATAAATAACAATAGTTTGATACTGCATTTGGAACAATATCCAGTGTCAATCAACATTTTATACAGCCAAAATTATTATTCCGTGGCTTGCTGTTTCAAACACAGGATATTTACTCATCGCAGCGTTACAAACATTTACATCAAAGGTATGTGTTAGTTAGTCAATGATAAGCATCAGAAGTAAATGAGAAGGCACAGTACATGCCATCCTTTTCTGGTTGTCCAGTAAGAGACGGAAAGTTGGTAGCAGCCGCTAGCTGTTTGGCTGTTATGAAATGTAGGACTCCGCATCTGTTCATGCGGTCAAAATGGAAACCGCATCAGGAAATGCGGTTAAATTTTACACCGCATGACTCCTGCGGTGAAATTGCATCAAAATCCTGGCTATTCAGGTGACCGCATCACTTCATGCGGTCACTTACCTAAACCGCATTTCAAATGCGGAATTCTCCGCATTTGTTTTTTCAGTGTACCTGTTAAGTATGCATCTGTAGATGTGTACTCAGCCAAGTATGCATCTGTAGATGTGTACTCAGCTAGGTATGCATCTGTAGATGCATACTGAGTACACACTTCAGTTTGTAGAGCATCCTTACCCGCAGGACTTCTTGGACGCCCTCGACGGCAAGGTGCTGCCCCTCCTGGAGGAGCTGAGCTTCACCTTCTCGGTCGACTGCCCGCACGCCTGGACGCACGGCGCTGTTGCCAAGAGTGTCCTTCGGCGCTATCCGCGGCTGCACTTGGTGGTGGACCCCATCCATGATCCGTCGGAGTGTTTGCTTTGTGTGGCCATGCCCTGTCACGACTTGGCCGAGGATGAACCTTTCACTATATTCAGCCATCCCGTCAAGACGTCCTGTGGCCGGAAGCACATGTCACAAGAAGTGCATATCGCCCAAGACTGACTCCGACAGTATTGCTCGCGAAATATGTGGCAACTTTCCTGTCGTGATTTTCCAAGTTTGATTCAAATGGACTCAATTTCAATAGCCTCATCTGAATGGTGAGTTGTTGTTGTTGTTGAGAACGGAAGTTGTTCAAAGTGCTCTTTTGTATGGTTCGTTTGTTTATCTCTGATATCAAATTTCACAAGAAATGACAGTGTTTTCTGTTTCGTTGGCAGGTAAAGACTTAAGTTGTTGAATATTTTGCCAATTTGTAATCGGAATGTAATCAGTTTTAATGATTAAATATCATTTCAATACATTTTTGTTGGAGGACGAATCATTGGGGTCATAGCAAGGTAATAGCGCCAAGCGTCTATAGACACTCATAGGATCACTACTCAGAGACGAGACATTTTGTCAAAAAGCTGTTCCCCAACCCAAGATCTTCAATACACCGGCAAAAAAGGCATTAAAACTAAGGGAGAGCGGGGCGATTTGTAAAAGATTTAGGAATACCAACGAATATTCTGCATATCGGTGCTAAACTTGTGCCAGGTGAGCGGTCTGGAGCTTCATCTAAACTGAACGACTCCACGATCAGTCTGGAATTCGCACCATGAAAGGGTAATATGTACCACCAGAGGGTAATGTGGACCACCCCTAAAACTCTGGTAGGCAACGAATGTGACGTCATATTAATTTGAATGTGAATTTTGTCACGTTCGTTTGAATATGATGTCACATTCGTTTGAATGTTGATCCACGTTCAAACGAACGTGACATCCAAACGAACGTGACAAAATTCACACTGCAACGAATATGTCGTCACATTCCTTGGCTAGCAGTGAACTCTTCTATGTGATCGGCGATGCCGCCCATCTGTTGGCAAGGATAACCGTTTCGGCCACTAGCATCCCAACTTGTAGTTACCTGCCAAGAATCGATCACCAAGAAGAATTTCAGGGGTGCACTGTGAAAATTTGAGTCGTCACTTGATGACAATTTCAAGGCTAATTTTCCTTACAAGGGTGTCATCAAATCAATTGATGACATTGTTGTCATGCCTATCGAGGGGTCGGCAACTCATACTTCGTACGCGGTGGCTATATTACCCGTATATTACCATATATTACTTGCATATTACCACAATTTGGCCTCTATAATACCCCTATAATACCATATATTACTTTATATTACACATTTATTACCTATATTACTGGTACTCCCTCGTACACGGCCAAGGGAAGTTGCCGACCCCTCGATGCCTATGCAAAGTATAGGAGCTTTGATGAAAATGTCATCAAGTTGTGATGAGATTATCCTAATTTGAAAGTGATGAAAATATCATCCACGTTTTTGTCATAAAGTGACAACAAATTTTCACAGTGTGGCCCACCCACCACCGATGGTCGCTATCCCCCGCATTGACGGTAAGCTTCGAGATTTAAGACCTTTTCAAAACCCTAGGACGCTGTCACGAATCGCTCCAGCTCGGGGTGATTTGTAACAGCCATGGAGCTTTTCGTAGGGTGCTGCATGTAAAATGTAACATCATCGGTAATGCCATCTCCTTGGTTATCTCCTCCAGCAATTGTTCTTCGGATGTCCTGCGGACGCTTTATAAGCAACATTGTAAGCTGCCGTTGACCGCCTCAGCATTACTGATAGGCTGTGACGACCCTTACCTGACTTTTGTCAATTTCGGAGGATAGGTTAAAATAACTCGTTTTAAATATCATGTTGTGCTGTGTGAATTGAAATAAGGCAGCAGATGCTTCGAGAAATTCTTATTCTTTTAAACGAGTCTTTAACGAATCGCCCCCAATGCGTGTTACGCAGAAAGTACATCCCCAACCATCACTGGGCAAAGTAAGGGCAACTTACGCCAGGTGGTTACACTGTAAAGGGGTCACGCTTCAAGGCCCCAACTGTACTTCGATCGCGATTGATATCTGAGGAGCCTGAGGTAAAAACTTACTGTAACTCAAAATCTAGGCTTTGCCTGTTTTCGGTGTGCCCTATATTTCAGACTCCCTCCAAAACATTACGTGAGCACCGATCACATCCGCTCCCATTGTTCAAGGATCCTTTAATTCTAGCGAAAGAGGGGCCATACTCCGATTTTCTTCTGCACCCTCCGCTTGAATTAATAAACGCGTGTGTTACGAATCGCCCCACTCTCCCCTATGCCCAGTTTTTCACGTCTTTCGGAGGTCATTAAAATAATTATTAAGAAGTCCTCAATTCACGCCGCTATCTGGGGCATAAAACGATTCGGGCCTTTCCAGGTGCGTGATACACCCCCTCTGCCGTAAGAGCACAATTTGTTTGCCTTCCTGTCCGTGTCATCAGTGCAGGGATCGGTAGATGAAAGGAGAAAAAAATCCAGATCCTGTCAGAACTTTCTCTAATAAACAGGAAGCATGTATTTCAGGTTACATCCAACTAAAAATATTACGAACAAAGAAATGGAGAACATACAAAAGAGCCTAAGCTTGAAGTTTTTAAAAAAAAGACCAGAAAAAAACCCAAAGAATTTTAGGCAGTGACTGGTAGTTTTATATGCCTTGCAGCACCTGAGGAGACCCGTTTCCGCTTCTGTCAAAAAGAAAATCGGGAAAATGATAATTAACTTATAATTAAATTTAGAACAAAATTATAATATTAAATGAATCGTGCTCTCGAAACTGAAGAGTGTGCATGGCATGCTCCCCCAGGGAGTCAACCACAAAGCACGCTCTTCCCAGGAGCATGCTTACAAGCACACTCTTCCCAGGAGCATGCTTGGCAAGCACGCTCTTCCTAGGAGCATGCTTGCAAGCACTCTCTTGGATGAGAGCGTGCTGCGTCACTATTATATGGACTCATATCGACGAAGAGGCACGCTTTCATCATAGAGTGCTTGCAAGCATGCTCCTAGGAAGAGCGTGCTTGCCAAGCATGCTCCTGGGAAGAGTGTGCTTGCAAGCATGCTCTTGGGAAGAGCGTGCTTTGTGGTTGACTCCCTGGGGAAGCATGCCATGCACTTTCTTGAGATTCTAGAGTGGAGAAAGTTCCTGCTTCAACCGACCACGTAATCACAATGCGGCGGGCAGGGCGGGGCATCAGAGCCACCTTCGGCAGTCCCTGGGGCAGCCGGGCCGCCTGGTGTGCGCCGAGAAGGCGGACTGCAGGCCTGCGTGCGTCCGGAGCTCGTCCCGGTGGCAGCGCCAGAGGCACCACCGACAGGCACAGTCGTCCTCGAGGGTGGGAGGGCCTGACAGGCGGAGGTGGAGCCCCGCGTTCCTCGCGAGGACGTCCTGCACGGCCGGGTCGTGCAGCCAGGCGTGGGGGCAGCCGTGGGGCACAAGTTGCAGCGTGGCAAGGCGCGGCGTGGAGGCGGGGCTCACTGCACGGAAGAAATCGTCCGAGGGCATGGCGTCCAATTCAAGGGCGAGTGCTCGCAGGGATGGGAACCGATGGAGTGACGGGGCCACAAGCGAGTCTTGCACACCGTCTAAGAACAGGCTTTCCAGAACGGGGGCGGACGGCGATTGGGCCAAAGCCTCCAGAAGGGCAGCGCCGAGAATTGGGCAGTTGGGTTCAAAGCTGAACACAACATGCCGCAAGCGCGGCCCCTGAAGGAGGAAGTCCACTGTTCCCGGACAAGGTACGTCCTGCACTTCGGGATCCATCAGCCGAAGTGTATCCAGGTTGGATAAGCTCTTCAGCTGAGAAAGGTCATCAGTCGGACGGCAAGTCAGGGAGTGCAGTCTGGGCATCGATCCCAACAGGGATGTGGGGAGCCCATCCGCCAGGAACAGAACAACATGTTGAAGAGTGGACGCATGCGTACGCAGCAAAAAACAGAGGAAAGGGTCAGAGGCTGCACCTTTGTACTTGAGTTTAGTTAGGGAAGGCCTCGGCTCCATATCTGACCATAGAAATGACGGTAGCTGTGAGGTGTCCGAGAGGATCCATACAGTTAACTCGCAGAGGTCTTGAACGCCGTAAACCATCCGCAGAAGGGGAGGCAAAGCCTCGGGGGCAGCGCCCAACAAATCTAGGGAGATCTCCCTCAAACCGCCCAGAGTGGAGAACCTTAGTACGATGGCTGTGGCCCAGGCGGCATCGAGCTGAGTTCGAACGAAGAGCGTGAGATTAGTGACGACGCACTTGGTGTTGGCAATGGTGCAGGCCGCAGCCTGCAGATACGACGAGAGCAGAGTGACTTCGCGGAGGCAGGGGGCGAGTCTGAGCGCGGCTTGGAGAAGGCCTTTGTCACCGCCAGACAGGCCAACGGAGCGCCAAACGTCCGGGTGGAGGCTCAGGTCCCGGAGCCGCCGACACACCAATCGGAGGCGGAAGAGCTCTCTGGGCGGCAGGAGGGCCAGCACGCGCACCAACGCGTCGTCGGGCAGGGCCAGCAGCTGTGGGCACAAATCAGATTGGGACATTAGCATGAAAGGGCTGCTCCATCGTGTGGCCCAGTAAAGAGTAGCTCAAGGCCCAAAGAACGTAAGGTGTTTCCAGAGTGCCCAACGCAGCTCCAAGTGCCCGAATTCAGTTGGGCACTGTGGCAAAAGACTACAGAAACGTACGCTAGTTCCTGCTACGGTTCTTCGTACCCAAATAACAACGTTTTCCGTACACTCTCATTTCAGGAACGTGACATCACGTTGAAAATATGTGACAAATGTCCAAGGGCGGATCCAGGGACGGGTTCAGGGGGGGGGCGATGTCGCGAAAGTTGCCTACCTACAGGGGTAATGTGCGACTTTTTGCCTACCTTTCAGGCGGCTTCGCCGCCTTCAGGGGGGGGCGACGCCCCCATCGCCCCCCCCCCCTTGGATCCGCGCCTGCAAATGTCACGTTCCTTTAAGCATTGCACTCTGAATGTCTTACAATGAAATTCGATCTATGTTATTCGTCTTTAACAGTGAATTCGGCGCAATCATTATACGAAGCAATATTCCCTCGTAATGCGAATTTTTTGAGCTTTTTCATACTATTTCATACTATTTTCGTACCAGGCGCAAATTCCCACTTTTTCGTCTATTTTCCGAAATCCTCCCTTTTTCCCACTCGGGCCTTGAAATTCCCGATTAGTGGGAAAATTCCCTCCATCTGGCAGCACTGTTTCATAGTAAGATACAAAGAAAAACCTTCGTAATACGAAGAAAACCCACCTTCGTATTATGCTTGCACCATTTCCTTCGTATTATGGGAAATCTCTTCGTAAGACATTTGGAGTGTGAGTCACGTTCGTTTCAACGTAACTTGAATACGCTCATTTTAGGCTGATTCACGTCCAAACGAACGTGACGCAATGGTCAAAAGAACGTGACATCTTGTCACATTCCTGTCACGTTTCAGGAATGAGAGTGTAGGCTCATGCAACCTTCTCCGTGGGACTCGCAGTGTTCTCCGTGAGAATCCCATTGTCCTCCGCATGCCCGCTGCAGACCAATGAGGTGCACCGAGAAGACTGACGAGAAGAACTTACACGTTACGTACACGTACAGCGGGAAAATGTTGCATTATGGGTACGGGAAACTATCACAAACAGATTTCTCCGTACTCTTTGAGTGGGTGGAGGAGTTAACAAAACACTGGTCAAAATCCATGATAAAGCATTGGTTTCATTGATGCAATGACAGATTTCCCAGGTTTCCCGCGAACCACTAGGAAATCGCCTATGTCTTTACCATAGGCTCCCTGAGAAAACCAGGAACAGTTTTTAAGGGCATAATTCGCCGTATTTCGGACCCTTATGAACCTTATGACTCCTCAGAGAATACTGGTTATGTACCAGCTTCTCTTGGAAATGTATGCATGAAGTAGATCAGCATGTTTCAAGCGCTGCTGAATTCCGTGCGCAGCGTAACTTAACTGAGAAAATTTGCTGTCGCGTCAGAAAAAATCATGGATGACATTTTGATCACTTCGAAATGATGACAATGTCACCATAAATTAATGAAATTTTTATCCGAACTTTCCTATTCTTATTGACTACGATCTCATCAGCAGTTTTGCGTAGATTAATGGAAAATTGGCATGAAGTGAGGTCGTACTGTACTCACATCGGTCATGATGACAGGCCTGGTTACAGAACAGGGTGATGCTGACGGGCAGGGCAGCGCAGAAAGTCTCGGCCGGCGTCGATATGGTAGAGAAGTTGAGGAGGTTGACAGGCACGGCGAGGGAGCCACGGAGTCCTAAAACGAGACGCACAGAAGTTAGTCACATCACAATGGATCGGAGGTGCGCTGGTGAGGCGAGGTTTGCCATGGCTTCTAGCAGAGACAGAAGCACAGTAAAAACTGTACGAAGAATCGTTTCGTAATACGAAGAAAATGAAGGCATTGTAAAATCTACGAAGAAATGCTTCGCATTATGAAGCTAAATCCTTCGTAACACGAAGCATTTCTTCGAAATACGAAGCAATTCTACAATGCCTTCATTCTCTTCGTAGTTATGAAGCAAATCCTTCGCAGGCTTGAGTGAGTAAAGAGCAGGAAGAACATGGACCGGAAACTGTTTCAGGAATCGACCGTATCCGGTGTGGGGCATGTTTAAATCACACTTAACTCAACATTAAGCATCCTCGTGGTTTGATTAAAATAATAAATGCACCCATCATCAAAATTTTGACGGCATTTGGCAACTGTTTCCGGTTTGTGATTTTCCCCTTCTCTTCCGCGCTTTGTCGTTTAACAAACCAATGAAGCGGTGTTATCAGCAAACTAATAGAAAAGGCGTCGTTTCCTACGTGGATAACGAGCCAGCTGTAGTTTTGAGTTAGCATAGCAGCCAGATTCGAAGGATCACGCTCCCAAAAACATGGAAATAAACACTAGACATTCAATAGGTACCCCTATAAATCATTAAACGGAAGAAGAGGATAAAAAGAAAGCGTTAAAAACAACTTCTGTGCGCAGACGTTCCCCCGCCACCCGGTGCGCATGCGCAGAAGCCAAGCAGCAGCTGTTTTTAGGGCTTACTTTTGTTTTCCTGTACCCGTTTCAAGATTCATTGAAGTGTCCGATAAGAATCTCATGATTAGTTGAAACAACTGGTCGAGGAATGGCAGTAAGTCAGGATGTCAGCTCCATCAGGGTCCGCTTTTTCTTATCCTGTAGGGTCAGGGCGGGGAAAAACTGGACAGGGGAAGAACTGGACACCCCACATTTGACTTCAAATGCCGTATGTACTGGCCTGACACCTGTCGTGTAATGAACCGCTGATGTCACGGAACAACTTTTGATAGTTGTTTTTCCTGTGCCTACGGTATTTGAAGAAAAATATGGGGTGTCCAGTTCTTCCCCTGTCCAGTTCTTCCCCGCCCTGACCCTACGTAATGTCCTTGCTCAATGTTGTGAGCTCCAGGGCTATATATTAGCCCTGCTACTGCCTGCTACTGACAGTGTTGATGCCTAATCTTGAATTTCGATTATGATGTGCAAGGTAAAGATCATACCAATTTCAATCAAGTTTTGTTCAGTGGTCCTTTTTAACTCTTGTTCGCAGCTGGATTTTCACGAGCATCAGACATGCTCCGGGCCCTCTTTGATCACGCCCAACATGATGCTCCAGCTGCACAAGCCCCACGAGCCGCTCCAGCACCATTAAGTAAGTTTACGTAGATCTGATTGATTCCATATTATGTGATAATATTCCTCATATCACTACTGCGTATTTCAGTTCCAGAACCAGAAGGCAATCGACCCTATTGTAGGATATGTACACACTAAACTTTTTACGGAAACATCCTATCTGTATTACGGACATTTTTGTGCAATTGCAATTACGGATAGATTTTGCTTGTAATACGGATGAAATCATCCGTATTACAAAGAGTTTTACGTCCGTACCATACGGATATTTTCGTCTGTATGTTACGGACACGAAAACCTTTGTATTACGGATAAAATCATCCGTATTACAAGCAAAATCTATCCGTAATTGCAATTGCACAAAAATGTCCGTAATACAGATAGGATGTATCCGTAAGAAGTTTAGTGTGTAGGTCCACATGCACCCTTGCAACCACTTGGCGCAGACTGTGTACGTCCATGGATCCTCCGGCATCGCACCTGCGCTGAGGCAGGATGTGAGCGCTACACAATTATTCAAGATATACGCCCGATACAACCTTAAACTTTCAAACCCTTCCTTATGATGACTGATTTAGGTTTTGTTTTATAATTCTTCTTTGCTCAACGTTTTATTTCTTAGTCTGTAGAAACAAGTTTGTAAGCTGCACCACGCAGATTGTGTTCTGGTGCCGGTAATTAAAATCTTATCAGCGTCAGTCGAACAGAACATAGGCGAAGAGAGAACGATTAATTTCAGAAAACATGCACCTCTTGATTTCACTTAAGTGGCATAATTTGACTTTGCTAGTGCGTGCTTCTCTGTAACGTCAGATAACGTTTATTTCATTTACCAAAAATTACATTTTGATGTGGATCGTAGTGGAGCGATCCTTAGAGAAGGTTGGGAAGCTTGGGAAGGCATACGTAGAGGACGGACACATTACGGAAAGCGTACAACGACACATCTCAATTAGTTCAGAGTTGGCCACACATTTCAAACAACGATACAGTTATCCGATTCTGGAATGGAGGGGCAGTTTGCTTTGTCAAGGACCTCAATAAGAAGAAAAACACCCTAAACAGTAGTTTTAGTCGATGGGGAGTAGTCTGGCCGTTACAGGGTTAGATTGCATCAACGTCTCAAATGTTAACAAAAAAACCAATGTTTCATTACAGAAATTCCCAAGAAGGGGATTTAATTACAAGTCTGGGCACATCGTTGTTCTCTTTGCTGTAAGCGATGCCAAATACAAATTCATCACGGTTGATGTCGGCTCTCGTGGGCGTGAAAGTGATGGAGGAGTATTTGATAGACCACAGTTTATACGGTTGTTCAAAAATCATCTACTGCGGCCTCCCCCTCCAGTCTTCAATGAAGCTGTTAAATCACACTTGCCTTATGTCGTGGGGGATGACGCTCCCTTGGTGTGCATCTGATGAAGACTTTTGACGAATCTCCAGGAGAGGTGCCCGAAGGGGAATTATCTCCAACTACCGCCTTTCACGAGCAAAGAAAATGGTCGAAAATGCTTTGGTGTACTCTCTGTTCTCTTCAGGATTCTTCGGTGAAATATTGTTGGTAGAGTGACTCTAGTTCAAATTATTACCCTTGTTTGTACTGCACCTCCTGAGAGAGGACAGACCCCCCCCCTAAGCAGCGCCTCTACTTGCCTCCAGGTTATGTTGATGTCTACGCAGGGGAAATGGTGTTCTGAAGAGGGGGCTGATGGAGAAATGGATCCAAGGAAGAAGAAAGAGGCATCTTTCACAGGCTGTGCCGTCAGGAACCTTGTGTGAATATTGAAAATGCCCATGCCGTACGTTGGAAGTTTCTTGAATATTTTTTAAGGTGCCCACTGGCTTTGTTCTGTTGTCAATTACAATGAGGTGATACTTTGCACCATTAAAATTACATATGTTAAAAATGAAAGAACTATGTAATTATTTCTGTATCCTTGAGCCTATGATTGCACGATTAATGGAAACATGAAAAGTATAAATTGTTGGCAAAGCAACAACAAGAATGCAAAGCAACAACAAGAATGTTAAGAAAAAAAATCTCAATACAACAAGCATTAAAATCAGTTAGAAGTAATCATAAACCATAGATCTAAACAAGCAGTGCAGTGGGTGAAAAATGTGTAAACAGTTTTGCTTAAACAATACACACAAAAAAATCACAAAGCTTGATACCAACAACGGATCAATCTCATCTTGCAGGTAATCTTCCTCTTCTTCCTCAGTGAGATTGCTTATCTTGTTGAGAAAGGCGATAATTTCGACCATGGCCTTCCCACTGACAGGAGCCCGCAGTCGCCTCAGGTGGGATGCCACAGTCAGGCTGAAGTTTCGGTAAACGTCCATTCTCTCTCTCCAAGGAACTGTCTCAGAGTGGCCAACTCGTCTCCTTCTGGCTATTTTATTCACAGTACGTTGATTATGTGAGAGCCAAATAAGATATATGAGAGTGAAAATACCCATAGTTAAGCATTTTGAGTAACTTAAGTCCAACAGTATTCCTTAATCTATATTATAATCTTAAAGTTGCTCTAAGAGAAGGAGACAGTTTATTCATATGATTTTCTCAAGTGAGACATTTGTCAATATCAACTCCAAGTCACTTTACCGCACTGACTTGATCAATTGTACAAATACCGGTTTTTATGTTTTAACTTATCTTAACCGCTCAAGAGAGGTATTTACTACCAGGCACGCATTGATGTTGCTGTTACGTCACAGTAGACGCAGTGAGGATGCCACACACTAAACTTCTTACGGATACAGCCTATCTGTATTACGGACATTTTTGTGCAATTGCAATTACGGATAGATTTTGCTTGGATGATTTCATCCGTATTACAAAGAGTTTTACGTCCGTACCATACGGATATTTTCGTCTGTATGTTACGGACGTAAAACCCTTTGTAATACGGATGATTTCATCCGTATTACAAGCAAAATCTATCCGTAATTGCAATTGCACAAAAATGTCCGTAATACAGATAGGATGTATCCGTAAGAAGTTTAGTGTGCACTGACCCAGATTGGCTCGGGAAAAGTGCCAGTAGACGAATAGAACTATATCGAAGTTTTTAACATCTAACAAACATCACTATTGATACCAGGTAGGTGTACGCCAGACCGTGTCTTGTAAAAGGCTTCGCGATGCTGCGCCAGTTTCGACAAGCCACGCTTGGCGTATACCCCTACCTTGGCCTGCGGCGCTAACCTGCCTTCGGCAGGCTGCCTTCCTAGGCACCCTGTAGAAATGGGCGTGATCCCCTCAAAAATAGCATTTGGTCATCAAAATCTACACTAATAGGACTTAACTTTCGGTCGGAGGTCCGAATGGGTTCTATTTTCGTTATCAGCAGCCTGAAAAACATATAAAACGACATTAAACTTGACAAAAGTTGAAAGTACCTAAATAGTTGTCTTTTTTCTGCCGTTTGTGAAGTGTTTTTTTGGCTTAAATGACGGAATGGATTGAGATAGAAAGCTGAATATAGTGTGTGGCGAGCCAAGAACATACCTAATGTCCATGCAAAATCTCAGGCAGATCGGCCAAGCCGTTCAGGAGGAGTAGTGCGCGCACACACACTCACGCACACTCATCATCATCAGCGCTAGACAGAAAAAGTCTTTTAACCACACTGGAGTAACGGGCTTCGCTATCGCTCAGCCAGTAAATTTACAGCGATAGCGCTGTAACAAGCAAAAACTAGCAAAATATCAGAATTTGCAATAACTTCTTCCAAGGTAGAATTGGAATTTGAAAGATTTAAAACTGACCCTACGTTATTACTTGGACCTGAAAGAAACAAAATTAACACAAAAACTCGACCACAGTCTAGTTTAAACGAGTGTGAGAACAGAATCTGCACCCGGGTGGGGTACTTTCCAATCAATTTGCAAGCCTCGCCTAGACCGCAGATCTTAAATGTCAGCCGAAAATTCACCTCAACTTTGAGGCTATGACGGATTTCAGGACACTTCGCCTTTTTGACATCTAAGGGACACCGTAAAATCGTCAATAAACCTCCCTGATTCCAGTTTTCCTCCTCATCTTGATAATCTTCTGCAGTCGCTCCCGTTTCTGCGCGATATTCGACGGACTCAGCGTGACTGCGAGGCCGGCGGTGGCGGTGAGGCGGCGAGGCCCCCGCAGGCGGTACATGAGCAGCTCGCCGACGAAGACCAGCGTGGCGGTGAAGAGGCCGCCGGTCAGCAGGACGAAGCAGCCGTAGAGCTGGGGCAGGCGCAGCGCGGCGGCACTGGGCGCGTGGTGCGCCAGTTCTCTCTCCACGACGTACTGGCTCGTGTCGCTCACGTTCTGGAATCGATTCACCTTGAACGGCCCGAGACCGGCGGCCCAGAAACGGCTCAACAGGGTCCGCAGCTTTCTTCCCAGCGGCGCGCCCTTCTTCGCCACGAACGGGGTGGAGTGAAACTGCCCCGGGACGGAGAATTTGTGAACGCCTTGGAAAGTCCTCAGTTGCGGCACGAGGAGCGGAAAGATTTCCTTCGTCACGATGACCGCGGCGCTTCGGTTGTCCACGGCGGCCAGGTGCTCCTGCACCGACTCACTGAATTGCAGCTCCGACCGGCCGGGCAGCAAGCTTTCGACCCGCAGCCCTATTCCGTCCTGAATGTAAGTAGTCAGATTCGACTTGGCCAGTTCCTCCAGCGTTTGAATGTCGCGGGAGGCGCACGGGACGAAGAGCTCGGACAGGAGTTTGCCAGTGTAGGCGGACGACAAGACGACGCACAGGAGCAGCCAGCTGCCCAGCCGGCCGTGCGCGCCCGTCCCGACGAGGGAACTGGCCTGAGCGAGGAGGGGGGCCAGGACGTCGAGGAGGCCCGTGGAGCGCCCGCCCAGCAGCAGCAAGCCGGCGGCCACGACGAGGAAGGACGCCGCTATGGCCGCCCACAGTGGCGAGGACAGCTCTCTGGTGACGCCGTCCACGAGGCAGTGGCCGCCCCCCAGCCCCGCGGGCACCAGCACCACCAGGCTGTCCATGCGCCACGGGAAGGAGTCGTAGGCGCTGCCGGGCAACACGCGCGACGGGCTGATGAGCACCTCGAAACTGCATGCCAGTAATACGTCTATCCAACTCTCCGATTGGCTTTGGACTCGGGCGTTTGCGCGTCTAGCGACGGCTGCACCGTAGACATCCATAATCTTTTGCAACATGGATTTTTTCTCCGTAGTGTAAAACAGGTGGTTACCTCTTGACGCGTTTCCTTGGAAGAAGCATGGCATGTAGAACGGTTCCAGTCCTCGAACCCAAACACTCTCTTCCCGCGAGTTCCGAAGCCTGTTTTTCAAAGAGTACCTGGTTGATTCGTACCGGACGTTTCCCACAACAAGCATGACCCTCATGTAGTTTATCCAAACGGAGGCTGCTGCGATTTCGCGCAGGTCTTTCTCGGTCCAGGCGGCGTCCGATGCGGTCCAAAGCAGTGTCCGAGACGCGAAGAAGTTGCTCATCGCTCCCAGGACGTCCTTCAGGTCTGACGGCTTGTCTTCGGCGATCACCACCACGACACTCGGCTTGCAGAGGACGGCGTGCGTCTTGGAGGACGGCCAGGGCCGCGCCGGCCGGGGCAGCAGCACCACGGACGCCGCTCGCTGTCGGACCAGGAACGCGTCCAGCCATCGCGGCGCCCCGATCACCACCAACTGGGGCGGCAGCCGGCCGGCGGGCAGCAGAGTCGGCTGCAGCAGGCTGTGGATGTAGCTCGCCTCGCTGTCCGCAGTCTCGTCCCAAGTCGCGAGGAAGGCTCGGGCTGGGACCAGCAGCGCCGCGACGAGCAGTGCCAAGCACGTCAGGCCGTGAGGGCCGGCCATCCTCGAGTGTACCGCGCAAAGCCCTTCGACGCTCTTGTCACGGCCGCGGACTCAAAGAGTGGCACCATTAAAGTGGCAACAATGGTTCGCTGTGAAGGCGCGGCGACTTCATAATGTGCCCCGTGGTACGTGCGAAGAAGCGGCCTCCCCCTACCCCAGCCCCCTCTCGGACGAAGGTTAAGAAATGATCGATGGCAAATTTGTAGCATAGCGAGAGAAGCGCTGTTATTGCGGACATTCGAAAAAGTGACACAATGTCCCACACACACACACTCAATTACTATGTAGGTTTTTCTGCGCGCCAATGCACGAAATTAAACATGCGCTTCGTAACGCACGAATTTGTGCGCGACAATGCACGATTTTCTGCATACTTGCGCACGAAATTTATTTCCCCCAAAATTTTGTTTAGAAGTGAGGTTTTTCATGCAGGCGCGCAGAAAAACCACATCAAAGGTGAAAAACATTTAGAAGTACGAAAAATGAAGGCCCGGAAAAATTTTTAATGGAAACCGTTCTACCCTTTTCCAAAAAAAAGAAGATTTTTCCCCTGGTTTTGTATTTCATGATTCCTTTTTTAGACCGAGAACTACAAGTCGATACAGTCAAAAATTCCGTTCTTTTGACCGAAAAATTTTTTTAATGATAGTAAGAAATTTGTTTCTTGATTCTGTTAAGGGGCTTTTTCCAGCCGGAGGAAGCCCAGCAGGGCCCAAGCCGAAACACAAAGCGTGGAGGCCCCTTTAGAAAATGACGGAAAAAAAAAGGCGTGCGCGGGAATTTTTAGGCCGTCCTCCTTCCAATCAGGAATACTGCACTCCAGTTTCCGACCATTTACATGTATCCTTTTGGGACCAAGAGAACCGTCGGAAGGCCTACCCTTTTCACTGCATTTGGGATTTCCGTACCAAACCACGGAACTTTTTGAAGTGTAGCCTGGAGTGTAAAAGCGGCCAGCCTTCCTCCGTATCTTGATTGCTGATTAGGGCTTTTGGACAAGGCTCTGAAGGAAGGGGCTGCAGCGACGCCGACGCCGAGTAATCGACGCAGTAAGTACGGTGGAGCTGCCAATAGATATAGATTGACTTTGGAAGGGTGTGCGCTGCGCGTAGTTCTTAGGGGCCGTCACTTCTGCTCCGAAGTCAATGGGCCACACAATAACGTGCGGGGACTCTCAGTCCCACGAAGGATCAAATTTTTAGGCACATCGGTCGGTGATGCAATTTTGCGTGCACCAGGTGATGCAACTTGTCCGATGCCTATTCCTATTTGCTCTGACATCGGACAATTTGTATCGCCTGGTGGACAGAAACTGGTAGCATCAGAGTATTGTTAGAGCATAGAATGTACGCTCTTCGATTTGCAGAGTACGTCCCATTTACCGCTGGACGCCCCTCCTCACCCTATTGGCTAACGCAATTAAGGGACGTTCCCTAACGGCGGTTTAAGTACTCTGAATGGTAAAAACCAGAGGCTGCTACACTGTGAGAAAAAAGTACGGAAAAAGTACGGAACGTGTCTGGTCAATAATTTGCCTGAACCGTCCGTACTTGCCAACTACGGAACGTTCCGTACGAATGTGACAGGGGTACCATGCATGGTGTCTTCACTGGTAAAACTAAAGCGTAACTCTATGCTTGAGTCAAACATAAAGTTACGCTTGAAGACGTTACGCTTGAAATCAAGCATAGGCTAGAAATTCCCCCATGCATTTAGATAGGGGGAATCTTGGCGGATGAGCCTGTTACGCTTGATTTCAAGCGTAAACTGATTACGCTTGAAATCGGTGGGTAATACTACGCTTTAGTTTTACCAGTGTTGGTCCGACATGGGGACCGTCCTGGCTAGGACCATTCTAAAAACGGGTTCACGTTTGGGGACCAATTTGAAAGGGGGACCAATTTTACCGGGGGCGAATCGTTTGCAGACCCGAAAGTCCTTGGGACGAATTTTCGGGGACGAATTGTCCAGATCCCCTATTTTCAGTGTGTTTGTGGGAGCCGTTTGCTTTATCTGATCGGTCGCAAGCTAGCGTATTTGCATACGGAAGATGAGGGCCGTTTCGTATGTAACTTACGCACAATTCCCTGACAATTGTACCTAAATTATGTACTGAATTGTTCTAAATCTTCGGCGTGTTTTTACTATGTTCTTTCCCACATGCTTATGCAACCTGTTTATGTCAATATCTTCTTGAGTTTGTTGCAGTTCATATTCCTGATCCTGGAAGTGCGCTCTGCGCCGACGCGGATCTACACTCCCAATGTTGGCAAGTCTGATATTTGATTTTGCCTCCTTTGAGCTTGTTACGCAAGATTTGGTGCCAGGCGGTAACGAAGAAAATTCCAGTTGATGAGTTCAACTATTTATTAGAATTTGATTGTCTGTTTTTTATTTTGAAGTGATACTTATTTTGTATGGCTCTTGAGCTTAAGGGGTTGGAGGCTGAAAAAGCATGAGCATATGGTCAATTTGGTGGGAGACTCATTGGTGCACCCAAACTAATCTTCGAAGTATCTGCTTCATGACAAAAGGAAGAAAATGAAGGCATGGGCCTGGAAAGTTGCTTTGCTTTAGGGAATTTGCATTGCCTTCGTTTTCTTCTTTTTACGGAGCCATGTGCGGACTGCAGTCGAGGCTGCACGCTCTCAGACTCGTACTGACTTTTTGTTCAATAACGTATTGACGTTTGCGCGCATTTATGACCTTAAGTACTAACTTTTTTGTTCGTTCTACAAATATCGTTAGCAACATTATCAATTTCGGCCTAACAAATTCTAATTAAAGCTCCATTTCTGCGCACAAACGTCAATGAATATTGATGAAAAGTCGATTGAAGGATGAGAGTGCAGTCCTCCGTTTATGAAAGCAGCCCTAATGCCACGTTGGTGTTCGCAGGTGCTTCCACTGCTCCGAAGGTCCGCATTTCCGTCCGGAGCGCCCTGGCCGGGTCGTGGTCGCGCAACGAGGGGGCCGACTTGCCAGCCGAGCCCTTGGCCGATGCGGCGAGGCCGTCAGCGACGTTCAGCGCTTCCCCTGCCAAGCCACGAGCACCGTCTGCGACACCCGATGACCATCCGTCGACAGTGATGAGGGCTGCGTGCGTCAAGGAAGTGCAAGTTCTGGGCTGGTGCACATTCACCGGCTGTGTGACGGCATTTGACTCGTGGAACGCCTATGTTGACCACTTCAAAACCCGCCACCGTCCCCTGGCGTGTTCGGCGTGCCTTGAAGAACACTCCGAGCCCCACGGCGAGGCGGACAGGAAGTGCACCATGTGCCCTGCTCGATTCCTGGACCGCGTACGCTTACATGTCCACCGCTGTCTCTTCCATCACGATGTCGGCTCCCCGTCACCGCCACAGCCGAGATGGAAGGAGGGCGAAGGTGTCGTTGGCTGGTGCCCTATCGCACAATGTGGGCAACCCTTTTCTTCGTGGGACGAACAGGTCGCGCACCAGAGGACGACTCACTTCAAAGCGACGGAGGTTAGTGGAGCGGCAGTCGGAATCAGAATTCCAGGAACGTGACATCATGAACACTGCAAAGTGTTCTAAGCATGTGTGTTCTAAGCACACACATGTTCTTCACTGAGAAAACCTTCCAAACTATTTTGGGCCTTACAAAGAAAAGTAGTTTGTATAACATAGTATTTTGGACCTTCGTATATCAAAGTATTTTAGTTTGTCATATGTATGCTCAAAATACTTCGTAAGGTTTTAAGAGTGTTGCAGTGAATTAGTGTGCACTGAGGAAGCCTTCCAAACTATGTATTTCATAGGCCGTCCAAATCAAAGCAGTTTGTTGGAACCAAGTATTTTGAGCATACAGAAGCTTACAGAAAAACTACTTCGTAATCTACGAACTAGTTCTTCGTAGAACAAAGCAAATTAGTTTGTACGTATGTATGCTCGTGATACTTCGTAAGGTTTCAAGGGTGTGGTGTGAAGGTGCTCGTTGGACTGCTTATGATACGATGGTTTTCCCTCCGCCAGCAGTGCCCCTTGTGCCTGGACGAGGACCCCGTCGGCGGCCTGCCCGCGCACCTGCAGGCGCACCAGCTCGGGGACGCGGCCTGCTCGGTGTGCTCGGCGCGCGTCCTGGGCGACGTGGACCGCCACCTGCGGCTGTACCACGACGTGGCCTCGGCCCCGGTCCTGGGGTGGTGCGCGGCCAGCCACTGCGACTCCGCTTTCGGCTCCTGGGGCGACCACCTGCAGCACCTGCAACGCCGCCACTGGAAGAGCATCCACCCCGCCCGAGTGTGCCACCTGTGTCTGAGGATCCTCGACGACGCCGAGCAAACCGCGACGCACTTGGAGGACCACTCGCGCCAGACCCAGTACAAGTGCAAGTGGTGCTGGGCCCAATTTTTCAACGCCGAATCTCGTAAAGATCATATGAAGTTTTTCCACAGACGTTAATGACTGACTAGGTCGAGTATCATCGTCGACCCTGCGTGACGTCACGATTTGAACCTTTTGAACTGCCCCCCCCCCCCACTTTTTAAGTCTGCCTGCACCAGGCCCGGTGCTCCCCACCCTACGGCCGTTGGATAGGGGGGAAGGGGTGCTTTTGTTACTGTCCAAGGCCGTTGTCTCTTGACTACGCTTGCTCACTGGCTTTGAAGCTGATTGCGAGATGACATGTGATGAAGGATTCGTCAGTTGTTCTTTACCGGTTAACGTTATGATCGTTTATGTTTACTCTCTGCACTCCCATTCCAGGAACGTGACAGGACGTTCATACGAATGTGACAAAATGTCGCGCTCCTTTGAGCACTGTGTTACATTCCTTTCAATGTGAATTAGCTAATTTTTGGCTGATTCACATTTAAAGGGACGTGACACAATGCTGAAAGGAACGTGACATTTTGTAACATTCGTTTGAGCGTCACGTCACGTTCCTGGAATGAGAGAGTTCCATTAGCCTTGATGTGTCCGAATTTGAGCCCTTGTTTTCTTTTGTTTGTTTTTGTTTTTTGTTTAGAATGGATGGTGTTGGTTTATGGTATTGTTAACAGCATAACTAAACGTTTCCATTGCATTTTGTGAAATAAATATCACATCAATGGTTTTTTTTTCACTAACGTGTTCGCGAAAACCATTCGTTTCATCACTTTTAAACCAAGTGAGGTAGGGATGGTAAAATACCGGTATTTTTAGGCACGAAGTAGCCTTATAGTATACCCAGGATTCAGCCGGCGCGAGATTCAATTCGTGTGGCCCTTTATGTATTTTGGAAATTTTCTATAGGATTTTAATGAGATTTTACAGACTAGTAGAACTTTCACACTGATTCTAATGTAAATGGTTTTTCTAACGGCAATTGCAGAAATGTCATGCACTTCCAAGCGAATGTGCGGAAATCCGCCTATTTGCGCACGAAATCGTTGTACATTACGCGCACAATTCGTGTGTACTTGATTTTACAATTTCGTGATTAGGCGAGAAGAAACCTACAGTAGTAATACTGTTGAACGCTGATTCTAATGTTGAAATGTGGTTAAAAAGTTAACGGCCAATTTTGAGAAATTTGCTGTCCCAGGAACGCCCTGGAAACCGCCTATGTGCCAATTCTCGTTGTACTTTATACAATCCCTGTTGTACTTTTATTTTACAGTTTTTGTTGTACTTTTGTTGTACACACTAAATTACTACGTACGTGTTTCTGCGCGCCAATGCACGAAATTAAACATGCACTTTTCGTAACGCACGAATTTGTGCGTTACGAAGTGCATGTTTAATTTCGTGCATTGGCGCGCAGAAAAACCTACATAGTGATTTAGTGTGATACTATTCACACTTTTTCTTGCAGTGCACAACAATCGCTTCCCCTCGGGGTCGGTAAGCGCCTGGCAGGTAGGCCGCAAAACCGTCCTGCAACACAACGGTGCGTTGCGGGATGGTGTCCCAGGTTTGCCAGGCGCTAGGGACCCGAGTGGAAAAAAATCTTATCTATTGCGGCACTTAACAAGAAAAAGTTATGATTTTGACCGACGTGAACAGCCAAACTGGAAGGCACATCGCTGCGAATACCACTCATTAGCTTGGAATCTTTTTATAATGACGTCTACCTAGAGAAATGTTGGGAAGAGATTTATAATATCCAATAGTTCGTCGGTTTCGGTCGGTTTGGTACGGAATGCGGAATCGCTAATATGTCTTGACGCTGATCTCCATCGCCGGAAACCTTTTGGGTCGCAACACACACACACACACACACACAGAGAGAGAGAGATTCCAAGTTCAGCGACACCTCAGGCCACGCCCGAAACAGCTGTTGATGCTTCGCGCGCAACCGCTGCGGGGCCACTAGCCACTAGGTGACTCACGCCAGCTCTGCGCGCTCCTAGGTTAGCAGTCTGATTCCGAGAGTTGTTCTCGTCGCTCCGTCTCTCTCGCACTCGTGGGGCGTCCCTTATGGGTGCGAGAGAGACAGAGCGACGAAGACGACACTCGGAATCAGTCTGCAGAACACATTGCGCAACGACGCGAAAAGCCGCGCGCCGCCTCCCCTCCCCTCACCGGGCGGCGCTCCCCCTCCACCCCCCACCACGCGGCGGCGTCGATCCAAGGCCGCCACAGCTTGCGCGCCGCCGGTTTGTTTGCTTGCTTGCCTGCTTGCCAGTGGTGCGGCCGGCGCGGCGCGGCGGACGTCCGTTCGAGGCGTGGCAAGCCAGTCAACAGCAGCGAGTGGACTGGCGGACGATCACCGCGCGGTGCACGTCGTCTGCATCGGAGACGAGCCGTGGAGCCAAACACAGGTGCGTGGGTTTCACTCTTCTTAAAACCATGCGAACCGAGTGTTTGTAAGCTTGCGAAGAGCCTCACTTGTTTGCAATGCGAAGAACGCACCCGTATTGCAAATCACTTGTTCGCAACTTGCGAAGAAGTGCTTTGCAATTTCCGAACAACCTGTTTGTATTGCTAACCCTTGCAAACACATTGTTCGCAAAATTGCGAACTACTAGTTCGTAATACAATCAAGTTAAACTCTTCGCAAGCTGCAAACTAAATGCTTTGTAATGCGAACACATTCTTTGCAAGGTTTTGAGAATGTTGAGAGAGAGAGGAAGGAGAGAGGAGAGAGAGAGAGAGAGAGAAAGAGAGAGTGTGTATCTGTTTAGCGTGGTGCAATACGTTTGAACCGTTTTCATCGCATCAATTGGTGCGATGCTTCCTTCCACAGCAAATCCAAACTCTGTGAACATAGCGTCAATTAGTGCAATGCGTTTGCATTGCATATAAAGTGCAATGCCTTCCCATTTCCATGCATTTCCGAGACGCATTGCACGTAAGTTGCAATATGGCTTTGGCATTGCACGCATGGTGCGATATCTCAGAGCATTGCACTATACGTGCTATATTCACAGCCTTTGTAATATCAGTGTCCGCACGTGAATTGCTTTGCCCGAGGCAATGCATTCCTCTGCATTGGCATTGGACATTTTCCGGACGCTTTGCACGTGTGGTGCGTTGTCCCAATGCACTACGTTTATAGCGTCTGAAATCACAGTGATGGTGCACGCGGTAGTTTTTCCGCCGGGCGTCGCGCTGGGGAGAGGTGAGAAGTGTTGCGGCGCTGCCGGGCGCAGAGCGAGGTAAGGAGTGTTGCGGCGCGGCCAGGCGCTGGAGCGCCGGCCGGAGGTGCTGCGGAGGGGGCTGGCTACTTTTGAAAATTAGCCCCGCATTTATTCTACTACTTACAGCGTTATATGGCTCCGTTTCATGAACACGGTAAAAACGGTTCCTGGTTTTTCCCGGGGGAAAGCCCCTTTCCTGGAAAAATTCGGCCACATTTGGGGGAAAACTCCGGAAAATTCTCCGAAAACAGTTTTTGGAATTCTGTACCCCCCAAAAATTGGGTTAAGGGGTTCCCAAAGGGCTCTTTAAAAGAAAATTTTCCTTTTAGGAAGCCCCCAGTGTCGGCCCCCCAAAATTTACGGGAAAAAAAGAGGGCCCCTTCGGAGAATACTGTAAGAGCCTAGGAGAATACTGAAAAGAGGGCTACGGAAAAACCCTCCCAAAAAATTAACAAAATTTTTCCGTACCTTTTTGCCACAGTGTTGTCTTTACCATAGTTCCGGGAAAACCGGGTTTTTTTTTAAATTTTTTCCCCCTTTTTGGGCCCCCGGTCTTTCTCCATTTCCCTCCTTTTTAAAATTTTTTTTTCCCCCCAAGGAAAACCCCCCAAAAGGGGGGGGGGGCCCCCCCCCCCCAAAAAAAAGGGGGGGTTTTTTTTTTTAAAAACCGTATTTCCCAAAATAAAAAAAGGGGGGGCCAAACCAAGGGTTTGTTTTCCCAAAGGGGGGCCCGGGGGGTTTTTGGGGGAAAAAAAAATTTTTTTTTTGGTTTTTTAAAACCCCTTTTTTTGGGGGGGGGGGAAAGGGGGGAAGGGGAAAAAAAAAAAATTTTTTAATTTTTTTTAAAAAAAGGGTTTTTTTTGGGGGGGGGGGAAAAGGGGAAAACCCTTTTTTTTTTTTTCCCCGGGGGGCCCCCCCGGGGGGCCCCCCGGGGGGGGGAAAAAAAATTTTTTTTTTTTTGGAAATTTCCTTTTTTTTAAAAAAATTTTTTCCCCCCCCCTTTTTGGGGGGGGTTTTTTTTTTTAAAAATTTAAAAAAAAAAATTTTTTTTTTAAATTTTTTTTTTTTCCCTTTTTTTTTTTTTTAAATTTAAAATTTTTCGTTTTTTTCCAAAAATTTTTTTTTTATTTTTTTTTTGGGGGGGGGGGGGGGCCCTTAATTTTAAAAAAAATGACGGTAAATCCTGGATATTTTTCTTTTTTTCCAAACTTTACCGTACTGGCAAAACCAGTACAACGGTACAGCCTACAGTATTTGAATGATCAAGGACTGCGAATCGTGTCGCGTTTCTGCCAACGGCTGCCTTCCGCCCGGCAAGGCGTTGACGTGCGTACGGGACGCAGTCTTCAAAGGAGAATGACATGACTGTCATTGTTTTGAAGTGACGTCTAGGTCAAACTTTTTCTTCATCAGTGAAGTGTTGCGGCAGCGCCAGCACGCGGGTGGCCATCGCTGGTTAGTATTTAAAATATCTTGCTCCACGTTTTCCCGAAAATAAGAAACCTTGTTTTGTCCTCTGCGGCTTGCTCTGGGGAAACCTTGGAAACCCGAGGGTTATTCTAACTTTGATTATTTTGACATGGATCGGAGATCGGAGAGTACACGCGTGCGTAAATTCTATAAGCCACTGTTAGGGATTTTGTTGTAAAATAACGAGAAATTCCCTTTTTAATTCTATGGAAAAATTTGGTTCGAAATTTTAATGAGTACAGTCGTTATAATTCAAATCTTAAAACCATACATTTTCAGGTTGGTCTCGGTTTGCCTCGACGAAAAAACGTGAAAATAAAAATAATAATGTACCTTAAAAATTTTACGACTTTCTTTGTAAATTTACTTTTTTTCCCCGGTTTAAAATTACGTTTTTTCTTTAAAATTTTAAAAACAAACTTTGTAATTTTTAAACAAAAAATTTTTTCCAAAAAAAAAGAATTAACGGGGAAATTACTCGTTAATTTAAAAATTAAAAATTGTTAAATTACGATAATGCTTGTAATATGACAACTTTCGAGTGTGTAAGAGACATTCTTCGTAAAACTACAGCTAAAGTTCGTAATTTTACAAGATTGACCGAAAAAATCTGTGTAAAATTGTGAAATTTTTCTTTGTATTTGGCCAAGAACGAATACGTTCGTAAAATAACGATTTTATGTTGTAAAATTACGATGGTATTCATGTAAAATAAAGTTGTAAAAATACGACTTCCCCTTACAGTGAGCGTCACCTCGGCGTCACTGGTTTCTTGATCTTTCCTCTTTGAAGCCAGTGTGGGTGGAGTGCATGATAGCGTCCAAGCTGTGCCAATGCGCTGAAAATATATTGGCGTGACTTCATGCCAGGGGCGTAAAGTGTCATGCAAAAAATCGGCGTGACCAAAATGAATTCACGCCAATTATTGGTGTGAACTTGTCGTGCCGGTTTATGGCATGACTTTTCTCAAGAAACGCATAGTCATTCACGCCAGATGACGGCACACATATCTTTGCCGTTTTTCGGCGTGCATTTCGTTCCACGCAAAATTTTGGCCTGACTGTTCGTCACGCCATAATTTGGCCATGGGTCCGATCATTACGTTTTCAGTGAAAACTGTGAGTTAATCTGATTGTGTCTCTCAATGTGCTGGTTAAACTGTAATTTACAAGTGATTCCTTCCGCAAATCGTAAATTTAAAAAAAAAATCAAGTAACGGTGTGTTCCCCCTCTGGCGTCTATCTTGGTTTTCCAAAATTTAGAAAGTAGAAACAGTTGTCCTGTTGAGCATGCACAATCTCATTGACTACCCTTGTCTTCTTCTGTGCAGGATCCTCTGGAGCGAAGAGCCGTGTCGGCATGGCAGGAAGCGAGCCGCGCACGGCAGGGCGCAGTGCGGGCGGAAGTAGCAGTAGCAGGTGCGTGCCGTAGAAACGCAGAACATGCGTGCTTCATTTCGTCAATTCTTCTAATAATTTGGAACGAATCACGAGACCAATTTACTAAAGGCATTTTCACTGAACTTTAAATGGAAAGAACAAATGTGGCGAGACCAAAAGTTTAGCCAACTGGTCAAGACCTGGAAGCGTCTCGCCCAAAATTTGGTAGTACAAAAATTTTTCGCCACAAAATGGTGAGACTCTTCTGCCTGATTGCTGAACAGGCCGCATGGGCCGTTTCGACTAGATTCAAACTTCTGATCTCGTTGCGGTCAGACAGAAGTGTTTCGCCGTTTTGTGGCAAGACAAGACATTTATACGAGGGGCCCCTCACCTCAAAAGTAGGAACTGGATGGAGACTGCACTGAATTTTGCGCTTTGATTAAATTGAAAATTTCCCGAAATGCGTTAAGACAAGGTAGGTTTTCCCAGACCGCATCTTTTCGTAACAGGCTTCGCGATATCTCGCTCCTGTTCCTCCAATCCGCGGCTGGCGTACCTACCTTGGCCTGCGGCGCTAGCCTGCCTTCGGCAGGCAAGCTTGTCCACCGTCAGTTACTTCTAATTTTTTTCATATGGGGGGGTCCGCCCCCCAAACCCCCCCCTTTTTTCTAGATAGGGGTTGGGCCCTTACAAATTACACGATCTTGACCCTTGTAACTTTTTTAATTTTCGGGGCTGGGGTCACCGCCCCCCAAAAACCCCCCCTTTCCCCATGGCAGGCGAGATTGCCCGCAGAAAAAATCGATTTTTTTGCCGTTTTTAGGGTGTTTTTTTTGGCTATAAAAAATGAACCAGTTGAGCTAGGGTGATGAAAATTTTGCGTGGCCGAGCCAAAAACATATCTAATGAGCCTGCAAAATCTCAGCAAGATCGGCCGAGCCGTTCAGGAGGAGTAGTGCGCACAGACACACACACACACACGCAGACAGACAAAACTTTTCAACCCCACTGGAGTAACGGGCTTCGCTATCGCTCAGCCAAAAATGCTTTAAATAGGGCAAATTTACGTTGCTGTGCCGGCCTTTTAAGTGACTAGACTGAAACAAGGCAGTGACTTGAGGGGTGCACACGGACTGGACGAAGTGAGGGACCTCTCGCACCACGCTTGGCCAAAAATTGTCAAGACTTCGAGTCTGGAACTCTAGAGTGGCGGAAAATGTGACTTTTGGATTTGTGCTGTTTCAATTGGTTATCCTTCGTCGATATCAAAACTCGTCTAAGGCTGAGCTCTTTTTCAGTTCGAGGAACGAGCTGTGGCGCCTGCTGACGGAGTACTTCACGCCCCGTCGCGACTGCGGCGTCACTCTTCCCTCCGGACCCTGCGGACGGATCCACGTCAAAGACAAGCGCGTCCAGATCATCGTAGAGCGGCGAGAATACTTGCACAGCAGCGTTTGCTCGGACAAGGACTGTGAAACGACTGCTGAAAAAGTCTTTTACAAACATCCAGAAAAAAGAAGAGCCTTCTTGGAAGACGGAATATTTCGCGGACAACCAAATCCTGCTCTTGTAGCCAAAATTCAAAAGGCATTTACAGACTTAGTAGATGAGTTTGCAAGTACTGTCAAACCGGGCAAAGCAGAAAATACTGAAGATCTACCGGTGCTCTATGAATTATGCTCTCAGCGTTCTTGCGATGAACTGATCTATTTGTTGGAGTTTGGAAAAATTGGAGCTCTCGATCGTTTCACAAAGGAAGAATATGAAAAAGTTATGCATTCCTACAGTGGTAGCCAAGCTATCGGACACCACATGTCTTTCTTCATGCACTACATAGTTCATTTCTTCATAGGAACAAAGTTGTTGTTGTACAATAACGTTGAAAAGGCTCCCAAATTGAAGTGGATGTACGATCATGCTTATGGTGGCCAAACGTTCCTGCCTTACCAGCGAAAAAACTTGCGTTTGTGGATGAAAGATTTGGACGTTACGACAGAAATGTGCAAAGCGGCCTTCCGCTGCATTTACCTCTATGTTTATTGGCGACGTAAATTCGAACCGGACTACAACATAGAAACTGATGACTCTTTAAAACTAGGGAATGAAGAGGGTATTTGGTTGCGTTGTTTTCAACCGGGTTAACCTGTTAACATGTGTAAACTTTGATAGAGCCGATTTTGAATTCACGAAAGAAAGTTATACAGGCCGAATGATTGTGTCACGTTCATCAGTGAAATTTACCATACGTTACCCTTAATAATTGTTTGGGATCTAAAAATAGGCCGACAAGTGGTGGAAATCGCTGTTCAGCAGGGCTCTGACTTTATCCGGGTTTCACCGGCTTATTATCTTGTTCCTGAACCTAACCCTTGACCCTTTGGGCTTGTATCCTGACGCATAAATTGTACAGAAGGAGTAGCTTTTGGCGAAAAGAGAGGTGACATTTAATCTGCAATCTTGTTGAAGCTGCTATCAAATGTGATCCTATCCGTGAAAATGGGAACAGTGCCAAAATAAATATGAATTCACCTTTTCTTCAGGTTGATTAGGTCTTTTTTATTTCTTTGCCCTACAATACAAATTTAAACACTACAATTACAATTCAAGGAATACTGCGAGGTATAATTTCCTTTCCACAATCACTTCCACAAAGCTTCCTCTAAGAGCGGAAAACAGACTGATACAAATACTCTACTCAAGGTTCGTTGTTTCAATGATTGCACCAAGGGGAAATCACTGTGAATTTCAGTGTACAAATCCAATGAATTTCAGAAAAAATTTGATGCATTTCACGCAAAAACTACTGAATTTTGAGAAGAATTTCATACATTTTGATGAATTTAACAATTTTTGCTGAATTTTGGTGTAAAAATTTGGAGAGAGTAATTTTTCCTTGGATTGCACCATACCTTTTATGTTAACAGCGTTTCGAAGTGAAGGGGATTCAGCCCTACCAAAACTAAGACTTTTCAATCTCATTCCAGAAGCGTGAGATCAGTATGAAACGAGCAAGAAAAAATTTCACGCTTTGAGTTTTGAGCCACGCTTGTTCGGATGTGAATCAGCCATAAATTGGCTTATACTCTGACCAGAAAACGAAGAGCCCTGGGTTCTCGCGGTCGAGGGCTACCTGCAATGCTATCCAAGGCGGCAGATGCCATGAACCGCGAGAACTCAGGGCTCTTCGTTTTCTGGTGAGAGTAGACGTCACGCTCCTGGAGTAAAAATGTGAACATTAAGCCTTTCTTGAAGCGTACCTGAGCTCGTGCGCTCCGTTCTTCCGCATAAGTTCGAGGGGTCCTATTCAAAAGATCTTATCTGGGCGTTCCCCCCAAGACAATCTTATCTTAAACGCAGGTGAATTTCACAAATTTTGATCATTTGATACAGCTACATATCAATATAATTTGTGAGTTTGTTCAAGTAAATCTCAAGATGGAAGACCAAAGAAACCAAAAGTGCATCAAGAAATATGTTTCGCTTACCGTCGTATTTATTCTGATTGATCAAAATGAGTGAAATTTGCCGGCGTTTAAGATAAGATTGTCTTGGGGGGAACGCCCAGATAAGATCTTTTGAATAGGACCCCTCGAATTGATGGGAACAGCCCGAGAGGCAAACACTCGAGTCAGACGCTGTACGATTCCCATGCGCTTGAACTTGGCGTCACATCGCTTGTTTATCAGTGAGGTGTCGCGAGACGGCGCTAGGGCCGTTGGCAGTATCTTTTCAAAATGTCCTATCTTAGAGTTTCCTGGAAAATATCTTATCGATTCGTGCCCGCGATATCACGGAAACACGCCGCATGTCGGAGGCAGGTGCATTCGATCGGCGGAGTCGGTGTGTGTGGGGTCGCAAGGGATAAAACTTCGAGTTGCAGTTTGCCTGCCTCTCAGGTAGGAGATGGGTCAGTGACCTATTTACTGTCACGTTCGTTCAAATGTGACATGTCATATTAAAACGAACGTGATACCCCTTAATCTGACAATCATGGCGTGTCACATTCAAACGAACGTGACAAAGTGGGCATGTCACATTCAAACTAATGTGACAGTACATTACATGGATGTCACATTCGTTTGGATGTGACACGACATGTGTACTTAGATACCATGTGTCACATTCGTTTTAATGTGACAGTTCGACAGCTGATTGAGTGTCACACCCGAAGTAATGTGACAAAGCGGTGCGGTATGTCACATTCGTTTGACTCTGAATTTTCACCGTTTGTCACGCTCGAACTAACATCGCCGTTTTCACGTGAAAACGAACGTGACGTCACATTCCTTGGCTACCAGTGTGGTGGGTCCAAAACTGCGAAACGAAATGAACGGGCAGCCACTTAAACTCCGTAATAATGTTACAAATGAAATAACAATTTCTCAACGATCTCTCGAACTAGCGAACGCAAGGTCGTATCACTAATATGCTCGTAGTTCACTGAAAATCTAAAGGTGAGACGTCTGACCCTTTAAAGGCGAGATATGTTTGTCTGGCCAAAATAGGGCCATCTTTAAATGGTGATAATTCGATGTTTGACCGTAAGAAGGTGGTAAAATTTTGTATCACCGTTAAGAGCTGATATTTCTTTCAGGAAAACAAGGACAAGCCTCCCAGAAGTTTGGCGTTTTTCGGTCGTATATCGAAGCATAACCCTGTTCCGGTCATACATTTTTGTATGACTATTATTTTTCAGTGAAACGTCTTGGAAGGGCAAATATTGGTCAGATGTCTCACCTTTTGAATTGCAGCGTTTGTCGAGGAAACCACACGTTTAGACGAATGATCTGGTTGTGCCTCGCATACTCGGACGCATCAGTTCTGATGCGTCCGAGTTGGTCTAGGAATAGTTATAGTATACTTTCCATTGTGCCACGGTGTGCGGCTCTTAACAGCACTAAGATTCCAAACGCTATGAGCATAGCACGTGTGGTGCAATACATTGAGATATTGCACCACACGTGCAATGCCAGCCATATTGCACCTTACGTGCAATGCATCCCGAAAATGCCCTATGCTAATGCATGGGAAGGCATTGCACTTCACGTGCAATGCAAAAGCATTGAATCAGTTGGTGCATTGAAAACGTCTTCGTATGCATTGCACCAATTGGCGCCATACACATAGCGTTTGGATTCTCAGTGAGGGTAAACCGCATTTTTCAAATAGTTCGTGATTTTCTTAATTTCAAGTCAGACTTGACGGACTTGATTTTCCTTCTCTTTTGGCTTGCTTTTACTTAATCAAGTGCTAGTGACCATTTTCCTAGGTACTGCACAGCACATCTTTGATTATTACCGACTTCATCGACGACCTCTGTCTTCTTCTGTGCAGGAGCTTCCAAGAGACGTGTCAGCATGCCGGGAGGCCAGCCGCGCACTGGAAGGCGCAGTGCAGGCGGAAGTGGCAGTGGTGGCAGGTGCGTAGCATTCCCGGGAAAATGGAACATGCGTTCGTCGTAAATTTTACGAAGATCCCTAACTTGGAGAATAAGAGACCCTTTTCAAGCGGTCTTGCTACCGCTTCTAGCTCTGCATCCGATCCCACTCATCCCATCCATTCATCCGTTCAATCCGCGCCGCCACCTCGCCGCGCCAGTCCCCACACCTCACAGCCACCCCCTCCCTCCTTGCCCCCTCTCTGCCCGGCCTCCCCGGCCGGTCCACGCACGGTAAAAACGCTTCCTGGGAATCCCAGGAATCTCCTGGAAACTCCTATACCTTTTAACATAGGGCTCCTGGGAATCCCAGGTTCCGTTTTTACCGTGCGGCAAGACAGCTTTGCTAAGCTTGCCTTAGCGGAACTTTTTAACCTAAATGCCCTAAATAAAGATTGAGTAAAGGCAGAGTTTAAGGTAAAGTTAAAGGTGAAGTTTATGCCTTCCTTGTGTCTTTCACCAATGAACGCCTTTACCAAGGCCATTAAACTATTCACGCCGTTCTAGGGGCGTAAATCGCTTACAACACGTTAGGGGATTGCCTTATGCCTTGGTTTTAAAAGTGCAGGAGGAACGGTACGAACCCGCCCTGGTTGAAACGGTAAACGGGACATGGCCCAAGAGTTATGATGCGCCTTCTTTCCAGTTCGAGGAACGAGCTGTGGCACTTGCTGACGGAGTACTGCACGCCGCGACGCGACTGCGGCGTCACTCTTCCCTCCGGACCCTGCGGACGAATCCACGTCAAAGACAAGCGCGTCCAGATCATCGTAGAGCGACGAGAATACTTGCAAGGCAGCATTTGTTCGGACAAGGACTGTGAAACGACTGCAGAAAAAGTCTTTTACAAACATCCAGAAAAAAGAAAAGCCTTCTTGGAAGACGGAAGGTTTTGGGGACAAACAAATCCTGCTCTTGTAGCCAAAATTGAAAAAGCCTTTACAGACTTAGTAGATGAGTTTGCAAGCACAGTCAAACCAGGCAAGGAGGAAAATACGGAAGATCTGCCTGTGCTTTATGAATCATGCTGCGCGGGTCACTGCGATGATCTTATCTATTTGTTTGAGTTTGGAAAAATTAGAGCTCTTGATCGTTACTCAAAGGAAGAATTTTCTGAAGTCATGAGTTGCTACCATGGTGGCCAATTTGTCGGGCACCATATGTCTTTCTTTATGCATCATATAGTCCATTTCTTCATAGGAACAAAGTTGTTATTGTACAATAACGTTGAAAAGGCCCCTAAATTGGACCGAATGTACAATCGTGCTTGTGATGGTCAAACGTTCCTGCCTTATCAGCGAAAAAACTTGCATTTGTGGATGAAAGATTTGGACGTAACGACAGAAATGTGCAAAGCAGCCTTCCGCTGCATTTACCTCTATGTTTATTGGCGACGGAAATTTGAACCCTACTACGACATAGAAACTGATCGTATTTTAGAATTAGGGAATGGGGAGCGCATTGACTTCTGGTGTTTTTAGCTCCTCTTGAATCACACACAGGTGGTACATGCCAGCCCTAGTTGGCGGCCATAGGATTGCATGGTTGATGCCAGTTGATGTTTGGATCGTTTGTTGCATGAATCGCGGCACGAATATTTCCCATCCTAATGTTAACCAAAAGGCGGTGGTACTTCAGCTCAATCATTAACGGAGATGTGTGTCTGCCACCTTCTCTCTCTCTCTCTCTCTCTCTCTCTCTCTCTCTCTCTCTCTCTCTCTCTCTCTCTCTCTCGCAAATTGGTATGATTTGTACGCACGGACATGAATGTACGGACGGTTGTAAAAATTCTAGCGGCGTTGAATGAATCAGTATGATAACTGTAAATATAAGAAATAAAAGCGTTTTTCAAATTTGAAGTCCAATTGATGATTATTTATTCGTTTCTCTTAACATTGACAGCGATGACAGCAAGCGACCAGAGCCCGCGCCGTGATCCCAGACGAGCCCGCGTCCACAGTCTGGCCACGAACCACGAGTATCGGCTCCCTTAACGCCTGCGAACACGAAGATAGGCCCGCCCGCCAAGCACTGCTGTGTGGTTGGCTGCCTACCCGCAGGCGCTCCCTCCTTCTCGCCGTTCTCTATCATTCAGTTCACGCACTGATTTTCTAAGTGTAATAATAAACTAATTTAAAAAGCAATAAAATTTGTATTGCTTTAGTAGTGTCATGAAAAAGTTATTGCATTATAAGTGCAATAATTATTGGATTGTAGAGATGAGGAATGGGCTGGCCCGGCGGGCCAGCGCCACTGTTGCAGTGGTATCGGCTGTGACAGTCCGTGTCGCCGAAGGTGGCTGGGCTAGCCGAAGATGGCCGAGCCCACGGGCTCGGCTCAGCCCGCGGGCTGCCGGAGCCGAGCCAGGCCGAGGCCGGGCCTGGGTAGCTGGCTGGCGGGCGGCGGCCGCCGGGCGAGCCGAGCAGTGCCGTGGCCGTGCCGCCGGCGTGCTGGCCGAAGTAGCCGGGGGAAGAGGGCAGAGACGAGATACGAAATTTTGAATGAATGACAACAGAGCATAAGAGAAAACACTCTATCGTAACCATGGAAGGGCTCCTCGCCTCACCAAATAGTTAGAATTCGCAATGTGATTCAAATTTCCGAGCGCGCTTCTCGGTAGCGTGGTGACGTCAGCGCCACGCTGGGCCGCGCCGCAGGCAGCTCGCTAGCTCGCTCCCGTCCCGTTGCTTGCTACCCGGCCCGGTGCCCGACTGTCTTCGTCATCCGCGTCCGTCCGTCTTCCCCCCAGCCGTGCCGAGGCAGCAGCCCTCCAGCCCGCGGGCTGGGCTGGGCCGGCTGGGCCGGGCTGGGCTGGGCTGGCGGTAGCGCTGCGCAGCCCGCAGCCCGGCCGGGCTGGCCCATTCCTCAACTCTATTGGATTGCCGCATTAGCGCATTTATCGCATTATTAGCGTGGTTATTATTTAATCGCACCAAAACTGTGATAATCTGGGCCCAGACCGGGACTTAGGGACTTATTGCATTTTTAATGCGATAATTTTTTATTGCTGCCACAGATGCGATAACTTGAAGGAATCACACTAGCCTTTTTATCGCAGCAAATTGTACATGATCACATTAGAAATACCAGTGCGTTTACTTTACTAGCTCAAGGCGAGGCTTTTACCCGCCGAGTCCAAGGAACGACCCGCACTGTAAAATTTTGTGTAAGGGAGGTTAGGGCTATCCCGGACACTTTTTGGCCCGCCCTTCTATTCAAAAAATAGGGGGAGGGCCTATGCATTTGCCTTTGTGTCTGTGTTGTTGTTGTTGTTGGCGTCTGTGTACAAGGAAGGAGTTGAGCTAGAGTAACCAGATTTGGAGGGTACTTCAGGAGTACCGTCCAAACAAATAATCCGGTGGTGCAAATCCCGTCCGGGTCGCACAAGGGCTGCTGCAGGTGCATCATGGTTTACATGAGCGGGAGGGGGATTTCCGCCATTGTTGGTGCTAGCAGGGCACATAGGGGTATTTTTGGAATCGGGGCGACGAGACAAGATGAATGGACCTGGTCCCGACCCCATCGGCCGCTTTTACAAGTTGGCCACATCAGAATCTTCAAAAAAGGGGGTCGACCGACTAAAAAAATTTATTGCAGATTTCGATTGGTCTCAGCAAGACCTTTTCAACGAGGGGTCGGAAAGGGGGTCCAGGAGCCCGACTTCGTCTATTAGTCACATCAGGATCTTGAAAAAAGGGGGTCGACCGACTGAAAATTTTTACTTAAGTTTTGGATAGGTCTTGGCAAGACCTCTTCAACGAGGGGTCGGAAGGGGGGTCCAGGAGCCCGCCTTTATGAGTTATGGGAAAAAGTGCGACGGACTCGTTTTGCGCTCCTGCTGTGCCTCTATTGCAAGGAGTTGCAGTAGCATGGCAAATATGGGTATTTTCGGAATGAGGGCGAAGAGACAAATGAAACGGGCATATTCTAAGGACAGTTGGAGTAAAAAGTGTAAGGACTATTGCATATTGTGAATAGACGGGCGGGCCTAAGTCACGATGGTACATCGATAACTTTGCTTTACCCGCTCACGGTGTGTGTGATGCGAGCGGGCCGAAGGCCCGGGCCTTCGACTGGCCAAGTTGGGTCTGATGCGAGGGCCGAAGGCCCGAGACAAGGCCGCCGGCAGGCCAAGCTGGGCCGGCCCCCTGTCGAACCGAGTTGCCGGCGCAGCGAAGCGGAGCTGGCAATTCGGTTCGACGGAAGGGTGGGCCCTAGCTTGTTTTGTTTTCGCTCCGTAAAGTTGCACATGCCACTTGGGTCTAATTTTTTCACTCGAGCGTGAAGTATGAACCTTCGCCTTCAAAATGACAAACATGAAAGTCAAATCTAAGCAACGAGAAGGAGGTACAGGGGCGTGACAGTAGCCCTGCATGTGTCCGGAAATACCCAAGGGCTGGGGTGATTCCGGACGACCTATGGGGCAATTCCGGACGACCAATAAATCCGACCATGATTCGACATCGTTCGACTAAGGTATTATTTGTTTGGATTAGAGCTCGACTGCAACCCACCAATTTTAATGCAGGTTGCCTACCCGTCCCCACCTCATGGGACGTGTTACGACTCTTTTATGCACTGCAAGAAAAAACCACGACAAAGAACACTAATTTCTGGCAATTTTTTTTATCAGGAATATGTTGTACTTTGAAAGTACAACAATTCTTGTACAAAGTACAATGGCTCCGGCACAAAGAGTGCTGTGCAGTCCAGGCCTTGTTGTAGTTTGTACAATTTTTGTTGTACTTCCTACAATCACTGTCGTACTATTATTGTACAGTTTTTGTTGTACATTTGTTGTACTTTACACAATTTATCTTCCAGTGTGTGACCCTGACGCCAGAATTGACTTACAGCTCTTTTCCGATGAAGAAATGTCTTTGCAAAGTTGAGGAAAACATGTTATTATCGCTAAAAGGCCACAAAGGTCAATTTGACCCGCGTGGCCGTTTAAGGGGGGACCCTGGTGAAACTTTCAAGTGGGCTTCAAAATAATCCCAGAGAGTTGAAACTTTGCTTAATCATTAGGTTCATTATGGTGAGTTCCCAAAACAAAATTCAATCCAAAATGTTAAACAGTCTCTGAGAAAAGTGGCTTTTTAGTGTTTTTTAGAGCGTTGGGGAAAAATCTTCCTGCGTCTTTCATTGGGACGGAAAGTCTTGAGTTTTTAGTGACGGAATTTTCAAATTCAACTTCTGTCCTAAGATATGAGTTTTCAAATTTTAACATTAAAAAAAAAGTGATTTTTTTTCCCTTTTTTCAAACTTTTAGGTGTGTTTTAAAAAAAGTAGGGCTGATATCAAGATTCCGTCACTAAAATTTGTCGATAAGTCATCAATGAATAGAGTCCATGCAAGACGACTCATGTAGGTGTCAACCAGGAGCGCAGGAAGTCTTTCTACGAAAAAATTTTATGTCGACTGAGCAAAGCTGTGAAGTTGAGCGTAGAAGCCAACGACAGCTGATCTCAATGTTATTTCCCTCCAAGTGATAAAGAAACTACCCACTTAGCTTAAAGGTGTTCAACCTCATGAATCTGAAACCTTCTATGCACATTTTTATCTATGAACTTTAAAAATACTATTTTTTGGAATTTTGGCGATTTTTTCACCAGGGTCCCCCCTTTAGGTAAAAGTTCATGGATAGCTTAGTCAAAATGCACCTACAGACCCGGGATTTCGCGTAGAAATAGGTTTTGTCAATTAAGGAAAAGTCAAAATTTGTGCCTTTAATGTAAAGTAGCAAAGAGAACATTCAAAAACGAAAAAGGTTCATTTTGACCGCTTGTCCTTTCTAGTATTAATAGCGAGACTTTCCGTTTGTAAACGGATCAAGTCGTAAATTGACGACTTAATCGTCTGCTTGCGAACAATCTTTTTTTTTAATATGTTGTGCAGTTATGACTTCAGTCGTACATTTACGACTCTTGTCGTAAATTAGTGTTACGAATCGTAAATGAACGACACAAATCGTAAAATTAAGCGAGCAAAATTGTAACTTTTTACCAACTTATCGGGGATTTCAGATTTTAAAATATTACGACCAATTATAACATTGTCGTAGAGGAATGATTTTTTTCGTCGTTCAGTTACGACGAGAACGGTGTTCTCGTCCCTTGCCGCGATTCCACATCCCTTCAATTTCACTTGGGTATGAACGTGTGAGAAAAGAACTTCCGCCGTAATAAAAATTAGCAACTTTTTTGTCGCTAATTTATGACAAAATTTTTGACAGTGCATACAAAGAGTAAGGGAGGGTGGGGTACAATGGGACACGGGGCACAATGGGACACTGTCAAATTAGCCACCTTGCGGTGTTCGTAGGATCTGCGGGTTACGCTCGATTATAGGCCAGCAGTTGCCATGTTAGTTTCACAAAGCGGGAACTTCATTCGACTGATCGTTCTTTCGGCAGGTCGAAGCAAAGTGCGAATGTAAGAAAAACGAGGTAAAACTAGCAAGACCGGAGAATTTTGTTTTTCATCTAGCATTTAAAGTATTTGTCGCACGTTCGTAGCGAGTTCACCAGTGAGTTCGTTGGTCTTTTGAGGTTCAGTGAGACTTGTCTGGGCGCTCTGGCTTTTGGTGTTGAAGAGCTAGAGCGTGTCCAGTGCAGCGTGTCGTTCGGGGCACAATGGGACACCCTCGTTTGGGGCACAATGGGACGTGTTAATCAAAGGGCTTTCAAGTTTCAGTTGTAGTTTATGTCTAAATGAAGCTAAACCATACGTTAATTATGTTATTCACAAGAATTTTGGCATCAAACATTTCATTTGCGCTTTTTACTGTATTAACACTGCAGTTTCTTCATTTGTTACACATCATACTCCGGAATTTTTTTAAGGCAACCAGGAACGTAAGTTCTTTTTCAAAATAGTTTGTGACGAAAATAGATCAAAACCTATTGCCCACAATTTTTTGAATGCTCCTTCGCTTTATTTTTAGCTCATAAAAGGGTGTGTCCCAATGTGCCCCGGGGCTGTCCCATTGTGCCCCAGCCCGGGGCACAATGGGACAGGTGACACTTTTCGGCAAAATGTCTCCACAGACCAAAAATGCCGTATAATCAATTTTATGGTCAAATAAAAGTTATAGACAAATAAACAAAGAACATTTTTAACTATCGGGCGGCATTCTAGCTCCAACGGTCTCGGATCTAGGCCAAAAACAAAAAAAAAGCGTCCCATTGTACCCCACCTTCCCTTATGGTTGGCGACAATTCTTTGAGAGTCAACGTTCCTCTTTTCAATAAGATTGTTTTCCTTTATATTAGGGATGGTGTTGGTACAGAAGTTCTATATTTGTTGGTTGCAAATTTAATCAATGATACAAATTTATAGTGCACAAGATACTGACAGCTGGTCGTCCTCACCAAGACGTTTGGCACAAGGTTCAGCATTGCTACGCAATCCCTTGAAGCACTCCGAAAACCCGTTCCAGCATCTGTCAAGGAAAATAGTCTGTTAGAGTGTGTGAAAAGTGCCGCACTGACCCGTCGTTTTCTTTCGGGAAACGCTCACTGAAAAAATCTACCGGCGTGACTTTGTGCCTGCAGGGGCCGTGAATTAAATGTCACGCAGAAAAACGGCAGGACAAAAAAGCCATGCCAAAAATCGGCGTGACTCAGAATCCACGCCAAGTTTTTGAGTGAATTTCCTGTCACGCCAGTTTCTGGCATGACTTTTTGTCATGCCACAATTTGGCCATGTGTCAGACAGTTCCATTTTCAGAGCTACTGGTTTGGTCGAATTTATTTTAAATCATGCCTCCTATCAGGGCACAATACCGCCACTAAAAATTCGCATGGCACCGTTCACGAGGGGTCCACCCAGCTCAGGAGTGTACACACAATTGCAAATTACTGGTGCTTGTCTTCAAACACTCTAAAATTTTGCCAAGGTGGGAGCATTCTACTTTCATGTGAAAACCCCCCAAACATAGCTAAAACCAGCAAAAATATTCAGTTTTGATATTTTAATGCAAGTGGAGTACTCGCCGCTTTGTGGTGAGACTTATGTGTCAGGCCGTTTTGTGGCGAGACTTTTTGTCTGACCAAAACGTGGCGAGACTTTAATGTCTCGCCATACTTTGGCGCGAAGTCTTTCCATCCAATTTGCAGTGTATTTATGGTTTTCTTGTGCCCCCTAGTCTTAATTGTTCATCTCCTCAAAAATATATCTAGCGACTCAAACGCACCTCCAGCTTGTCCAAGTTGTCCTGCCTTCTCTTCTCGATGCCGGGGTCTTCCTCGAACAAAGTATCGATCACCTCGTCCACGAACATCCCTTCAGTGAGTTTGCCGTGCAGGTACCGTTTCACCTCGTTCACCACGAAATGCATGATTGTCTTCGCCACAGTGTCGGCCACTTTTTTCGAGACCAGCTGGTAATAGTGATTCAGCATCAATCCTGCAACAGAGCAGCCTCAAATTAATGACGATGAGTGCAGTAGTCTACATACACGCTGGAAAAGCTTTTCCGGCGTGTATATAATGAAAATCGCGTTATGTGCACGCTGCGTGCATGTAAGTGGCTTTTCACTATATAAACGCTGCGTGTCAATAATCACTTCGAAATATAAATGCACACTTGTTACACTAAAAATCTATCGGCGTGACTTCGTGCCGCTGCAGGGGCGTGAATAAAGTGTCACGCCAATAAACGGCATGACAGAAAAGTCACGCCAAAAATCGGCGTTACTCAAAAATTCACGCCAATTTTCGGTGTGAATTTCTCGTCATGCCGCTTTTTGGCATGACTTGTATCTTCAAACGCTGTCATTGCCAGCGTCTCACACCCGCTTATGGCGTGACTCATTGTCCACGCCGTCTATCGGTGTCGACTGTCACGGCGTTTGACTATATTCTTTCATTAATTTCCTGTTAACAACCTGATTAGATACTAAATATTGCATATTGCGGATTCCGTAGAGCGTGACACCGCATCCATGGCAGCAGTGAGTTCCCATCTAAACAAGTACTCACCTAAAGATGCCTACTTGGCTGACTTCACTCCTCAGACAATACGTTTACTGCAAGAGTTTTCAGCCAAGTACACATCTGTAGGTGTGTACCGGAAGGTGCATGCATCTGTTGATGCATACTGACACTTCATTTGGGGTACATGCCAACGTTTAATTGAGATCCAAACAGAAAGTTCGGAAATAATTTTAAAAAACGTGCATAAAATACTATAGTATATGAAAAATAACATTATTAATACTAGTATGTGAAACAAACCTAAAATTCGCATGTGTTTCTCATCGTTGGCATTCATTGCAGAATCTTGCGAAGCTCGCTCTCTGATTGTATAGGATCACTGTATCCCAATCAGAAGTCTGAAAACCTCTTGAGAGAATCCACGTATTCCATCAGTTTAAATGGAATGGGAAGTTAGGCAATCCAAGTTTACCCTTTCGTACGGAGTTTTCAAAGCGATCTGCAGTTGCTTCTCCAAAGCGTCGTTCCATGGAACGGCCCCGTAATTTCAGTAACCGTGATTAGATACTAAATATTGCATATTGCGGACTTCCGTAGAGCGTAACACCGCGTCACATGGGGAGCATGTGAGTTCCCATCTAAACAAGTACACACCTAAAGATGCCTACTTGGCTGACTTCACTCCTGCAGACGAATACGTTTACTGCAAGAGTGTATTCAGCCAAGTACACATCTGTAGGTGTGTACCGGAAGGTGCATGCATCTGTTGATGCATACTGACACTTCATTTGGGGTACATGCCAACGTTTTATTTGAGATCCAAACAGAAAGTTCGGAAATCATTTTTAAAAAAACGTGCATAAAACACTATAGTATATGAAAAATAACATTATTAATACTAGTATGTGAAACAAACCTAAAATTCGCATGTGTTTCTCATCGTTGGCATTCAGTTGCAGAATCTTGCGAAGCTCGCTCTCTGATTGTATAGGATCACTGTACTCCCAATCAGAAGTCTTGACTTTCCTCTTGAGAGAATCCACGTATTTCACATCAGTTTTAAATGGAATGGGAAGTTCAGGCAATCCAAGTTTAGCCCTTTCGTCCGGAGTTTTCAAAGCGATCTGCAGTTGCTTCTCCATAGCGTCGTCCAACTGGAACTGGCCGTACGTAATATGCCCCAGCTCAATGTCGATTGTGGTATTGACCTGGATCAAAGCGAGTAAAAGCATTCTAATCGGTCCTCTCAATGAATTGCTCTGTGAGTCACGACCAAACGTGAGCGTCACGGTAAAACAATATCTTGGTGTTCCCAGGAATATTGGTCAACTCCCAGAATAAATCGGGATTTTCAGGAATATTGGCCAGTTCCCGGGAGGCGGTTTTACCGAATAGTCCACGCTAGGAAACGTGGAGCAAGCTGTGGTCCACGCTTCACAGCGTTGAACTCCTCATAGGCTAGTCACACTTCGAACTGTGGACCATCCGTACGCTTCCTAGCGTGGACCATTCGTGGTCCACGTTTTTTTTTAGCGATGACCACCGTGGTCCTTGCGTGGACTTGGTCCACACTTGGATTAGCAATGTAAGTGGCGGGTCCGCAAAGTGGATCCATCGCAGTCATCGTGGCAAATTATCGCACCCGTCGCGGCAGTAACAAAGTTATCGCTTTAAAACTGCAGTGTCTCGAAGGTTTTGGCCCAGATTATTGGCTGAGCGATAGCGAAGCCCTTGCCGTGTTTGGGCGCGCTGAAAAGTGACTAGTCGTGCGTCTGTCTGTCCGTCTGTCCCTCTGTTCGTAAGGGAGTATGGGGCGATTTGTAACAGGGGCGATTCGTAACAAATGCGTTTATTAATTTAAGTGGAGGGAGCAGAGGAAAATCTGAGTATGGCCCCTCTTTCGCTTCAAGTAGAGAGTCCTTGAACAATCGAAGCGGATGTGATCGGTGCTCAGGTATAGTTTTGGAGGGCGTCTGAAATATAGGGTGCACCGAAAACAGGCAAATCTTTTATTTTGAGTTCAAGGAAGTTTCTGTCTGAGGCTGCCCAGGTATGAATCACCATCGAAGTACCGTTGAGGCCTCGAAGCGTGACCCCTTTGAGAAGCTCCAGACAAAAAAAACCACTTGGTCGGCGACATCCTAGGAGCGGGCGCTTGTGGTGTTTTATCGGTTCCTTCTATGTATACGAACTGCCGAAAAGACACTTGGACGAAATCCGACACCCCCTGTGGCTTTGGTACGGGTCTAAACACCCCAAAAACAGCTGTTTTCGAGGGTTTGGGACTAGATGGGTTCTCGCAAACCGAGATCCAAAAAAGTACCCAAATGGGTCTCAGATACTCAAAAAAATGCGCTCTTTCGAATGCCGTGTCGAACGAGGCTCTACGACGTCGGGTTTGGATGCTACGGGCTCTCAAAGTTGCTCAATTTCACTATTTTTACTGAAGATTTGAGCATATCAGGGCCGTTTGAAGTAGACCATCGGCGATTTCGCTCCTCTTTGTCTTAAATGGTGCCTACCCCCACAAAATTTCAGCCATGTCAGGCAATTATTAGAGGAACTGTGAACAATTTAAGTTTTGGGTCATTTTACCACTGGGCTTAGGTGTTTTTGGGTCCAGAAAAAATAATTTTTTTAGCTATCTACTTTTGATCAGCACCTCTTGAAACGCCTTTTTAACATGGTGCCTCAAAACTTTTTTTCGAGGACAAACTTGCCTTTTTCTCCAAGTTATGTTCTAATTACAGCTAGAAAAAGACAAGTTTGTCCTCGAAAAAAAGTTTTAAGGCACCATGTTAAAAAGGCGTTTCAAGAGGTGCTGATCAAAAGTAGATAGCTAAAAAAATTATTTTTTCTGGACCCAAAAACACCTAAGCCCAGTGGTAAAATGACCCAAAACTTAAATTGTTCACAGTTCCTCTAATAATTGCCTTTACAATGTAACCACGTGGCATAAGTTGCTTTTACTTTGTCCAGTGATAGTTAGGGACGTATTTCTTGCGTAGCCGGCATTTGGGGTGATTCGTAACAGACCCGTATAAAAACAAGAATTTAAGTAGTTTTTGCAATAAAATGCTTGAATTTTTTCTCGTACCATCTGCTGCCTAATTCCAATACATTTACACAGCTCAAAATGCATTTGAAAGCGAGTTATTCTATTCTTTCCTCCAAAATTGAAAAAAGTGAGGTTAGGGTTGACATAGCCGGTCAGTTAATGCTGAGGCGGTCAACGGTAGGCCTGTGCGATTATTGTCCAAAATCGAAATCGACCGATTATTGAAATAATCGAAAAGCCGACCGATACGATGCTCGGTAATCGGCAATCGAAACAAGGCCGATTAATCGACGATAACCGATTAATCGCATTATCAATAATCGAACATTTGCGATTAATCGCCCTCAATCAATTATTTCTTGCCCAATAAATTGAATAAAACTGAAAAGAAATAGAATTCGTAAAGCGTAAACATGGTCCACAGTTAAGGCTTTTCAAGTACAGTGCAAAGATTGTCAAGTCTTCTGTTAATAAACAACTATAAATGTAATCGATAACCGTTTCAAAATTATTAATCGGTTGAAAATCGGCCACCGATTTTTAATCGTTTAAAGTTCGATTACCGAGCATCGAATCGGTCCACAAAAAAAATCGTCGATTACTAAAATAATCGGAAATCGATTTCGATTATTCGATTAATCGCACAGGCCTAGTCAACGGCAGCTTGTAATGCAGATTTTAAGGCGTCTGCAGGACATCCGAAGAACAACTGCTGGAGGAGATAACATTCCCGACGATGTTTCATTTAATGTGTAGGATGTCATGAAAAGCCCCATGGCTGTTACAAATCACCCCATGCTGGGGCGATTCGTAACAGCTCGCAAGGGTTTGGAAAGCGTCTTAGATTTCAAAGATAACGGATTCCAGATTGATCCAATGGAGCTGCACAGTCTAGATGAAGGGCCAGACTGCTCAACCGGCACAAGTTTGACAGCGATATCCAGAATGTTCTTAATTTTGTATAGAGGATTCCAAAATCTGTTACAAATCGCCCCATACTCCCTTACACGCTCACGTTTCTCAGCGAATATAACAGGTATAGTTTCCATACTTCGCATTTAACGTCGTCTTACTTCCGCCCAACACGAGTTTGTTTCAAATCGTCGTTGGGTATCATTTGAGTCCATGCAAGACGACTCATGTAGGTGTCAACCAGGAACGCAGGAAGTCTTTCTACGACAAAATTTTTTGTCGACTGAGCAAAGCTGTGAAGTTGAGCGTATAAGCCAACAACAACTGATCTCAATGTTAATTCTTTCCAAATGATGAAGGAACTACCCACATAGTTTAAAGGTGTTCAACCCGTTGAATCTGAAACCTTCTATGCACATTTTTATCTATGAACTTTAAAAATACAATTTTTGGCAGTTTTGGCCATTTTTTCACCAGGGTCCCCCCTTAAGAAAAAAGAGATATCGAATAGTGACCCAAGCATACGAGTAGCCAATTAAGCGATTCAATGCTGGCAATTGAATGTTACTCGACTGAGGGATTCGCATTGGTGTGGCATCAGGGCATTGGTGACGACAGAGTGCTTCTGACCCAAAATTTAACCGATTTTTGGTTAATTTGTTTTAAATGAATCGAACAGTGATTCTTGCAGTTTTTTGAGTGCTGATAACGAAAATCAGTTCCATTTTAACACCAGACCTATATTTTCATCCCATGTTAGGTCATTTTGGACCAAAAATTTCAAGTCAAGTTTTATGTTGTTTCCTGCAGTTTTTGGTGTGCTAAACTCAAAAATGATCTCCAAACTTTTCCCAGACTCACATTTAACCGAATTTTTGACCAATTTTGGACCAAAATTTTTAAATTGAGTTTGACATTGATCCTGGCAGATTTTGGTGTGCTGATAACGAAAATCACTCCCATTTCGACTCCAGACTTATATTTTCATCCCAAATTGGGTCATTTTGGACCAAAGTTTTCAAGTCGAGTTATATATCGTTTCCCGCAGTTTTTGGTGTGCTAAACTCAAAAATGACCTCCAAACTTTTCCCAGACTAACATTTAACCGAGTTTTGACCAATTTCGGACCAAAATTTTTCAATTGAGTTTGACATCGATTCCAGCAGTTTTTGGTGTGCTGATAACGAAAATCATCACTCGCATGTCGACTCCTGACTTATATTTTCATCTCAAACTAGGTCATTTCGGACCAAAAATTTCAAGTCAAGTTTAACACTGTTTCCTGCAGTTTTTGGTGTGCTAAACTCAAAAATGACCCCAAAACTTTTCCCAGACTCACATTTAACCGAATTTTGACCAATTTCGGACCGAAATTTTTTAATTGAGTTTGACATTGATCCTAGCAGTTTTGTGTGTTCTGATAACGAAAACCACTTCCATTTGTACCCCTGGTCTAAAGTTCACTCAATATGAGCCTTTTAGATGCACAAGTCGTCCACTCAAGCAAAGTCCAAAGTGCACAAACTGTGTCAATTCGCATCGCTCAGCCACACTACGCGCCCAGACTAAACGGCGCGTACCCCTAGTTTGTTTTGGTGCGATAAAGTGATAATTTCGTTGATAAAGTAGTATAAAAATTGGCAATCTTAACCTTTTTATTCTGATCGGCGTGAATTATTGGCCACCCTACTTGAAGTGCAGATCGATTCACCGGTTAGCTCACTCACCATGTCCAACGCAGGTCTCGAATATTCCGTCAGGACGTCGTCAAGAATTTTTACCGCCTTTTCCTTGATGACAGGAAATCGACTCCCGACATCCAGTGGAAACTTTTCGTTGCCAACATGCTTTATCTCCATCATGACCGCCTTGACACACGTGAGGGAGGGCTTGCGAAACTCGGCTATCAGCGGCTTGACCAAGTCCTCCAGGACCTGCTCCGACACGAGGAAGGGCGGCCTGGGCCCGCTGGCGTTGCGGATCATCATCGTCACGCGCTCCAGGCAGTACAGGTCGCAGGGCACCACGGAGGTGAAGCCAGTTTGCAGTCTGTTGAAGAGGTAGCAGATGTGTGCGCCTCCAATCAGACTGCGAACAACGAATTGATCGGTTAGGAAAATCATGTTCACCCTTAAAAACCTTACGATGTATTTTGAGCATTCATACGTACAAACTAATTTACTTTGTTATGCGAAGAAATAATTCGTAAATTACGAAGTATTTTCTTTGTAAGCTTATGTATGCTCAAAATACTTCGTTCTAACAAACTGCTTTGCTTTGTAAAGCCTGAAATAGTTTGTAAGGTTTTCTCAGTGTTTTAAGTAGTAAGCCTTTAAGCCTGAAGCACTTGCGACACTTGCGTTTCTGGACCATGTGTGGCGTATGCACTGCTCAAAATTGTACAGTTCGGCTTTTTATATAAGCATAACTCACAGTTTTGAGGATTCAGGTGCGGGCTGCCCACCTTCCAGAACTTTCGAAACCTCATTGCAGAAATCTGACAAGACCCTGCTCAAGTATTTCTTCTTGTCCGTAATCACCTCACCACATATTTTCAAATCGTTTTCACATTTGAGTATTTCGTTTTGAACTCTATCCTGGAGGAAAAAAAGTAACATGATTAGAAAGTACATTGTGGAACGCGGACGCTGTGTAGATACGTGTTGTTGCTTGTTACCTTCACTCGAGGCAAGCAAGTTCTGATGTGGTCCAGAAGCAGGTTGCTGAGGGTTTCTGTCAGATAAGGGGTCCCATTCTTACTCAACAAATCAGGGTATTTCTTTTTCAAGAACTTGCGTTCATCCCGAAGCATGTCTTCAATGGACTGAGGAAAATAAGAGCATCAATTAAGAAAGTTGGGTTACAAAGCAGACCCCTTAACCCCGGAAAATCATTGTGCTGTACAAGGGTTTACGCCATATTAGATTTCGAACGTGGTTTCCTAGAAAACCTGATCCTGATTAAGTTTGAAAGTGCACCAAAGCCATGTATCAAAAATTTTCGATTTTTATCTCAAAAACATTTTTAAAAAATAATTATTGGACGCATGGCTAGTAACAGGAGGAAGAGGTAAGTGATGAGATGGCATTTATTTAATAATTCTGTCAATGTTAATAATTAACATTTAAGTTCTTATTTTCCAATTAAATAAATCTATTTGAATTTAGCAGCAAATTAATAGTGCCAGGTTTGCAGTTCATATTACTGTTTGCATGGTACAATACAAATTTGTCGAGCAGGTGAGTAGCTATATAACGTGGATCGGGGTTAGTTTGAAGGTCGCAGCGATTTCACAGTGCCTTGGAACGTGACGCAGCACTGCCAAAAGAATAGCAGCCATTACACAGGCTATTACTCACCATGTCCGTTCTAACTAGCGCAATACTAATTTGAAATGGATATAGGTTCCTCACCTTTTTGTCCACGATTGCTTTTTGAGAACGGTTGACGACACCGATGATGCCTAGTTTTACTGGAATCACCTTTCCGGTGAGCGCTTGGTACGCGTCAGTTCCTGTCAAGTAACAATTAAGCGTTAACACCTTTCTGACTGCCATTTAAAATTTCTATGAATTTTTATGTTGACACAAGAGAAGTCCATCAAAGGTGATCCAAGATAGGGGAGCATGGCACCTCGTGCCACTTTTTGGAACTTGTCGGCAAAGGGTAGATTAATGTACCGTGTGGTTTCTATTTGGTGCTGCTTACGTGTAGTAGCTAACGGTCACGGTCACCCATGACACTGAATGTCATCAGACACTTTTGGTCCCAACGATTTATGCACTTTTAGGCTCGGTGATACATTTTGTTTGACGCCTACTGCAAATTGTACTTTCATTACCCAATTGATCACCTGGCCGACACAAAATTGTTTCACCATACTAACCGTGACTAAATAAATTTGCCTCAGCAATAGGACATAAAAAGTCCCATGACATTCAGTGAGTACGTTAACCAGCGTTAAAAAACACAAACAAAATGAGTCATATTTTTGTACTCTGCATCTGACAGTGAAAGAAAAGACGTCTGGTTTTTCTTTACGGGACACTTGGCAGTAAAAAATTTCTAAGGTTTTCCCAGATTTGCCTCCTTTGAGTGCACCTTTGCACCTCAAACGGCAGTCATCTATTGAAATTCAATAGTTAGTCAATGGGATAGCGGGTAGAACACCCACATGATGTGGCTAGCGCGTCCCTTTACTGGAGCATACCTTCATCCATGAGATCCAATTTGGTGAGCACAGCCAGAGTCCTGGAGCCATCCGGATCAGCTTTCTTCGCTAATTTTAAACCTTCGTTGGCGGCCATGTCCATGTTCGCGGGAACCACAGCGAGTATGATGCTCAGTGGATTGTTTATGTACAAAGACAGAAGTTCCCGGATTTGTTTTTCAATGTCAGAAGGCTGACCCTCCACTGGCACCTTATATGAAGACAAATAAATCACGAAGCGTTAGGAGCATTCCACGATCATGATCCACAACATACTTGCTCAGATTAGTACTTAAAAATGCAACTACACTTCAGCGAGCGTGTGCTCAGATGAGTACACACTTTCATCTGCATTCATTGCCAGGTGTGCCAGTGTGTACTCATCTGAGGCCACTATCGTAGGAGCGTACTCGTGGGTACACTCCAAAGAGAGAGTACTGAGTACATTGTTGCGCAGAATAAGTCACTATTTATTTCTTACAGCTCTTACAAGACCACTCTCTCTCTCTCTCTCTCTCTCTCTCTCAAGAAAGTTTGGCCCTGCTGGGGTGCATATATGTAAGTTACCTTTATCATACCAGGTAGGTCAACAAGAGTGAGATTCGGTACTCTTGGAGAGAAGACTTTTAAGGTGATCTTGTCATGAGATATGTTTTTATTCACTCCGGCAAGCCTGATCGTCTCTTTCTCGATTTCACTCCTGATGTCTGTCATCTCAAAGATCTGCCCATCAGCGTGGAGGAATTCTCCCCATTGTTCAATATCAGTAGTGCCTGGAAGGAAAAAATGAGTAGTTCAACATTAGAATCACTCTCATTCCAGCAACGCGACATCACGTTGAAACGAATGTGACAAAATGTCACGTGTCTTTGAGCTATGTGTCACATTCTTTTTGACGCGAATCGGCAATAATTTAGCATTTTTACGTTGGAACGAATGTGACGCAATGCTAATAAGAACGTGACATTGTGTCTCATTCGTTTGAACGTGATGTCACGTTCCTGGAATGAGAGTAATACGGAGTGATAGCTAAGTCAGCGGTTCCCAACCTTTTTCGGTTCGCGACCCCAAATTTGATACAAAATATTTCCGCGACCCCCAGGAAAAATTTCGCGACCCCACGCGACCCCTCCTTTAGCATGTCTTTGATACAAAGTGCGGTAATCCACCTTAGTTTGGGAGCAGTATTGCCACAAAGTTGATCAAAACGTTCACAAATGTCTTTGAAAAATCGTGTTTTGGGCCGACTTTAAGCAACCTTTGCGTCTGATCCGAGGGGGTATTTCGTCCTCCCTCAACGGGCATTTGGTCTTTGGACCTTCCTTTAACATGCCTTTGTTACGGAGTGCGATTATCGGCCTTAGTTTGGGAGCAGTATTGTCTCAAAGTGGATCAAAATGGCATTAAAAGGCATTTTATACTGTTTTCATCAACTTTGAGACAATACTGCTCCCAAACTAAGGCCGATAATCGCACTCCGTAACAAAGGCATGCTAAAGGAAGGTCCAAAGACCAAATGCCCGCTGAGGGAGGACGAAATACCGCCTCGGATCAGACGCAGTTGCTGCTCAAAGTCGGCCTAAAACACGAGTTTTTAAAGGCATTTTCGACCGTTTTGAATTCTGCCAGCCGGGAAACAGCCGCGACCCCAGGCGACCCCAACCACCTCGCCGCGACCCTTCGAAATTTTTTCGCGACCCCATTTGGGGTCGCGACCCCAAGGTTGGGAACCGCTGAGCTAAGTGTTGTAAAAACAAAAGGTCGCTGAAAATTGTTTTAATTCACTGTCTGCACTGAAAATCTATGTATGTACTCAGTACACACTTAATTGCTCTATAAGTGTACTCAGCACACACTTAATTGATCTGTGTGTGTACTCACTCAGTACACACTTATGTTTTCAGTGTGCATGTACGTGCCCTGCCTTACCATGTCCTTCTCTATCCGGAATGGAGCCGACTCACCTTTAGAGTCACGGCGTGCGTCTGTCATGGGGCAGGTGATCAGCTGGAGGATGAGCGGACATCGCGTGACCATCCCAGTGCCTCGTGGTAAGAACGACTGCTGCACTATTGCCTCCAAAACGGAAGACTTTCCGGCACTCTGAATGGACATGGAAATCGTAATTTGCCCATTTCTTTGAAGCAGTACGGTACGAGCACTGCAAAGCCGGTGGTAAGTTTGCTTGCCACAAATTCGGCAAGCCGTTTTGAATGCCAAAAAAAAACACTGCAAAGCCGGTGGTATACTCTCAAATTCGTATTGACTTTTTGTCTCTCCATTATTGACATTTTGTCCTTTGCTTACGTAGTTTTTTAAACAGCAATAAAATGTAGTATTTCCTTTGTAACCATGTACAATATTGTTCACTATAAAGACTAAATTGACATCAATTATTGACTATTTTTAAGTCAATTGCGTATTGACTCTTTGTCAATAGCAAATTGACTTCATGTCAATATAACGAACAAAATCCTACATAAATATTGAGGAAATAGTACTTTTCATTGCTGTTTAAAATACTCTTTAACAAAGGACAAAAAGTCAATAACAGTCTGAGAGTATAAGTTTGCTTGCCACAAATTTGGCAAGCCGTTTTGAATGCCAAAAAAAATGGCAAGCTTGGCCCGGAAATAACACCCAGCTTGCCAAAATTTGGCAAGCTTATGAAGATTTCCGACCAAAGCTTGCCAAATTTTGGCATTTTAAACGGCTTGCCAAATTTGTGGCAAGCAATCTTACCACTGGCTTTGCAGTGAGATTTAAATGTCCGAAGATCACTGCTCGGACACAAGTTCGGACACAAGGAAACAGTTTGGTTTCACAAAAAAATTCAGTCGAAAAGTGACAAGCCTTGTGATTCGCGCCTTTTACTGGCGTGACAACACTACTTATCCAAGTGTGTACTAGTCCAAGGAAAGTGTCTCTTAAAAACTATTTCTTTTGAAAATTTCAAATTTATTAAAGAAACTTGACAGGGCCGTGCACTTTTTACTTATTTGGGGGTTTCAACGTTGTTCTTTTCTTCTCCTCACCTGAATACCAACGACGACTATTTGCGGAAGTTCAATAGGATCCTCTCTCAGCAACCGGAACTGGTCCTGAATTGTATTAAATTTGGTAATCAACGTCTCCATTGTGTCCTGCAACCCAAAAGAAACCAAAGTTAAGTGCAAGATGAAGCCCAGTTGAGAATGTTCAATTCTCATCAATCTGCTGGAAGGGGCTTCTAGTACTGGAGGCGGGCGCGAGGTGAAAGGGGGGAGGGGGAGGGGTAGAGGTAACACCGCGCCCGGCTGGCAGCGCCGGGCCGGAGGAGGGGGGAACGGAGTGGTGCGGCCGGAGTGCAGACACAAAACAACCGGTCCCGGTAGACTGTCGCCCCGGCCCCGGCCCGAAGACGGCCACGAGTAACCGAAATCCTTTTGAACGAAACGGAAATCGGGAGGAAGGAGACGATAGTATCTTCCCGAGAGACGATTGGGAACCAACGAAGGTGTCCGTGGGGAAAATGTTGCCGAAATAACTGAACTACCAATAACAACTTCAAGAATTTACGAAGGTTCTGTCGGCACCATTTCTCCTCAGACACAGTCGTCAACTCCGGAGATTAGTTCTGACAGTGTACTTAACATTACACTGTGAGAAAAAAGTACGGAAAAAGTAAGGAACATACGAGGGGGAAATCACTCTTAAAAACTGTGACCCGACTACTCCCTATTACGTTCTATTACGCTATTACAGAAGGCTTATTACGCTCGGAAATTTCCAGATTTAGACTAAAATCGGACTCTAAATAGGAAAACTTTTACAAATTTTGGCTATTACGCTATTACTATTACGCGTAATACTAGGAATCGGCGACCCGACTATTACGCGAGTGATTTCCCCCTCGGGAACATATCTGGTCAATAATTTGCCTGGACCGTCCGTACTTGCCAACTTCGGAACGTTCCGTACTTTTTTTCCGTACCCATTTACATGGGTTCATATGGAGCAAGTACGGAAAGTTCCGTACTTTTCTCCGTACTTCCGTACTATATTTTTCTGTGCCATTTCCGTACAAAAGGACGAAATTTTTTACAGTGTATCCCCCAGGATGCTTTGGTTCCACCCACCTTCTTGGGTGCAGGCAGGCCTCTGGAAAAGATGAACCCAGCCGGCGCGTCCCCGTGGCCTTGGCTGCCCTCGACGCGTCCCGCCTCACTTCACTGGCGCGGCTGGAAATAACCCGACGCCCGCGCGCTGCGAGCTCTGCGTCGCGACTGCCGGCCCGCCCAGCCCAGGGCCCAGGCCCGGCCGGCTTGCTGTACGACCGTCTGGCGCGCCGGTCGCCGGGCCGCGGAGAATACATAACATACTCCTCTTGAGGTCAGTGGCTCAGACGGAGTGACGGAGGAGCCCGGGGAGGGGACAAGTGGAAGGGGGAAGCCTGCACTCAACCAAAAATGTCCTGTAAATGCCGTTAATTTATTACCAGTTTTCACTGTAGGTCAATTCACAGCGTTTACTGTGATCTGCTCACGGGATTCACTGTGATCTTGTTCGCGGTGTTCACTGTGATCTGGTCCCCAGTAAACACTGTGAGTTTGACGCCGCTAAGCACCGAAGTACAGCAAATCAGGCTCCAATTCACGGCGTTTACTGTGGCCAGATCACAGTGAACACTGTAACCGAGATCACAGTGAACGCCGTGAACTAGTTCACAGCAAACGCCGTGAATTGCATAACAGCAAACATTGGTAATAAATTAACGGCGTTGACAGGACATTTTTTGTAGAGTGTGGGCAGGGGGCAGAAAGAGAAATATTGAGGAGGCTGAGGACGGAACGTGCCTGCATTGCTGTTGTCTTCTCCGGTGACTCAAATATAAACACATAGTACAAGATCACTTATATTTCAACTTATTTAATTGGCTGAGCGATAGCGAAGCCCTTGCCGTGTTTGGGCGCGCTGAAAAGTGACGGTCGTGCGTCTGTCTGTCTGTCTGTCTTTGTACTCACCAACGATTCTCAGCAACTACAGTGGCTATAGTTTCAAGATTTCGTATTTAACGTCGCCTTAGTCCCCCCCAACACGAGTTTGTTTCAAATCGTTTTTTATAGTTTGAAATATTAAAAACATACTTTTGAATCAGGTTATTAGCATGGTTAGGTTGGCAGCACTCAGCACTCACGAATTTCTCATACCTGCGGCCGCGGCTCTCAAATACGGGACAGAAGAAAATAAGCAAAAAAACCAAAAATAACGAGCAGAAGGGTTTGGAAATGAGATCGGCCATAGTTTTTCCACATTCTAGAATGATCAAAACCCTTTTTGAGTATCAACACAGCGAAATATGGAGAATGGCAGTGAAAATGATTTACGTGTTTCGTTCCCCCTCCCCCCTCCCCCCTTTTGAGGGGAATCTTCTTCAGGTCAGTGCACTTTGACAGAGCAGTGTAAAAAAAATGTTTTTATTTTGACCTTTTGTATTGTGGGCATCTACTTGTTTCATTTTTTATAGTGTCATCCTCTTTTTTTTTTAAATTTCATAGAAGGAAATCAGGGAAATGCAAATAACTTGTGTTGAAATTAGCAGGCATACTTAGTTTTGGGCTCGAGAAATACATTCTATTGCAATGCTGCAAGCTGACAAAGTGCAAAAGTACTAACATGTGTTTATTAATAGAATCAATGTATGGTTGTGTATATTTAATCCTAATAGAGTTTGAATTGATATTGGGTTCAAAGAGACGACTCAGGTTTTGAGCGGTGAGTGAATTAGTGAATGGATTTAATGAGACGATTCCTTTCACTTCACTGAAGTTAATATAACTGGTACTACTCAGTATTGCATACCTGAGTAAGATAAATTGTGTCGGTTCATTAAGCCCTGGGTAGCCTTGGCTTGGACTCTATATGACGAATCACTGGATTTGACAATAATTGGTCCCCGTTAAATGGTTCAGATCAGCCTACCCTAAAATGACTCTCTTAATATTAACTGTGATAACGTATGCCAATCAATATTGTTTTATTCACTGGTTCACAATGAAAGAATGACAAAAAGTTTTATAGATATTACTTATAAAATTGAGAATTCATTAGTTAAGAAAAAAGAGATATCGAATAGTGACCCAATCATACGAGTAACCAATTAAGCGATTCAATGCTGGCAATTGAATGTTACTCGACTGAGGGATTCACATTGGTGTGGCATCAGGGAATTGGTGATGACAGAGGGTGCTTCATGAAGACAGTGTAGGAATGTACAGAAATTGAGTCTAGATAGTTGTTTGTACATTTCAGTGTACTAGTCACAAAAGCTACATTTATTTCAATGCCAAACCTACACTTTCACCTAGAGCTACGCAATTTGGGGCGAAACTTTCTAATTTGAGAGTCATGCGTTTCCCTGCAGTTTTCAGTGCGCTGACTTCAATATTGACTTCTAAATTTTCCCCAGACCCCAAAAATTTTAAACCCATTTTTGGGGCAAATTTTTTTAAATTTAATTGCACATTGATTCTTGCAGTTTTTTGAGTGCTGAAGCAAAAATCACTTCCATTTTGACATCAGACTTATATTTTCATCCGAAACGAGGTCATTTTTGGGCCAAAATTTTCAAGTCGAGTCTTATATTGTTTTCCCGCAGTTTTTTGGGGTGCTGAACTCAAAAATGACTTCCAAAAATTTTTCCCCGACTCACACTTACCCGAATTTTTACCAATTTTTGGGCCAAAATTTTTAAAACGAGTTTGACATTGATCCCAGCAGTTTTTGGGGTGCTGATAACGAAAATCACTCTCATTTCGACTCCAGATTTATTTTTCATCCCCAATTAGGTCATTTTGGACCAAAATTTTCAAGTCGAGTTTTATATTGTTTCCTGCAGTTTTTGGTGTGCTGAACTCAAAAAAGACCTTCAAAAATTTTTCCCCGACTCACATTTAACCGAATTTTAACCAATTTTGGACCAAAATTTTTTAAAAGAGTTTGGCATTGATCCCAACAGTTTTTGGTGTTCTGATAACGAAAATCACTCTCATTTCGATCCAGATTTTTATTTTTATCCCAATTAGGTCTTTTTGGGCCAAAAATTTTTAAGTCGAGTTTTATATTGTTTCCTGCAGTTTTTTGGGGTTTCTGAACTCAAAAAGACCTTAAACTTTTTTCCCGACTCACATTTAACCGAATTTTAACCCAATTTGGACCAAAATTTTTTAAACGAGTTTTGGGATTGATCCCAGCAGTTTTTTTGGGGTTCTGATAACGAAAATCACTTCCTTTTGTACCCCTGGTCTAAAGTTCACTCAATATGAGTCCTTAAGATGCACATTTCGTCTTCTCAAGCAAAGTCCAAAGTGCACAAACCATGTCAATTCGCATCGCTCAGCCACACTACGCGCCCAGACTAAACGGCGCGTACCCCTAGTTATAAATAACCAAGACATTCCTTTGAATTTCAAGCCGGCGCTTTTGCCGTGGCACTTTACAGTGTCAGCCGTCGCGGCCACCGTGTACGGACCAGCGTGCTGCGGGATGGGCCGGTGGCCTACCTTGCCCCTGTGATGAAAACAGGGGCCACGTAGGCCACCATCTCCACACCAGTGTATAGCTGGAAGGACCGATGGCCTAGGGTCAGGGCGGGGAAGAACTGGACACCCCATATTTTACTTCAAATACCGTAGGCACAGGAAAAACTACTATCAAAAGTTGTTCCGTCACATCAGCGGTTCATTACACGACAGGTGTCAGGCCAGTACATACGGCATTTGAAGTCAAATGTGGGGTGTCCAGTTCTTCCCCTGTCCAGTTTTTCCCCGCCCTGACCCTACCTCGCAGGCGCTTAAGAGCGCTCAAGACGGGCGGCCGCTGAAATGCGCGCTAAACCCCCGTTTAAAAATGATAACACCCAAAGTAGTTCCGAAGTTGGAGGGACTTTGGGTGCACCCGATCGGGATCGGGCGACCCCGAAATCCTTCCGGCGGGGTCTTTCGAATTTTACGTAATAATGACCAAAATCCGCAAGTGTTTGAATGGACTACTGGTATTCGCCCAAATCGGGTGTCCGTCTGACAGTTTACTCTTGGCTTCAGTTGGAATGACTAATCCCATTTAAGAAAAGTCACTTTGTGGTACGACCGCCTCCGATCGTCCTGATAATTTGTGGGCATGTTATCAACCTCAAAAGACTACAAAAGCGAAAATATTATGTCCGGCAAAAATTTATTGGCTGAGTTATAGCCCTGCAAAGTTACACAAACATGAATTTGGGTATTTTGCCTCATGCAATCAATTTTCGCACCAAGTGGCTGAGACAAGCGTCCCGTTACGTAAAATTGTCGAAGGAACAAGATTTAACCCACAGATCGGACCTGCGGCCAATATTTCTTGACGATATCGCCTAAAAACCACTAAAAATGGACTAAAATAGCACATTTGTCTTGGGATTTTCGGGATATCATAATTTAGTTGGCCCTTGAGTGTCTGGAATCGATGGAAAAAATCGTCCTGAATCCAATGAGCACCCGCCCACATTTGTATCTCTAGCCGTTTAGAAGTAAGGCGCTCCAAAGCTTGATTTATAGGAAATTTCGCGTCGTCTAAGCGCTAAAGCATAGCCAAAAACGCGACTTTTCCCAAAAATCGAGCTTTAGAGCGCCATAACTTCGAAACGGCTAGAGATACAAATGTGGGCGGGTGCTCATTGGATTCAGAACGGTTTTTTCTATCGGTTCAAGACACTCAAGGGCCAACAAAACCACAATATCCCGAATATCCCAAGACAAATGTGCTTTTTTAATCCATTTTTAGTGGTTTTTAGGCCATACCGTCAAGAAATATTGGCCGCAGGTCCGATCTGTGGGCTAAATCTTGTTCCTTGGACAATTTTACGTAACGGGACGCTTGTCTCAGCCACTTGGTGCGAAAATTGATTGCAGGAGGCAAAATACCCAAATTCATGTTTGTGCAACTTTGCTGGGCTATGACTCAGCCAATAAATTTTTGCCGGACATAATATTTTGGCTTCTGTAGTCTTTTGAGGTTGATAACATGCCCACAAAACATCAGGACGATCGGAGGGGGTCGTACCACTAAGTGTCTTTTCTTAAATGGGATTACTCAATACAAAAAGGACTTGAGCCAGGTTTCGTCCAGCTCCGCAGTGGCATAAACTTGAGTACATGCAATTTAAAGAAGTAGATCAAGTAAGGATCAAGTAGAAGAAATACTTTAAAAAAATATTGACATGATAGCACCAGACTTGCGCCTT